GGAACTTAAAAGGAAAGCCAAGCCAAGAACCATCCTGCTGTCCTTCTCTCACAATGTGTTTCAAATCATTCTTGTTTCCATTGCAAGGAAGGGAGGGAAATACATTATAAGAACAGAATGTTTCTAAGTGTTTCTCTCCTTTTTCTCCAGGAATAGTCAAGCCTATCCCTAGAGAAACATGATCACCAGGTGAGCCTACATGGATCTGAGTGGAGGCACCCACTGACTTTGTCTACTACAGTCTCCCATGGATCCCTGATTTGGGGGAAAACAGCTGGGATGCATTGAAGGACAGATAATGCAATCAGAGGAAAGATTCCAAGGTCAGTCTACATCATATTTATCTCAAAATGTGGGTGAATGTTCTTCTCTTCAGGCCCTTTTGTGGGAAGAAGGCAGATGAGCTAGTAGTAACACAGTAAATGAAAATTATTACATATATCCCTATGTCTAAGAGGAAAATTGAGAAAATCATTTGACTCTAAGACTTCAGTGACTACACAGGAGAGGAAGGCAGCAGGGAGAGCAAGCTGTGCCTGTTGGGAGCTTCATTCTGCCTAAGATCTCAATATGGGTTCTTCTGGCTGAATTGGAAAGGGCTTGTGCTGGGTCTTTGGAAGACTCCCTGAGTTTTTGCAGAAGAAAGTCTGCTGAGGACAGTTGCTTGACAGTGGTTAGTCAGGGTTATTGCTGCAGGTTTATTTCTTGTTAGGAAGGGCACTTGCATGGCCACTTCATCTCATTTCTTCACTTGTTTCCAACTGGAACAAAGAGTTTCTTATTCATTTGTTTGTTCCATTTATTTGCTTGTTTGTTGTTTTACTAGGGAAGATAATGAATACCGAGGTCACATTCGAAGTGCTCTAACAGGAAGTTTGAACAGAGTGCCCAGGGCATTGAAGATGTGCAGAATAGCATGCGGTCATGGAAAGGTGACATACAGTTAAGTCTTTTTATTTATTTATTTTTAAATTTTGATACTGGGGGCTGAACCCAGGGGTGCTTTACCACTGAGCTACATCCCCAGCCCTTTCTAATTTTTTTATTTTGAGATGGGGTCTCACTAAGTTACTGAGGGCCTTGTTAAGTTGCTAAGGCTGCCTTCAAATTTGCAATCCTCCTGCTTTGACCTCCCAAGTTGCTGGTATTAAAGTTCTGTACCACTGTGCTCAGCTCTGAGTTAACGCTTAAATGAGGAAAAATCAAAGTGTACTTGGAAAAATGTCAAAAGTTTGGGAAATAACAGATGAGGTGAGGCAGAGTGTGACCATATATTGAAGGTTGATTGGTGAGTTTTAGGTGCGTGAACATGACCCCTACAGTGACACTTGCTTTCTTCATCACTGTTCCATTCTCCTTATTCCACTATGGAGGGCAATTTGGTGATGTCAGAACTACAAATGCACATACTTTTTATGCTAACTTTTCTACTTTGGAGAATTTGTCCTACAAAAAATATTTGCAGCTGTGTGAAATAACTTATAAAGTTCTCCATTGCAACATTGTTTGTATCAGTAAAAGACTGGAAACATTTGCAGTGTTTCTGGTCAAATTCCTAGGTCTTTGATCTACTTTGAGTTGATTTTTGTGCAGGGAGAGAGATAAGAGTCTAGTCTCTTCTATATATGGCTATTTAGTTTTCCCCAACACAATTTTTTGGTTTGTTTTGGGACCAGAGATTGAACCCAGAGACTTTTTATTGCTGAGCCGCATCTCTAGCCCTTTTTATTTTTTGAGACAGTTGCTGAGGCTGGTCTTGAACTTGTGATCCTCTCCCTCAGCACCGTGAGTCTGGGATTATAGGTGTGTACCACCACTGGCCAGCACCATTTCTTATGGTTTATGTTTTTGGCACCTTTGTCAGGATCAGATGATTACATCTATGTGCATTTGTCTCTGTGTCTTCTGTTACATTGGTCTTCATGTCTACTTTGATGCCTATACCATGCTGTTTTTGTTTCTATAGCTCTGTAGTATAATTTGAGATCCGGTTTTGTGATACCTCTGGCATCAGTATTGCTTTGGCCATTCTAGATCTTCTACTCTTCCACACGAATTTTGGGACTTTTTTTTTTTCTATTTCTGTGAAGAATGTCTTTTGTATTTCAACTATAATTCACTTTTGGTGATATGGCCATTTTGACAATATTAATCTGCCTATCAGAGACCATGGGAGGTCTTTCCATCTTGTGAAGTCTTCTTCAATTTCTTTCATTTTCAGTTTTCATTTTTGAATGGAATTGTTTCAAGAAAGACCAGTAAAGTAGAGGAAGGGAAGGCAGAGAAGGAAAAAGATAGCACTGGGAATTGAAATTTGTTTATATACATTTATAAATATGTCAAAAGGCACCCCACTATTATGTATAACTATAATGCACTAATAAAAAAAATAGGTTGCAAAGCAATGTCCATCAATGGGTTCCTGTTAAACAAATTAAGGTGCATTCATACAATGGAAAAAATGCAACTATAAAAAATGAATAAGGAAACTTCATGTAGATTTGGAAGGTTCTCTTAGATACATGGTTAAAAGAAAAATAGCAAGGTACAAAAATGTATAGTTTTCCAATTTTTAAAGAAAGATGACAAATAAGAAATGTGTATGTGTGTGTGTGTGTGTGTGCGCGCGCGCGCGCAAGGAAACTCTGGAAGAGTTAAAAAAAAATGTAGTAATGAGCTGGGGTTGTGGCTCAGAGGTAGAGAGCTTGCCCACTATGTGTGAGGCACTGGGTTCAATCCTCAGCCCAACATAAAATAAAAAATAAAGATATTTTTGTCTACCTATAACTAAAATGTTTTTTTTTTAAAAAAAATAGTAAGAATGGCTATGAAAAGGGGGGAGGCAAAAACTGCATACAGGGGCTACAGAAATGGGAGGGAGACTTTTCACTGTATACCTTTTTGTGGGTATTTAAGCACACAGATGTATTAACAAATTAAAATATTGAATGAGAGAAAGTCTCTTTCATTCCTTTTTTCCTCTGCAGATCTCATTTCTGCTTATCACTTCATCAGAATGTTCTTTAAGAAGAGATATGTGGTTGCAGGGCTTCTGGCAGTTAAGGGAGAAACACACAAGTCTTCCTTATGCCTATTTGTAAAGAGATGCATTGTTGGCATCTAGTTTGAATTTTTTTTTTTTTTTTTTTTTTTACCAGTGTGGTGTTTTGATGTACATGTATACTTGTGAAATGTTTAAAGTATGCTAGTTGATGTATTCATTACTAGTTTGAATTTCTTTTTTATTTGTTCTAGATAGTAGAATGTATTTTGACATATTATACATACATGGAATATAACTTCTCATTCTTCTGGTTGTACATGATGTAGAATTATATTGGTCATGTAACCAACCATGTATGCACATAGGATAGTAATGTCTGATTCATTCTACTATCTTTTCTAATCCCATTTTCCCTCCCTTCCCTTCATTCCCCTTTTTCTAATCCAAAGTACTTCTTTTCTTCCCTAACCAGCCCTCGCCATACCCCCCATCCCACCTTCCCCCCCAATCTGCTTTTACTCTTTACTCTGCAAAGAAGATGCTGACATTTTAATTATATCAATCACTCCTCTGAACAAATTCTTCAGTGGCTTTCCAATTATTTTAGCTTGAGGTGCTGCAACAAAATACCATTAGCTGGGTGGATTAAACAACAAACATCTGTTTCTCACATTTCTGAAGGTTGGGAGTTAGAGATCAGAGTGCCAGCAGAATTAAGTTCTTGGTGAGGACTCCCTCTTTCTACAGAAATCTGTCTTCTTTCTGTGTCCTCACATGATGGAGAGGGAGCTATCTACCTGTCTGGATTCTATAGGGGAACTAATTCTATCTTGAGGGCTCTACCCCCTTAAACTAATTGCTTCTCAAAGGCTCCACCTCCAGATACCATCACATCAGGATAAGGGTTTCAGCACGAATTTGGGGGCACACAAACATCAGCCTACTGTACCAATGTTCTCAAAATAAAATCCAAAATTGTTAATATGTCCCTCTTGCCCAGACTCCTCTTATATTAGGACAAGCACATGGCTAGTCCCTGTCTAAAGCCCTTTCTCTCTACTCCTAAACCTCACTGGTACTTGGGTGAAGTATCACTTTCTTAGGGGCTTTACCTATCTCAAGTCTGAATTAGGTTCCCTTGTCATTATTTTTTAAAAACAGAATCTTTAGCCAGCCATGGTGGTACATACCTGTAATCCCAGTGCCTCAGGAGGCTAAGGCAGGAGGATCTTGAGTTCAAAGCCAACCTTAGCAACTTAGCAAGGTCCTAAGCAACTGAGCAAGAACCTGTCTCTAAATAAAATATGAAAAAGGGCTGTATTTAAAAATAAAATGTGGGAAAGGGACTGTAGCTCTGTGGAAAAGTGCCACAGGTTCAATCCCTGGTACCAAAAAACAAGAATCTTCTCTCTTCCTTTGTAGTTTTTAGTAGAGCTTATATTGTTGTCCCTTCAGTATCTGTGGGGAATTGGTTCTAGGGTCCCCTCCCCCACCAGGGATATCCAAATCCATAGATACTCAAATAACCTTATATACAATGGTACAGAATTTGGTATGGTACACACATTCTTCTGAGTATTTTAAATTCTCTCTAAATCATTTAAAATACCCACCACAATGTAAATGCTGTGTAAATAAAGAGTGTTTTAAATTTTGTATTTTTTATTGTAATTTCTTCCCAAATATTTTTGATCCAAAGTTGTTTGAATCTGTGGACACACAGAGGACCAATTATACATACAAGACTTTCAAGTTTCTTATGAGTGGGGACTATCTCCATTTAAATACCTGTGATGGCCCCAGAGATTAGCACAGAGACTGGCATGTAGGAGGTACCCAAATATATGACGAATGTATGGCTAGGAAGAAATTGGCATGATCTGAGATAACTGAGATTTGAGAAGAGAATCTGAATTTGTGTGGTTGTGGTGGAAAAGGAGCAAGACAGATGTAGTATTGGTGGAAAAAACGCAAGACACTCAATACCTTTTCCTAATAGTCAAGACAGGCAAACAAAAGGAAGAATTTTATTTCCTTAGTTTATTAAAGATGACAATGAACTGTTAGGCTGTGTGACAACTATAGCAAGTAGATATCAATCCAGTTCAAAACATGAGTTGTACACTCACAGAACATCTCTATTTAGATTTTTGCTCCTTTTAATTCAACAAAAGCTCTAAAACTTTGGCAAAGAAAGTTAGTAATGGCCTCATTTAAGTGACAAATGTTTGCCTTCTGCACTTTCTTGAATCTTGTCCCCACCTTGTAAGTAAACATTTCCCCCCCCCTTTATGTACAGAAAAGAATACTTTTCCCCCTCCTGCTTTATTTAGAAGAAGCTCTCTTAAGTGCATTCAGAAGATTCTCCCCACATCAGCAGGAGCTTCTCAGATACTGTTAAGTTGCAAAGTGCTTTCAAAACATCCTATCCTCTGCCCTCTCTCAAATAAATAAATGAGTATTTGGACAGTTATGATAGCATAGTGTCCAAGCCACCAAAACACACAATGTAAAGGGATGGGGCCAGGGAGGTAGAGAAAAACAGTGAAAACTCAGGAGCATGTCAGATTGTTGGATTCAGCTTTGATCCTATGTTGATATGAAAAAAGCAGGACAGACAATAAGAGAGTCTCTCTCTCCTCCAGTGTAGTGACTTGGAGCAAGGAGCTGGATTTGAAACTTAAACCAAAACTGGAAGTAGAGCTCATCATACTTAACAAATCTCTCAGCCTAAATCTGGGGCCTAATCCTTAGTGAGACTTCAATTATGTGGGGTCATTCCCAAAGTTCCTGGAAGTTCTAGTCCTTCAAAGCTTGGCTTTCAGAGCTTCACCATGAACTCAAAGAACAGCATCAGGGTCTCTAGCCTGACGTAGCCCTCTGAGCCCAAGTTTGAGGAAGAGGAATCAACACTGTGGGCCAATTCCCACATGTTCCCTCTTGTTCTGGTAGAGCCTCAGCTTTGGCTATTACCTTAACACCCCTTTCACTTCTTTGTGAGACTCCTTGGTACATTTAGCTCAGGCACTTATTGGCTTCCACCAACCTTGTGCAACTTGCTGTTTGGTTTCCTGGGGAAGTACCCAAGCCACTTGTTTTCCACTAGCAACCAACCATGGGAAAACAGGTATACAGGAAGAAGTCGGTCCCAGAACAAAAATGCTGTGGGCTTTAGTTCACAGAGCTGCCAGCCCTCAGAAAAGCAACCCTGACCAGTGTTTTACATTGAGGTTAGGAACTATAGCAACTTATAGCTCGAACCTATACCCTGTCCCATCCAAGACCTTTTCCTGTCAAAATACACATTAAAGTGGGGAGTGGGAGTATGTTAAAATTATAATATGAAAAGGATGACTGAACTAATGAATATCATCAGGCTAGATAGAGTTAAGTACATAATCGGCAGAAAGGTTCTTGTTATTCCAAGAACACAGGAACATTCACATTCACATCCACAAATTGTCAAGTTCTCTAATATTACCAATGGGGGAATGTTTAACCCCAACTCTGAGAAAAGAAAATAAGGCAAGAGATCAGTTACCACAGAGGGTCCCAGCCCTGTTGCAGGAAGGGGACAGAGAATGAAGTTGGGCTTTATTCAGAACTACAATGACCACTAAACAGGACAGAGCAGCAAGGAACCCACTAGTAAGATGGTGGGTGGGGTTTCTGTCCTCACTTAGGATGGCATCAGGGACTTGCCTGAGCTTGAAATATCATACCTACACTCATTTTGAGTTAGGTTAATTAAGGAGACCTGACCACTTAAGAGGAGGCCAACAGCTCCTCTAAATAAATACATGCTCCTTCTGTAACAGAGCCTCATTTATGCTTGTGGTGTAGGCTACAAATTAGATTGGCCTAAGCCTCAGTTCTGTTCTTTGCTTTAGCCCAGCAGAGTAGATAAAGAAATTTAGCTTGTGACATCATCTATGCTCAGAATATTTCAAACAGGAAAATGATGGCTGCTTCCTTGAGGTCTCTAAGGATTCTGGGAAGGTAATGATCTGTTCTTTGGCTCCCAGAGTACCCAATCAAACTGGAGAGAATGTCCATTCTCTGCTGCTTCTCTAGGACACAGTCTGATCCTATTGCAGGACTGGGAGAGAGAAAACTTATCCCCTTGTTTCAGCAGCAAAGAAGAAGAGTTGGTTGAGAAAGGCCTGGTTCGAAGCTCCAGTACAAAAACAAAGTAAAAGTGGAAATCAGATGCATCTACAACCAATCCCATCCTAGTGAAGAAGGCCATGGATGTCAGAAGAATTGGTTTTCACTGTCCATTCCCCTGACAAGAGGCACTAGAAGCTCTAAAGACCCGCATGTCAGTTCTGATGGAAATACCTGGTCAAATTATCTGTCACAAGAGACTGGACCCATCAACCTAACAAAGGTTGATGACACATGGACGTCAGACAAGTTATTAAAATAAAAAAAAAAAAACAATGATAATGAATTTTTTAAAAAGCCCCAACTGGGGAAAGTCCTCATAACAGTGGCTCAGTTCTGCATTATATGTGATCCCAGGCCCTAGACAGAGGGCTTAAAGTGCTTTCTTCATGTGGTCTCCAGGACAGTGGCTTCTAGAGCCAAGGCTTCAGTGGGTTCCTCTTCATAGTCTGACATGTAGGACTCCAGGCTCTGCTTGGCCAGCAACTCCCGCCGCGCCTGTAGCCGCTCACACCGGGGACAGCTTCCAGACTTGAAACAAGCTTTATGATAACATGCTTTACACTCTGTTCAAGTTGAAAAGGTGAGAGAGATAAAAAATAAATTTCTATTATTTTACTTGCTTCAGGCTGGAAGCAAGTCATTGCTGTAGCCCCTTCCCACTACCAGGGCTAAGAGTTCTGGTGGTGAAATATAGGAGTTGCTGAATCAAACCACACTCTTGCTAATGGAGATGGCTCAAAGGAAAGAGATTAACTTTGTGTTGAGTCTTTCTTGCCCCACTCCTAGCACCAGCCCTTACCTTCACAGGTCCGACATTTATGGAGCTCAAAAGGAAAGATGATATCCTCCTCATTCTGACAGAACTCACAGATAAAGCCCTTGGCTTGGCAGAGCTGAGGAAGAAAGAGATAGATAGCAGAATAAGGGAATGGCACAGGGGAATTCTAAGGAGAGGACAGGCAAAGCATAAATAAAACTGAGTGGCGTAAGGGATTCTATTTCCTACAGAGGAGAGATTGGGGCTGGATTTAGCATGAGAGCCAAACTTGAGCCAGCACTAGACTGTAACAGACAAAACTTTAAGGTGGAGAGAAGAGAGGCACAGACTTGAGACACTCCTACCACTAAAGTGTCTCTCAATGGAGAGAGAAAGAGGAGGAAGGAATGGTGCTATCATGAACTTCCTAAAATCAGTATTACAGTCTGGCTAATGATTTTATTTTGAAATAGGAATACTGTCAATTAAGATAAAATGTGAAGACATGGATGTTTCCCAAAAATAATACCCAGTCTCAGGTCAATTTGGAGTGAAGTAAGTCCAATACCCCCAGAGACACAGGAGTCTCTACATATATCCCATTTTGAGCTCTCATTCTGGGACTGCCACAGGAACATAAAGTGGGGAGAGTCCAAGATGGGAAGATCTAAAAATGGAGTTTCTGAATTTCTGGCATGTTGAGTATAGGATGAACAATAATAACTCATACTTGTAGAATACTTAAAATTTATAAAATGGTGTCATATAAATCATTTCATCAATCTTCAAAAATACTAAGAGGAAAAGATAATACATATAATTCACTGCAGAGATTTAAAAAATGAGGCTTACCTCAAAGAGAGCAAAATCATTTCTTTTGGTTACAGTATTGAAAATAAAAAAGCCAAGACTCAGAATTCTTCTCCAGATTCTAATCCAGAGTTTTTTTCCCACTTATAACAATTCTTTAGTGAGGACTGCTCTTAGCTACCCAGGAGCTGCCAGAACCAATTTCTCTTCTAATCTAGGTTCTACACAGTTGGATGACTGCAGTTTACTAATCTAAAGAACAGCAATCCTTTTCAGTTTCTCTCAGAGTGTCCTCAGCCATCCCAACTTTCTGAAGCCAATCAGGAAGAACCTGGGCCCACCTGCTCCTTGTGTCCTAAAGCAAGGTCTCAGCTGCATGCTAGAGTAAGACTTTCTCACCATGCATCGCTCTACATGGGCAGTCCCTGCCCTGGTGAGCTCGGCAAGCCGGGGCCCCAGCTCCCCTTTCCTGGTTGTGGTCAGGTCACTCAGGGAATATAGGTGGAGATCCTCTGTCAGGTGGCCTGGGACTGTGTCAAAGGAATCCAGAAGCCTACAGGGAAAGTTGGGGGGGGGGGTAGCGAATGAACATTTTATATGTCACATTGTACAGAAAAATCCCTATTCAAAGGGGAGAAAGAAAAGCTAATGAAAGTGGGCAACATTCTTCCAGTGTTCCAGGCCACCTAGCCTTCCCACACCAACAGGTATCTGGATGACAGAAGTGACTTATTTATAAACTCCTGCAGAATAGTCCATACCAACTTGCAAAGAGTGGTGGCCACATATTCCCCACTCCAGAGAAATTATAGACACAGCTACTGCTGTGGCTTCTTGTATATCATTTCTGGACATGTCTGCAAAATTCCCCTATTTTTCTTCTTCACATAAGAATCAACTACTAGGACACATCCCTGTCAAAGAAATTAACTCATTGGGAGGACTGGCCTCCACACAAGACTTACTCTTTGGCCAGTCGGCATGTCTTAAACATGTTCTTCATGTGATACAGCTGGACCCGCAGCAGCTGGAAACAAAGACGTTTTGGTGGGGAAGTGTGGAGAAGAGGAGAGAATTGGCTGTTAGAAAGAGCAGTATCTTTAAACCCTGGAGTTCTGGAAGCTTTAGATGTAGCAGCCAGAGTCAGACTGTATTCTCTTAACAACTTGTTTCAAAGTGATCTCTAGTCAGAGAAGGCCTCTCTGCCAGGTCAATCTGCCCAATCACAAACACTGTTGGCAGCAACTGAGAACTCTGGAATTCATATTTCCCCACCCTATTTTCTATTCAGTAGTATTTTCAGTGGAGAGAGAAATTCTACTTTTGCCACCCAGCGTTATCTATAGCTTCAGAGCTGCCACTGCCAGAGTTAAGGCTTTGACTAGACATGGAGCTGGGAAATAGGAAGAGATTGAGAAAGTACTAGAGGGCTAGGGATATAGCTCAGTGGTAGAGCCCTTGCCTGGCAAGTATAAGGCCCTGGGTTTGATCCCCAGCACCGACTCCCCTGCCCCCAAAAAAGTACACAGAGCATGAATGATAAAATGGCTACAGCTCTGACATTATGAAAAGGAGTATGGTGATCCTGGGAAACCCTACATGAAGAGAAAAAGGGGATATAGGGAGAAGGGTAAGAATCTATGGTGTGATCTTTTCAAGAGTCTTACTCGGACTTGATTGAGCAGCTTGACCTTCCTATAGAGAGTGCTGTTAATGTCCTGCACATTGAAGAGAGGATCGTTCCATATCTTAATGAGCAGGTCCTTAGAGAAATTGCTGATGTAGTACTTGCTGAAATCCCACTTGCGCAGAATCCGGCTAGGGATAACCATCTGAGCATTCTCATGACAGCACTGACAGAAGTACTTTCCCAAGTACTCACAGTACCGCAGCCGTTTGATATAATCTGCAAAATTCAGAAAGTCAAAGAGCCAGATGTGTCTACAAGCTGATAAGGCAGCTCTGCTGATCCTTCAAAGGGCAGAAATAGATGAGCAGTTGCCTCTAGCCACCTCTATAAAAACTCCCCAAAGCTGTGAGAAACCCACAAGTGAGGCCTGTGGTCCCTATCCTAGAAGTCACTGAGAAAACAGTCTGCCAGAACTGATAAGACCCAACCTCCAAGAATCTAGCTGAAACTAAAATTTTCTCCAGTATACAGCCTGGTAATATACTCTCAGGGATAATTTTTTTTTCTTTTTTTTTATTGGTGCATTGTAGCTGTACATGGTGGTGGAATTTGTTGTTACATATTTGTACATGCACAAAATATAACAATATAATTTGGCCAATATCACTTTCCAGTACTTCCCCACTTCCTCCCCTTCTCCCATTCCCTGGTCCCTTTACTATAGTCTACTGATCTTCTTTTAATTTTCATGAGATCCACCCACTCCTCACTTTTCCTTTTTCATCTTTAGCATTCACATGTGAGAGAAAACATACGACCCTTGACCTTCTGAATTTGACTTATTTCACTTAACATAATATTTTCAAGTTCATCCATTTTCCTGAAAATGACATATCATTTATCTTTATGGCTGAATAAAACTCCATTGTGTATATCTACCACATTTTCTTTATCCATTCATCTGTTGATGGTCATTTAGGCTGGTTCCATAGTTTGGCTATTGTGAATTGTGCTGCCATAAACATGGGTACACTTGTATCACTATAGTATGATGATTTTAATTCTTTATGATAAATACTGAGGAATGGTATAGCTGGGTCATATGGTGGTTTCATTTCCTTTTGAGGAGCCTCCATACTGATTTCATAAGGAGTGAACTAATTTATGGTCTCACCAACAGTGAAAAAGTGTTCATTTTTCTCCACATCCTCTCCAGCATATATTATTGTTTGTATTCTTGCTGACTACCATTCTGATTGGTATGAGCTGATATCTCAGTGTACAGTTTTGATTTGCCTTTCCCTAATTGCTAATGATGTTGAAAATTTTTTATTTATTTGTTGACCATTTGTGTTTCTTTAGAAAATTATTTCTTTAATTAATTTGCCCAATTATTCATTGAGGTTTTTTTTGGTGTGAAGTTTTTTGATTTCTCTATATATTCTAGATATTAATCCTCTGTCAGAAGAGTAGTTAACAAAGATTTTCTCCCATTCTGTAGGTTCTCTCTTCACATTCTTAATTGCTTCCTTTGCTACGCAGAAGCTTTTTAATTTGCTGCCATCCCATTTATTAACTCCCAGAGATGATTTCCCTCTGATTGCGGTATTCTTTCCTATTTCCCCCCACTTTAGGCCCTTTTTTCTCTCTCCCCAATTTGCCCATTACCACCTCTTACTACCTCTGACTGGCTCCCTCTCTCCTAGATGTGAGAGAGGGTGAAGCCTCTGGAGGCAGTATGCACTAGAAGAAACTCACCAGGGTCAGTCCGGATGCCACATCCGGCACAGCGGTAATTCTGCTTGGCCACAGCAATCTTCCTCCTAAGGAAAGGCAAAGGAGATTGGCAGATAGCTGCTGCACAATGACAGAGGTCTTGTTAAGTATAGGAAGAGAGGAGAATTCATCTGTTTTTTAAAAGCTGGATAAAATGAACCTATTGGGAAAACTAATTCAAACTGAGGCTAGTAGGATTTAGGTCTCAATGACTCTTCCCAATAATGAAGTACACTGTCTATACAAATATAAGGGTAAGAAATAGTAAAGGGGAAAAGAACAGTAAGAGAGAAGCATCTGAGCTTCTTAAAAAGAGAATAAAAAACAGCTCACAATACTCTTGGGAGGATGGCAACAGGTTGGGAATTCCAAAGAATAAAGGCCTCATTTCCAGTTAGATCTGGAAGACAGTAGCTGCTTGAGGATTCTGAAGAATCCTGAGAATTACTCTTGTTTTGGTGTCGGCAATTGAGCCCAGGGGCATTTAACCATTGAGCTACATCCATCACTTTTTATTTTTTTGAGATAGGAGTCTCACCAAGTTGCTCAGAGCCTTGCTAAATTGCTGAGCTGGCTTTGAACTTTGCAACCCTCCTGCCTCAGCCTCCTGAGCCACTGGGATTACAGGCATGCACCACACACCCAGCTGGATAACTTTTTTTTTTTTTTTTTTTTTTGGTACCAGGGATTGAACCCAGGGGTGCTTAACCACTAAGCCACATTCCCAGCCCTTTATTTGTACTTTATTTTGAGACAGAGTCTTGATAAGTTGCTTAGGGCCTCACTAAGTTGCTAAGGCTGGCTTTGAACTTGTGATCCTCCTGCCTCAGCTTCCCCATGTATTACTTTCAATTCTTTTTAAAAAATATTTTTAGTTATAGATAGACACAATACTTTTATTTTATTTTTTAATGTGGTGCTGAGAATCGAACCCAGTGCCTTACACGTGCTACTGTAAGGCACGTGTAAGTGAGCTACAATCCCAGCCCTACTATTAATTCTTAAAAGTAAGGATTTAAGGACAAAAATGGATAATACACTTCCTTTGCTTTTTATTTTTTTCCTCCTCCTCCTTTTTTTTTTTTTTTTTAAGGCAGAAGTCTCACTATGTTGCCCAGGCCATATATATATATATATATATATATATATATATATATACACACTTTTATTATTTTTATGTGGTGCTGAGGATTGAACCCAGGCCTCACATGTGCTAGGCAAATGCTCTACCACTGAGCCACAATGCCAGCCCCCCAGGCTGGTTTTGAACTCCTGCACTCAAGCCATCCTTCTACCTCAGCTTTCAAGTAACCAGGACTAAAAGCATGTGCCATGGTGCCTGGCTCTTCCCTTGCTTTTAAATGAACAGAACTGTGTGGAAAGTATAACCAGAGGCAGAGATAAGAAGATAGGAAGACAGTTCTGGGGGCTGGAGTTGTAGCTCAGTGGTAGAGTGCTTGCCTAGCATGTGTAAGGCCTTGGGTTCAATCCCCAGCACCACATAAAACTAAATAAACAAAATAAAGTTTTTTTTATATATATATATATATATATATATATATATATCTATATATAGAGGTGTGTGTGTGTGTGTGTGTGTGTGTGTATATATATATATATGACAGTCTGACAATTCAAAGAGAATATATCTTTTTCCAAAGTGCACAGTCACTGACTACTCACGTTGGTGCTGGATGAACATTAAAGATTATCTGAGGCCGGGGTGGGGCCCACTCCAGGTTGCCACGAACGCGGATACGCAGTTTATAAATGTCCGCATGCTGCCCATCATCTGGTGAGATGGGCAGTGAGTCAGGGATGGGCAGAAGCTACAGGAGAAAAGCACAGGTGAGCTAACAATGACAGTCTGAGGGAACACATATGCTTGATCTTTATGGACATGACAGAAACATAGTTAAAAGACAGCATGGTATGAGAAACAAGGGCCTTGTGGTTCCAAGAAGCAAATACAGACACAGCATTCCAGGGTGGTGTTACCCTTTGCTGATGTATGCCAGGATGCTTCATGACTTAAAGATTCAATTTTAGGGCAAAGAAGAGTCCAAACAATTCACTTTTTCTAAGTGTTTTGAAGGTGGTCACAAAACAAGAGTTCTAACTCTGGGATTAGTGAACAGTTATGTGATAACAAGTGAAATAATAACAGTGAAAGAGCCATTATATTGATATTTTTGACAATTTAGGGAAAACCTAGGCAAACTACCATTCACTCACTCATTCATTCATTCAATACATTTATAACAGATGGCTTCTATGAGCAAGGAAGGAAATACAGGTTCATCCCACACTGGGAACAAGTGAGAAAGGAGAGCAAGATAAGAAAGGCTCAGAGCCTCCTGGACAGGGAAAGATGCTGAGGAGCCTACCTTCTGAGGGGCATCATGTTCCGGGACTAGCCACTCTAACTCTGAGGCAGCTGGAAGCTGCATCCCCTCAAACTGCTTCAGGAGCCCCATAGCCACCGCCTCAGCAGAAGTGGAATGCAGGAAGCAATGGGAACTGAAAAGGAGAAAATAAAGAAAACTGAGTGTAGGCAAAAGAAAGGGAGCCTTCCCTTTAGGATCTGAGATCAAATGTAGTAACTTCTCAGCTGAGGAAATGCCCATAGCACCCCAAGTCTGCTCAGCTTCTTCACTTATCATCTTTGGACACAGTGAAAAAATACTGATCTTATTATCGTCCTAAGACTCAGGTTCAAATCCCACTTACTAGCATTATATGGCACTACTAGTTAAGGGCTCTGTATTGCCTTTCCCTAAACTTTAGTTTCTTAACTACAAAATGGACACTACAATGTCCATTTACAAAATAAAGTGAGTAAATCTGCTTTGTAGACTGTAAAGACTACTGTTCATCCCAAATGAACTAATATTTACCATAGCTGGGTCTATAGTATGGAACTTTTTCAACTTGATTTCATGATCAAAAGTCACAATCAATCTCTCTCTTGAGACCTAAGTGTCTAGGATAGAAGTCAGCAGAGAAAGAATAATTCACACTGCAAGCTTTGCCTTCACAAAAGCCCACCCCATTTAGATAAAAAAAAAAAAAAAAAAATCTTTACTCTCTTTCTTCCTGTAGGTTCATCACCATCGAGCAAGATCATTACTTGAACCTTGCCTCCACCTGAATTGAAATGACTTTACATACCCATCTATTGGGTTTATTTCTCCCTACACCCACACCCCAAGGTTATTAAAAGTAAAAAAAGAAAGAAAGTACTTACAAGGACTGGGAAGAAATGAAGGGTTTGCTGTTTGAGGCTGTGCACCTTCTGATGTCAGCATCTAAACAGAGATAAGGAGAATAGGAAATGGAGTAGAAAGAGGTAAAGAATATGGAAACCTTGACAAAGTATTGCCAGCTAAGCACTCAAGATAGCACCTAGGTGCTATATTCTATGCAAGAGAAGGAGCAGGTGAAGCTCTAAACGCAATTTATAATTTGGCTCTATTCAAGTCACAATCAGGCTGAATTAGTGACATTATGCATAGCACTGAGAAGGTCAAAGTAGTTACAAATCCAGGTGGAAACACAAACTCAGATTTGGTGTAAAACAGTGAATGAGAAAAGTAGGCATCCTAAGGCTTACAGGGACACAACCCCTACCGAGCAGAAACACAAAATAATGACTCAAATATCTCTCTCACTCTCTAAATATCAAGCATTCTTAACTGGTAAGCTCCCAGAAGCAAGAACTCTGCCTGAATTTATTTATTTATTTTTAATGTAAGAATTAGCACCTAACATAGAACTTGGATCATAAAAATGATCTGTGCAACTAAAAGTTTGCTTCTAACATCTCACAACTCTTGCCCTTACTCCTGAATGAAGAATGAAGTTTTCTAAATTCTTTAAAATTTTTGTGGAACCCAGTATGGTGGCACATGCCTGTGATGCCAGTGGCTGGAAGCCTGAGGCAGGAGGACTGCAAGTTCAAAGCCAGCCTCAACAAATCAGTGGGGCCCTAAGCAACTTAGGGAGATCCTGTATCAAAAATAAAATGTGGCTCCGTGGGTTCAATTTCTGGTACCAAAGAAAAAGAAAAAAGTTTTGTGGAAGGATTTCATTCCTGAAGGATAGCATAGGAAGGCAAAGAACTTCTCTGGAAATGCCTGATAACCAACAACTTTTCAGGGATTGTCAACACGATCTTTACTACAGAAATCTCACACACAACTGTAAGAAACCATGACAGACTTTCCAAAGCATATTTCTGATACATGACTTTGAAAAGGATTTCTAATAATGAATGCCTAAACTTCCAGAGACCTCATTTGCTCAAATACTTTTGATGTGGGGGAATGTAAAAAACAGAAGTCATGTTCGAGAAAGGCAGATAGACCTTAACCAAGTCATGAAAGGTTGTTTTGATAAATCCTGTCTCACTTCCTTTGATGCCCAGTGAAAAGATCTTTTCTCCCTAATGAAGCTTACACAATAATCAATCTAATAATAATCAATAATAATAATAAATCAGTCTAAATTCCTCAATAGAGTTTCTAAGCTTATGTCACTCTGCACTTGGCTCAATTGTTCCTTACATTTTCTACCATATATAGATTTTTTTTATCTACAACTATATTATAAAGTCTCCTTGTGAGGAAATGAGATTGTGTCTAATTCTTCTTTTGGATCTAAAATACTTAACACACAGTTGTGTATACAAACATGCTTAAATAATATTGTTGATGAGCTGGTTAACAGAATTAAATTTTTTTAAAAAAATATTTTTTAGTTGTAGATGGACACAATACCTTTATTTTATTTATTTATATTTTTTATGTAGTGCTGAGGATTGAACCCAGTGCCTTATAAGTACAAGGCAAGTGCTCTATTACTGAGCTACAACCCAAACCCCAGAATTAAATTTTTTTTGTGGGGGGGGTGGTACTAGGGATTGAACTCAAGGGTACTTGATCACTGAGCCACATCCCTAGCCCTTTTTTGTATTTTATTTAGAGACAGGGTCTCACTGAGTTGCTTAGTTCCTTGCTTTTGCTGAGGCTGGCTTTGAACTCGTGATCCTCCTGCCTCAGCCTCCGGAGCCATTGGAATTACAGGCATGTGCCACCGTGCCCAGTCAGAATTAAAATTTGTTGACTAGTTTTCATATGTTCTCAAAGTAAAGATAAATAAGACATCAACCAAGTTTTTGCTGGTAACTAACAAAGTCTATTTTATTTAACAACAAAGACCTTCATTTATATCATATATTTTCTGTCTGCACTTGGGCCACTAAAATTCACATCCCAATGCACTGCTATTTGTCTAGTTTCACTATAATTAGTGCTAGTAGAAAAAAGGGGAAAAAAAAGGATAGACAACAGTAGAACAGACAGATTTTCACACATCATTTGCTTTACATTTATATGGGTAACACTTATACTGCCTGGAATTGAACATAAGTCTTGCCTTGTCTTAGTAACGCTCACAGTGCTTTGTACATAATAGGTTTTCAGAAAATATTTCCTAAAAGAATATTAATTGGCTAGAAGCAATTAACAGATTTTGAATATTTCATTTTGTTTGGGAGTAACAGAGAAGGAAAAAAGAAAATCTTTGACAGATATCCTTGAATAAGAAGCTGACAAATTTTGTTACTTTAGGACCAGCCTATTAAAGAAAATAACACACACTAGAGAGAAGTGGTTGAGAATTCATAGTTGCTAAGGAAACCACTGTCTCCATAAAAACTATAATCATGTGCACAAAATGAAGTTAATGTCAATGACAAGCCACGTATATGACAGTGGTCCCATAAAATTACATTGTTTAGTGATATAGTAGCTATCTTAGTTGGTACAAGTGTACTCCACGATGTTTGCCTAATGACAAGTTTCTTAGAATATATCTCTTATTTATGCGAAGCATGACTGTATTTAGCAGTTTTTCATTGTTCTTTTTTCTTCTTTGAGAAAAAAAATCATTCTTTTCTCTTTATAGCATATAATCAGTCAAGTGCAATGGTGTACAACTATAACCCCAGCCACTTGAGAGGCTAAGGCAGAAGGATCACAAGTTCAAAGCCACCCTCAGCAACTTAATGAGACCCTGTCTCAAAATTTAAAAAGTGAAAAGGGCTGGGGATATGACTCAGTGGTTAAGTGCCCATGGGTCCAATCCCTGGTTGGGGAGGGCGGGCGGAAAGAACATAATCAAGTCATACTTTATCGTGTTTCTTTTTTTTTTTTTTTTTTAATCACAAGGTCCAAAGAGGTCAGAGGTATGTGGCATAGAATTCCTGGCTAATCAGGAACATTTTCAAGAGTGTGGAAGACCACAGTGCTTTAGAGGTAAGGATCTTTTACCCCAGGGTGGAGGAAGATAGGCAGCACCTAATATCAAAGGGGACATGACACCCGCTCTGGTCAAGAACCATGCTTGTGTGGCATCCTGCCGACTCTCTGGTCAGGTCAAACAGATGACTAATTTAATGTGGACAGAAAACTAGTGGAAGATGAGGACAGAAGTAGACCAGGGTCAGGACTGAGGATGTAGTTCAGTGGTAGAGTGCTTGCCTAGCATGTATGAAATCCTAGGTTCAATCCTCAGCACTACATAAAAAAGAAGTAGACCACGGTCTCAGAAAACTAAAGAGTAAAGAGAAAGAAAACCATTCAACTAGATGGATTAAATGTACCCCAAATGAGAGCACTTGAGAAAGAAGTCTGAGAAAACTCATCTTCCAAGTGAATTGAACATAATTATGAAACATTTTATTGATCTTGCATACAAAAACAAATATATTTTTCCAAGGGAACCAATTTCAAGTGCTTTTGATGTTTTAGAGAGAATAAGTCCATTATTACTATGGACTGAAAAATAATTAGAATATTAAAAACAAACAACACTATGTGTTATAAATAGAAGAATATGCTGTGTGTCCAGACAACTAGTATTGGTACAATCCAGGAAGAACTAGTTAAAACCTTGGTACCTTAATAAAATCTGCAAATTTTTAAATGAAATAAGTAAGGCTAGTGAAGAATCAGTTTCAAAATTTACTGGCCAGTTTGATGTTGGTCTCCATGCTGATTTCCTTCCAGTAGATGATACTCAACATATAAGAAAATCCAACATCAGTAAGTTTTCGGTAACTGCTAAGTCAAAAAAGAAATGATTTTTTAAAAATAGAGAACCATTGGGGCTGGGGATGTGGCTCAAGTGGTAGTGTGTTCGCCTAGCATTCGATTCTCAGCACCACATAAAAATAAAAAAAATAAAGATATTAAAAAATATAAAAATAAACAAAATAGAGAACCACTATTTTTTAAAAATGTATTTGTTTTTAGTTGTCGATGGACCTTTACTTAATTAATTTATTTATATGTGGTTCTGAGAATTGAACCCAGTGCCTCACACATACTAGGCAAGCGCTCTACCACTGAATTACAATCACAGCCCAGGAACCACTATTATTGTCTTAAAAAGAAACAAATTATTAAAAAGGGTAGGAGGAGAAGCAACTGATTACCTTGAATTGGATATAATTTTAAAACTTGTTGGAAAATACAGTTCTGAGTATTCATCTTTATATATTATGCCAGCTACCAATTTACTGATTTTTTAGCCACAAATCTGTCTTTTTGCTCACAATGCATTAGTACTGGATCCATAACCATTTCTCCTCTTTCAGCTGGGTACAGTGTTCTTTTCAGTGGAAGGCACTAAGGGACGCTAAGAAGTATGCCTTGTGCATCTTTGCAGCAGAGTGCCACTAGGTGGTACCTCTCATAAGCAATTTCTCTCAACAACTCCTGGGAGAACTTAACTAAAAGTGAGTGCCAGATGCCTAGTACCTTCCCATGAACTGCTTTCCCAGTATTATTTGAGTTCAGAGACAAGGCACTTTCCTCTACCCATCAGTACACTCTCCAGAAAATTGTTTCCCAGAGAAGGCTTGTAGCATGGCACCTCTTAGTACACAGTGTTACTTGATACTATATCAAAGCAGCTCTTCAGCTTCTCTACCATTCAGTGAGCCAGGAGGTCAGGATTTCAGGCCTGGGGATGTGGCCCTCTTTCACATTTGTTCCTTCCCTAGGTGCTCTACCCCAGCCTTAGAAAAAGTGATCGCCAACTACATCTGTCCTTTCTGTCATCTCTGGAATTCTCTTTACTCCTTATGAACCAATCTCAGTCCATGGATAACCAGCTCCATTCCTTAGGGCTTGAGGAACTTTATGGCAGAAGAGTGTAGCAGAGAGAAGTGGCTCACATGATGATCAGAAAGGGGTGGGGCAGGCAGAGATAGTGACTCTATTCTCAGATACAAAATACATACCTCAAAGGCACACCTGCAATTACCCATCTCCTCCAGCCACACCCTACCTGCCTCAATTACCACTCAGTTAATTCCATCAGAGAATTAATTCACTGACTGGGTTAAGGTTCTCATAACCCAATCTTTTCTCCTCTAAGCCTCCTTGCATTGTCTCTCACAAGAGCTTTGGGGGATACTTCACATCCAAACCATAACATTGGGACAATAAAAATGTTATAAAACTAGGTGATGGTAATGGTTGCAAAACTCGGTAAATTTACTAAAAAAATCAATGAGCTGTACACTTGAAGTAGGTGAGTTTTGATATGTAAATTATATCTAAATAAAATTGTTTTTAAAAAGATATAGATGATGATGAATACTAAGCTTTTTATGAATAAACCGTGATCTCAAAGTCTATCTCCAACTTCATTGTTAGAAATAAGGAACTTTCAAATTTATTTACTTTAAACAGTTCTGTCCCACACGGTCTATTTAATTTATCACAATCTAAGAAAAGTAATTAGACTTGGCAGATTATTACAATATTTAGAGGATTTATCATAGGTGATATTCATAAAATGATGCTTAAGTACTTTAAACTTTTTTTCAAGAGTGTTCTGGATCCTGATGACCTTCCTAATGATGGTATCCCAAGAGACTCTTCCATAGTATAAATTATTATTAAGCTGATCATATGGAAATGTGTCTGTAAACCTCTGGACATGATTAGAAAGACTGTTCATAAGAAGTAGAAGTAAAATACTTTTTAGGAAGAGTCTTAAACCAATAACAAACCTGATAAAAGACCAGAAACACATGATAAAGAACAGAAAGCAATAAAGAAATCTAGAGTAGAGAAAAATGAATAGTAAATTATACTTATATAATTGGGAAACTATGTACAGAAAGAACATGTTGTTGGGAAAACATATAATGGCAGCAGCACCCCAGAGAAAAACCCCAACATGGCGTCTAACGACCCTCTTTCCCCTCTTTGTTTCTTTCACTGGTGCGAAAGGTTTCCTGCCCGCGCCAACATTCAAACCCTGCTGGTGGGAAGCCTTAGCCCCAATTAGAATTAACTTCTTGGGCTCCGGAACTGACATATGGAAGAGCTTGCCAATAAACGGGCGACCTGTTATCTACCTCAGCCCTGCGACCTCTCCTTAGACCTATATAAACACACAGCCTTTTGTAATAAAGTGGAAAACCTCTTTGGTGATCTGTGTCGTGTGGTGCAGCATCTTCCAGTCTTACACATGTAACTTAAGTCATGTTTTTTTAAACTGGGTATCAAACCCAGCACCTCACACAAGCTCTCTTCGACTACATCCCTAGTCCTTTAGTTGTCATTTTTAAGAGTGACTTCTGACTTTCCTTTCATTCCCCTTCCATAATGTGTCCGAGGCAAGGTACCTCACCCCACACTCCCTGTCCCCCAGACTCCAAGAATGGGAATCACAAGAAAAAGTAGATTTTTAGTTGAAAATTTTTTCATATTCTTGGTGTAAAATTTGTCATATATATAAAATTTTGAAAGCTCCCAAAATTGGGAAAGGAAGGATATTAGGATAACCAAATAAAGGAATGCCTTATGAGTAAAGCAGATTGAATATGCTCTGATGAAATAGCCAACAGTCAATAAGCGCATCAGCAAAAGATTGTGGTTGTAAACACATCAGAAACCAGTTAAAAAGTGACAGGATAATCTGAAGCAATGGAAGACTAATGTTTAAATATATTACAACAATGCAGGATTAGAGAAAAATGAACCTAATTAGTTTTATTTCTTTAAATCTTGACCTAATCTTATATAATAATTAATTATATAAATTAATCTTATATAATTATTCAAATTCTAGTGGCTGACAATATGAACAGTCATAAACATTATATTAACATTATTAAAAGGTATGTGTCTGGTCCTGGGGATTGAACCCAGGGCCTTGCTAGGCAATGCTCTACCACTGAGCTACATCCTACTTTTCTTAGTGTTTTAGCTATTGTCATTTGTGTTTTAAAACCATTTTAAGTAGAATACTGTTACTTTCTTTCAATTAACTACACCTACAGAAAACCTACTTATTTGAATCACAAAGCAATTACTAAAGATGGCTATTTATAGCAGCAATTCCTAATTATATATGAAGTACCCAGAAGAGGTAGCTTTCTGAAAGTTGGCTCTCCAAATCTCAAACTCTAAGTGGACTAAGTTTCATGGCATTCTGTCCTACTTTTGCTGTCTAAATGTGTGGCAGTAGCTTACCTATATATTTGAACAAAAATTCTTTAACCATTTCTTTCTAAGCTATCTATTACCTCCATAGTCCATGACTATTTAATCTAAAATGATCACTGCAGGGAAGAATCAACAAGGACAAACCCAACGAAGACTTTGAGTTTGAGTTTGTTTATAGAGTCATATGAGGAAAAATATCTGAATATCTGAATTGTTCCTGGCTTCTTATTATCACTTAAGTCCAGTTTTTTCTAATAAGATCTTCAGATCATGTAGTCCTCATTACTTTAACAGGATTCACATGGCCAAGTATATACAAAAGCTGGCGCAAACACTTACACACATGCATGTATAAGCACATCCACATTTCCAACACAGGCTACCTGAAAACATGGAGGCCATTGACACTGAGAGTCCGTTCTTTGACATGTGATTCAGGTTAGATCCTTCGCTATCATCTGTGTAATAATGATTATAAAAGGGGCCCTTTAGTTTTCTGACATGAAGTAACCTGATGAGATTGACAATTCTATACCACATGTTCCAGAGATCAAAAGATGAAACAGCTTTTAGGAACTTACATCAAATAGGCAGATGCTCATTATAGCTTGGATAGTTACTGCTACCTCCCAAACTCATCTAGCCTCAAGGACCTTATAAGACAATGTTTTTGTTTTTTAATTTTTTGTTGTAGATGGACACAATACCTTTATTTTATTTATTTATTTTTATGAGATGCTGAGGATCTAACGCAGTGCCTCACGTGTGCTAGGCAAGTGCTCTACCACTGAGCCACAACCCCAACTCGACAATGTTCTTAATCAGGGGTGATGTTGGCAATATCTGGAGACATTTCTGACTCTCAAGTGGGGAGAGGAGTACTACTGGCCTCTGGTGGGCAGAGGCCAGAAATGATACTAAATATTTTACTATACAAGACAGTTCCTCACAACAAAGAATTGCACTGCATAGAAGATGAGAAACCCTGCCTTAAGGTCTTTTCCTTTAGGATTTTTATTCTGAACTAACTAGGGAATAAGTTGATTAAACATCTCCTAGGAGCCCACAACTGCAGCAATAGTTTTCCAACAGTAATGTACTGTATGTCTTCCCCTAGGCAACTTCCTTGTCAACTCAATTAGCTTCCCCATCCTCCTGCTTTGCTTCAGGAAACATATTTAGCCTCCAACTGGACTATTCCACATCTGATAAAGCAGTAAACTCAGAATTTGCCTTAATATTACCCTCATGAAATTCTGCTGCTGCTCTTGAAAGGGTGGAATCCTCTCACTTTCTTTTAATTTTGGAGATCAAGTCAATCACAACATTATGGCACAACAAAAAATAAATATATGGCAGGTGTGGTGGTACAAGCCTTTAATCCCAGTCACTTGGGAGGTTGAAGAAAGAGGACTGCAAGTTCAAGGTCAGCCTGGGCAACTTAGTGAGACCATGTTTATCCCTAGTTCCTAGTATAGAGATCCTCAAACCCTTGGATTTTTCTAAGTCACAGAAATGTCTTTTATCATTAATAAAGAATCCCGTTCAGTCATACCCGAGTGTGTATTAATGAACTGACTCTTAGCAGGCACCCAGATAGTTTCAGGATGGGGCTGGCCACCAGAAGAACCAACTATATGATTAGTGAGTTGGAACTTTGACTTCCCCCTTTACACCTCCATGGAAGACAGAGGGGCAGAAGATTAAGTTCAATTACCAATGGCCAATGACTTAATTAATCTTTTCCATATAATGAAACTTGGAACTACAAGGTTTGGGGGAGGTGCCTGGCAGGTAAACATATCCATGTGCTAGGAGGGTCGTGTACCCTGACTCCATAAAGACAGAGGTTCCTACACTAGGAACTCTTCAGGATCTTGCTTTATGACTTCTTCATGGGGCTATTTATTTGTATTCTTTATAATAAACTGAAATCATAGACATAATGCTTTTTTTTTTCTTTTTGGTACTAGGGATTAAAACCAGGGCCATATTCACAGCCCTTTTTTTTTTTTTTTTTATTTTGAAACAAGGTCTCACTAAGTTTCTAATAGCCTTGCTAAGTTGCTGAGGTTGACCTTGAACTTGCAATCCTCCTCCCTCAGCCTCCCTATTTGCTGAGATTACAGGTGTGTGCCACCACATCTGGCAATATAGTGCTTTCCTAAGTTCTGTGAGTCATTCTGGTGAATTATTAAATCTGGAAAGGGGACATAGGAACCCCTGAATTCATAGTCAGCAGGGAAGAATGTGGGTGACCTCACTTGCATCTGGTATCTTAAGTGGGAACAATCTTATGAAATTGAGCTCTTAACTCATGGATCTGTGTTAACTCTAGGTAGTCAATGTCAGAAGTAAACTGGAGGAAAACCAGGTGGTGCCAGATGCAGAAACATTGCTGGAAAACCACAAACAAAAAATGGAGTTTTAAATGACTACCTATTAGAAATACCTGTAGAAATCAACTACATTAAGAAAAACACAGAAGGCTAGAGACCTAAAAAATGTGTGTTAAGTCTGATTTTCTGAGTGGAAAAAAAAACCTGACTACTTCATCTGGAGGTCTGTACAGATGAATGGGTTCTCTAACATGTAATAAAAAAAATCTATTTACCCCATGTTACAATGTCATAATGGAGTATTATAGACACAATTCAGCTCTACCTGGAACTTACTCTTAGCTTCACCCATGGGGAAGAACTTATGTACTGGAACTATTTTTGTTTGTCTCACTGATGAGAACTTGAAGAAACCTATGATATGCAGGAATGGAACATTAATATGATTTAATACAACTGACCTCCTGGTCGGGAGCCCCTCTCCTTCTATATGCTGATACTTCTAATAAGAATCTATGATTCTGTTATAACAAGTTAGCACTTAGGAGGTCAGAAATTAAAGCTCCACTTTGTGAACTTGATTTATTTTCCTTTTTGCTTCCTCCTCAATGATTCTTCTTGTCCTTTTGGTTGAGGGATATAATAAAGCTCCTTTTGAATAATTCAAAACAATTTTAGTTGTGTTATGGGGCATAAGAGGATAGGATTCTAATTTCATGAGGTATATGAACTAGAAGGAAGAATTACAATGCAAAAAAAGCATCAGGGTAACTTCAACTGTCAGCCCACTCCAACTGGAACATTTCCTTTCATGGTTCTTTTCTTTTCTGCTTAACCTATAAAGGGTATTTCCAGGTACATTGGCACATGCTGTAATCCCAGTGACTTGTGAGGCTGAGGCAGAAGATCCCAGATTCCAGGCCAGCCTCAGCAACTTAGCAAGTCCCTAAGCAACTTCGTGAGACTCTTTCTCAAAATAAAAAATAAAAAGGGCTGGGGATATAGTTCAATATCAAGCACCCTTGGGTTCTATCTCCAGTATACCCCCCAATTTTTTTCTAAAAATAGGTTTGGTTTGTTTTGGTGGAGTGAACCCATAAAGGGGTTTTGTTTCTAACATAAGAAGTTGTTCCTTTCAGTATCCCTAATGGGTTACAACATTCCCTAACGGACCTTAATGAAGAACTTCTACTTAGGGAGTTTCACAGCATATGATTCCAAATTGAAAGAAACAAATAACAAAAGCTCCCAGTAACAAAGTATCACTTCTTACCTTGGATTTCAAATTCATCAACTTCATCACCAGAGCCAGAATCAGAGAACTGTGCTGAATCACGGGAACTAAATTGGGAGCTACTGGAGGTGACCCGAAAGCCTATCAAAAAATAATAATAAAAACAATAACAATAAATAGAACAGAAAGAGATCTCCTGCTCCTCCCAATGTCACAGTAAAAGGTAACTGGTAGGACTTAAATGTATATCAAACCTTTGTTGGAAGTGAAGCTGTTGAAATGGAAACTAGCTCTTGTTGATTTATAACCTTAGAAGATTTCATGTAAATAGGAGGTACTAGTATTTGGGAAGTCAACCTGGAATCAGTGGTCTTAGTTCTCCTTACATCAGAAATCTATTTTGGAAGGAAGCCATTTCTGATGTAGGAAATGGATGAATTCTGGAATAAGTATTCTTAGTCTGGTAACAAAAATAGAACAAAGGGGATGTGAGGGCAATCTGGCTTCCACATCTATCACCCCCATTGATCACCAGGGTTGATTCAGATGATCTGGCTGGCTAAGAAAGTGTCCCTTTCCTCACTGCTCCATGTGTGTCCCTCCCAAAGCTTCTTGCTCAAAGAGAACAATCGTCCCTGATAGAGGAGGAGCATCTTTGGTCAATGGTATACAAGTAGCTGAGCTCCCCTGCTAGAACCTCCAAACAAGCTCTCAAAAACAGAACAAAGTCTGGGGTGTAGCTCAGCAGCAGAGAGCTTGTCTAGCATGCATGAGGTGGCATTGGGTTCAATCATCGGCACCACATAAAAATAAATAAAATAAAGGCATTCTGTCCATCTACAACTACAAATTTTTTTTAAAAAATATAACAAAGTAATATCTTTCTGACAGTGACAAAACCTTGGTTTGGGTGTAATTCCCAAAGGAAGATCAGAAACGAAAGCCCTCAAGGCACAGAACTTGTCTTGAAGCCATGAAGAAGCAGGAACAAAAATGTGTTTATAGGCCTCACTCACTTCCTTGCTCAGTCTCCTGGTATATAGGGAGCAGATTCTTGGTGCGGATCTGCTGGCGCCGAAGGCGGATCTTCTGTTTCAGTTCCTGGATTTCTTTATCACTGTCTTCTTCTTCTACTTCCTCTTCTTCTAGGCATTGGCTCATCATGTTGCACTTCATTAGCTCGATGGCAGCAATCAAGGACTCTGAAATGCTGAAGTGTGCATTCTCCTATGGGAAGGCAAGCACCAAAGAAGTTGTATGTTAAGGAACTAAAAGTAAGCTGGGCACATGGCACACACCTGTAATCCCAGTGGCTTGGGAGGCTGAGGCAGGAGCATCCAAGTTCAAAGCCAGCTTCAGCAACTTAGAGAGGTTCTAAGCAACTTGGCGAGATCCTGTCTCTAAATAAAAATATAAAAAGGGCTGGGGATGTGGCTTAGTGGTTAAGTGCCCCTGGGTTCTATCCTTGGTACCAAAAAATAAAAGAAACTAAAAGTATTCAGTGCCTCACTTATTATAATGTTGGAAAGCAGACCTTCCAAGGCATGCACTCCTCTTATCAAAAACACCCAGGGGAAATGCATACTTCTACTATAAGGAAAGTAGATGACAAGAAAATCTGTTCTAAATTCTCTTTGCTATCTTGACCATGCATGCCTGTTCCATTTTATACATAAAAATGAAATGAAAATCTCAGCTGGTCAGCCCAAGACCCCATGCAGCATTAAGTACCCCATGCGGTCCCATTTAAATTTCAACAAGAACTATCATGAACCAGGAAAAATTCAGCAAAATTTAGACACAAGAATGTATTGGTGGGAAAGAACTGCTCAGAGAGAAGATGGTGGTTCACAGAACCACTACAGCGGATAATAAAACACAAAACACTTCAATTTTCCTTAAAGAACATAGGGCTAAACAATATCTCTGATACTGAAGGGGTGAATGTATTTATAAATCAAGGAACAGTTATCCACCTTGACAAACCTTCAGTGCAAGCATCTCTGGTAACAAACATTTTCACCATTATAGGTCATGGTAAGACAAAGCAGCTGACAGAAATATAATATGTTAAACCAGCACAGTACAGACAGTCTGACTAGCTTAAGGAAACTGGCTGAAGCTCTGCCCAGCTGTGGATGGAAAAGCACTTGCCACTGGAGAAGATGGTGATGGTGATAAAGTTCCAGATCATTGGAGAATTTTGATGAGGCTTTTAAGAATGAGGCAAGTTGAATTGAGTCAACTTCTGAAGAAGAAAAAACTTGAAGATGTTACAGGAAGTTGCTATTTATCTTATGCTTTTTAAAATTGTTTTGTTTATGGACTTGATAAAATCTAGCACTCTACTATTTTTTTTCTTTTTCTTTTCTTTAGGTACCAGGGATTGAAGCCAGAGGTGCTTAACCACTGAGCCACATCCCCGGCCCTTTTCATTTTTTATTCTGAGACAGGATCTCACTAATTTGCTTAGGGCCTTGCTGAGCTGCTGAGTCTGGCTTTGAACTTGTGATCTTCCTGCCACAGTCTCCCAAGCTTCTGGGATTACAGGCATGCACCACCACACCCAGCTTCTCTAATATTTTTAAGCACAACCTGCTAGGACACTGCAGTTCTTTTTAGTTTTTGCTTATATGTAATTCATTTTTTTGCAGTTAAATAAGCTGAAGAAGCCTAGGAATAAAGTGTGAAAAGTTCTTTGCCTAGCAAAGGAAAAAAGAGAAGATGCCCAGAAATTTCAACCAGGCTCTTTTCCAAGTTCATATACTCACACATGAAGTATTAAGGTCAATGTTTTCAAGATATGAGTGTTTTGTTATCTAAAAAATGCTGCATAGTTGTTATTTATTATGTATCTGAGCCTAAGCATGAAATACAGAAGTCCTGGAAATAGAATTTATCTAAGGTTCCAGGATAGAAGAAACAATAATCATGTGCCTAAAATTGAATGTTTCTCTGCCCAGCACAGCTTCTAGGATAAAACTGCTAATATTCTGGACTCGATGAAAAGCACACACTTCCTGAGGAGTTCCTCAGAAACAGAAATTGCTGGACTTTATATTTACTGCAGGCTATACTCATGACACTGCTATAAACCTAAAATCTCTTTCAAACAAATGGCATCACAGATCCTCAGGCCAAATCTTCCAACGAATGAGTTCTTCATCAGACCCTTTGATTCCTCACCTTTTCAAGGTCTGCGCAGCTACCAAAGTCTTGCTCAGAGAGATAGCTGATGAGGGACTGTCCTTCTGATGGTCTTCGGAACATGCCCTCTCCTGAGCACAGGTACTGACCACCCTCTGTGGGAAAATGGAATGTAGATATAAAAAGTTCTGTCTCAAAAAGCAAATATGTAACAGCTAAATTTAGACTTCTTCAAGAAGTCTGAAGATTTTTTACCACTAAAGTGCTCTCATGTCTTCCCAAATAATGAGGAATTAGAGGTAAGGTATCTATCTTCTAATAGAATTACTCAGATTCTTAAGAGTCCCAGAGCACTACTAAGCCTCTTGGTTGGAGAATGGTGAACTACATGGAGAGAGTCCAGAGACAATACTTACACTATCTAAATTTATAGACGACATACTCTCCCTCCTACTCCACACTCACAAAAATCTAAAAACCCATGCTGAGAGTCAGAAAAGGACACAAGTAACTTCCTTCTGTACATGACTTCCATGTGAAACTTGTCTTCTGGTAACTAAACCCAGATACTCAAAGGCTTCTTTTCAAATTCCCTCTCACCCTCTCAGACAGCCATTCCATCTGGATCAACAGAGACGTGCCGTGATAATACCTACAACATAAGAGACAGTGGGACCCCAGAGTCAGAGGGGTCCAAGAGAAATGGCAGGTGACTATGATTTCTAGCACAGGGGTTGAAGAAGGGGTGGTCAGACTGCACAGTGCGTACCCTCCACAGAGTTGAGATGAGCACAAAAGGTGAGGCTTTAGCAGGCAGGAGGAGAAAGCAAAGAAAAGACACCATTTCATCCCTAGCCTTCCTAGTACTCACTTACCATACTCCAGGTACAGAGAGTTGGGTGTGCTGACTTCACTACTCTGAACAGAGAAGGGAAAGGGGCCTCTTAATTTCGACTTATCATTGCAGGATTCTAGTGTCAGTGACCACACCAGGAAGTAAAAACACACACAGAAGTAAGCAACAGATACATTCCCAATCTGGAGTTTCAACATTTAACTGCTACCATTCCCAAAGCCCACCTAAGAAGGAAAAGGGTAGCATATTAATAGTTAACAGCCCAAGAAAACAGAACACGTAGAGGAAAGGAATGGGAAATCAGTTGGAAGAGAGAAAACATGATCTAGAATGGGACAACACAAAGGTGAAAAGTATCAAATCAAAATGAATCAATTTAGTTATTTGCCATCCAACCAAATGTTTCTAACCACTTCACAAACTAATTTAGCAAATAGTCTATAGGTTGTTAAGGTTGTAGCTCAGTGGTAGAGTATTTTCTTGGCATGTATAAGTGAGGCCCTGGGTTTTGATTTTGTTTTATCCCCAGCACCAAAAAATAAAATAAAATAAAATAAAACAAGAGAGAGAGAGAGAGAGAGAGAGAGAGAGAGAGAGAGAGAGAGAGAAAGTCTTCAGATGGTAAAACAAACACAAGCACATTAAAATTTTCTGATACATTGACACTATATTTTTTAAAAGATATCAGAAGGTAAATTTACATTCACTAAGGAATAAAAAAAAAAAAAAAAAAAAACAGCTATGTCCTTAACAGCAGCATCAAGGCAGTGCTGAAGAAGCTAAAGACAATGGCCTTGAAATCAAAGGGCTCAGTGACTGGAAAAGGAAGACAGAGGTTTCATGATAAGGTTGGCAAAGCAGGAGGTGCCTTGGAATAAGACTAGTAAGAGCTGGAAGTGGAAAAACAGCAGCAGGCAGGGATTACAGGAAATGGGAAATTGATATTCTCCAAAAAGAAACACAAAATTTCTAGTGCCAGAGGGAAAAGCAGGTAGAAGAGCAGGTGGATGCCTAAGCAATGAGCAGGGTGCTCTGGGAAGATGAATGATTGAGACACATCTAACCTATTTCCATGGAAAATGGTACCAACTTGTCTGCTGCTCCTATTGCAAAAAAAAATGCTACTACATGGTAAGAGAAATCAGCTTTCTCCTTGGGCCTCAGAGACTTCTGGTAGCCCTAGTAGTGGGCTCTGCTCCTCACCACCAACTAGTGACAACCTAGCAGTCACCATGAAACCTTGGTAAGAAACCATGTCTTGGAAGGAAATTTTTAGATTCCAAACACAACAGAAACCTTACTTCTTTTTTTTTTTTTTAGAGAGAGAGAGAGAGAATTTTTAATATTTATTTATTGGCGGACACAACATCTTTGTTTTGTATGTGGTGCTGAGGATCAAACCCGGGCCGCATGCATGCCAGGCAAGCACGCTACCGCTTGAGCCACATCCCCAGCCCCGAAACCTTACTTCTTTACAAGATATGGCTATTCAGCCTTTGCACATTGAGTACACTACCTCCTAATGCTGCCCACCCAATTAATTCTTAGCATTTCCTTACACTCACTCAAAATCTGTCTTCTTATAATTTCTCATCCTCTTAAGAACAAATATGCTCTTCTAAATGATGATTCTGCACACTTTATTTCCTCTTAAACTTTCTCTTTTCAGAGTACCTAGATACCTAGCAGCTTCACTCATTACCAGGAGGCCATGGTTTTCAGTCCTTTCTCACCACTGTCTTGCAGACACATTACTACAGCATTAATATTTTCATGAATCACAGTACCCAGAATACAACACAAATGTTTGAGTTTTACATGCTCAAAGCCAATGATCTGGAATACAGGAGACACTACCATGAAAACCAAAGAAACAGATTCAAGTCACTAGAAAAATGTGCAATGGTTGGAATAGGGTATGGGAACTCACAGGGTTATGAAAACATATGTAAGAAAAAGGAAATGGGACTCTGGACAGGCAAAGAACATGCAAGTGTATCCAAAACCACAGAAAGGGGATAAAAAACATTCTGGTGTTAAGTCAAGGAAAATAAAATAATCCACAGTAAGTATTCAGTTAAAAGAAACATTCTGTCACTGATTCATCAAGAGACCTTAGATAAATAGTAGGTCTTTGTTTTACCTTTGGGCAAAAATTAATCACTAAGTCTTGATTCTGCCTCCCAGAAGCTGATGGGAAACTGAAGGAGGCATATAGAAGTTGTGAGAAGAACATATATCACATTAAGTATCACTGTCATTTTACAGACAGGTCCTAACATCATAACAGGACCAGACTAGCCAGACTTGATTTGACACCAGACTGTAAAAAGACGTTTTCAACTAAACAAGGGGATCACAAAGGAGCAGAAGGGAGAGAAGGTAGAGGACTGGCTCCCAAACCTGCAATGGGATCTTCAACTATAATGGTGATATTCCTGGGGCCTCCTGTAGGTAAACAGACAAGTATAGAGAAGAGTCCAGACAGAGCAAACAAGATTAGAGAAAGAGAGGAAAAAACCAAAAACAAACAAATAAAAAAACTATGTCTTTTACCTGGCAGAGGTGGGGACATAACTCCAAAAGGGAACCCCAGTGCTAAAGGAAGGATGACTTGTACAAGAAGCTACACATGACCCATACTCCCTCGGACCCTTCTGCAAGGTTTTCACAGGCTCCCTTTTCCCATGCAGGTTACCATGGTTTCTGGAATCCATGTGGATTCAAGAATGGGGGCAGGGAAGTTTTACATGCTCAAAGGCCAATGACCTGGAATACAGTAGACACCAGGCCTAAAGTATAAGATGTGACATGAGGATCTAACCCAAGCACACTCTTCACATCTAAGAAAGCTCATGGGAAGACAGGCTTTGATTTGGAGATTTTTTCTTTAAAAGTTCCAATAAGTCAAATTCTTGAGGAAAAAACAGAGATAAAATTTGCCATTTGGAAAGTTTCAGATGCGGCCCTTAGGTTCTTTTCTTTCTAAAAATTACAGAGAAGCAATGGCAGCTCCAGTTGCTAAGGGAATCCTTTTTATCCTTAATTTAAAAAAATTTTTTTTATATTTTATTTCTGGAGTTTTCTGACCCAGAACGGCCTTGCTGTTATGGAGATTCTGCTATAAGTGAAATCCAAACAAAGTCTGCCAGATACCAACAACCCAGGAAGGATGATGGCAGGGAGATGGCAAAAGCAATGAAACCCACCTTCCCCAGGTCTAGGCTGCTCTCTGCTCACCTAGTGTTAAGGAAATAGCATTCCCAGGGGCCAGGGTCTCTTTACCTGTCCCTCAGCCCCACCAACTTGGTTACCAGGTCCTATACTTATATTCCTAGTTTTAATTAGGAAACCCTAATATCACTCTGCTTCTCTCATATTGGTATTATATCCTGACCAAAGTTCCAAGGAATCACAGGAAGGGGAGGAATTTAATGGGATTATTTTTAAAGCTCTTTAATATATTCCCTTAGTTCAAGAGATCATTTAAAACTTGAAATGTGATGAGTCACACTATCCTCTGATACCAAGGAACTAATATATCCAGGAAAGTATTTAGTATTTAGCAATATATAAAGGAATAAACATAAATATATTCAAGACATTTCTTGATTATCAGTATTACATTCCAAAGTTCTCTCTTTCACTATAAAGCAGAATCTCATGTCATCAGAAACATAACCTCTTTCTGGTGCTTGGAAAGCCATAAGAACAAATGTTCCCTTCCACTCTAAAGTCAAGGGGTCATCTTGCTAACTAGTGGTTGGTGTGCACCATTACCTGGGGCTCCTCTGGAGGCAATGTTGGTATCTGAATGGGAACGAATATGGCTCTTCTTTGTCCCACTGGAGATAGTGACAGTCTGCCCCTCTGAGAAGCTAGATCTTCGAAGGACATTGGACAGCTGACTCTGCCCCCCACCCTCTTGGTCCCCTAAAGAAGAAGAAGCAGAATCTGGCTTCTGGGAGCTATCAGAGGAGAACAAATTGGAACTGCTACTTTCAGCATTGCTGCTGTGACTCTGACAGCTGGCAGTCCGGCCATGGGGGTCCAGGTTGCCAATGGCCAGGTACTCAGGTCCCTCACTGGCATCGCTTGGCGAATCATTCTGGCTGCTAACCCAGGATGCCTCTATAGGGCTGGTCAGAGCGCTGGAGCTCATCTCATTTGGGGTCAATGCAGAATCCCTGGCTACTGCAGAGTCTGAAAGCTCGGGAGCTTGGATGGTTTGATCCTCTGCTAGTGAGAGGTGTCCTCTGCTTTCTTGAGGTTTCTGGGGAATGCTGGAGAGGGAAAAGGAAGTAGATCTTCTTTCTAAAATATAAAAAATAAAGAATAAGGGAAATGAAGGTAAGCTAACAATAAAAATAAAAATTAAAAAGAGTATCTATTACCTATAAGCCATAACACATAAAAAACTTGTATAAAATTTTCTACTAAATCTAAAAAAGAAAAAAATAAAGATTTTTAAAAAAAGAGTAATCTAGAGGTCTACAGTATGCATGAAAGGCTTCTCCACAACTTAAGACCAATTCTCTATCATTACTGGGTGCTGAGGACAGATGTTACTTCAGAAAAGGTAAGTCAATTAAAGTGAAAAATTATTTAGAAGCAGCTAGGTCAAGATCCTGGGCTCTCGAGATAGAGGCTTTATGTCCTGTTGTTATGTACTCCTCATCTGCAAAATGAGCAATAATAATAACACCACCTCCCTCACAGGACTGTTTTAAGAATCAAATGAGATACTACATATAAACAGATTATAATAGAGATCAGCATGTTGTAGGCACTCAAAAAATGTTAGCAATTATTAAATGCCTTCTTTCACTGTAGATTAGAAACTCAAAATAATCAAAAAAACACTATAATATACCCATAAAAATGTGAGGGAAAAAAGAATCTAAAAATATCTCTTTCCTCTATTACTTTTTTTTTTGTTTATGTGGTGCTGAGGATTGAATCCACAGCCTTGTGCAGGCTAGGCAAGCACTCTACCAACTGAGCTATATCCCCAGCCCCCCTCTATTACTTTAATTATGTTATATTTGCTGCTATATAACTTTTTAAATATATATGAAGTTTGACAACCTATACCAACTCAAGTCTCAATTCCCAGTCTGTGAGCACTTACAAAGTCCTCTACTTTCCAGGCCTGGAGATACATGGAACCACCACCCCTTCCTGCATCCATACCTGAACTGTGGTTGGGCACAGATTGGTGGAGACCAGAGGAGGACCCAAAGTAGGAATGCTGAGCATAGCTGGTTGGAGGGGTACATGTAGAACCAGGCAGAGCTGTCAGGCTCTGGCTCTTTGTTACCAGCAGTGGGCTCTCGTGCTTTCTGGCAAACTAAAACAAAACAAAACATTTGTCAGAGTCAAGGATAGAGGCCCTTACAGGAGAGGCAGTCAATACTTCAGAAATGCTGATAAAAGCTGGCCTTTGGCAGCAAGCCTGGACTAGAGCCAGATCCTATAAACATAGCACAGCTACCTTCTAATACAGCATAAACTGAAACTGTGAAGTCCTGCTGTACACCACAGCTTCTGCAATGGAATCCTTCTAGGTGGTCTAAGTAGATGGGGTAAGCTTATTATAGGTAATAAAATTTTCTTTATACCCAAGGAAAAAAAAAGTCCCATGTACCATTAACCCATACTAGGTATGACACTGTAAACCAACTCCAAATTCAGAACTAACCTTCTTCTCCCCAGCTCTTCATCAAACCTGCATTAAGGAGGTATTTACTCAGACCAAGGGCCATAAGGACTTAAAAAACACCTACACCTCCCTACCCCACTCCTACTTCCCCCACAGCAAATAAGACCTAAGCTTAGATTTTTCACTTCAATAAATTTTTCGTTTGTTTGTTTGTTTTTGGTATAGGGTACTTAACTACTGAGACATATCCCCAGCCCTTTTTATTTTTTGTTTTAAGACAGGGTCTTGCTAAGTTACTGAGGCTGGCCTCAAACTTGGGATCCTCTTTTCTCAGCCTCTCATGTTTCTGGCTTCAATAAGTATTTAATGGGGGCTTCAATAAGTATCTAATTCAGTGGTAGAACCCTTGCCTACCATGTAAGGCCCTAGGTTTGATCCCTAGCACAATATAAACAAAGAAACTTAATGGTACCTCTTTGTTTTTTAAATATTTTTAGAAATGGAAGTCTTAGGAACTAAGAGGTAAAGCTTAGTGGTAGAGCACTTGCTTAGCATGTAAGAGGTCCTGGGTTTGATCCCCGGCATCACACACAAAAAAATTAAAATAAAAATGAAAGTCTTTCCATTCACAACTGCCTCTGTGAAGAAGTCATTTGCTACTGTGAATTAAATCATGATGAGGTCTGGGGCCCAGCACAGACATGGATAATTCCTTGCCCTCTTTACCATAGATGCATCAATCTGAGCCAGGAGGCGGGGGTTGTTCTGTTCCACAGCTTCCAGGCATTGAAGCATGGCTGTGACGTGGGCATCGCTTAGCAGGAAAGCAGTATCTGGGAAGAGAAAAGTTATCACAGAGATGAAATCCAGCAGGGAGAGCTTTAGCCTCCTTGAATGGCCCTGGGAGAGAGAGAAGAGAAAGAAAGTAAAAAGAATTGAGGAGAAACATTCCACTGAAGGGAGAAAGGGAATTAGGGACAAGTAAAGTATAGGAGAAGCTAAGCCATGTCCAGTAAGCAAAGAGCTCAAGATAAGAGGCTTCAAAAAAAAAAAAAAAAAAAAAAAGACAGACTAAATTCTGGCTCTGGGTGACTTTGGCCAAATCACCTAACCTCCTTGAACTCTGTTTCTCTGATGGGAAAATAGGAGTACTAATGCCTGACTCTTAGGGATTATTGTGATGAGGACAGTATCACAGTGCCTGGCCCAACAGAAACTCTCGATAAATGGTTTTTATGTACATTTTGGTTACACCATTACTGGTTTGTGTGTATGGGTATAGTGGAATACTTAGCATAAGGTTTTATTGTTTTTCAAGGGAGGTGAAAAGGAAGACAGGATATGTTTCTAAGTAAGAATCTCTTGGCATCAAGTGAAAAATATGAGGCTCTGGAATTAGAGAGACCTTATAGAGGAATAGTAGAAGAGAATAAGGAAGTATATACAGCAACCCTAAGTGATCTCTACCCACCTGTGTAGAATTTTCTAATATACTGTCTATCCCCAAGCAGAGGTCGAAGCTGGGCTGAGAGGCAGTGGCACTGTAAGCTGTGCTGTAGCCACAACTCTGCAACAGCATGCTCACTCACACCATCGGCATTATTCTGGCCATTCTCATGTAAGTTGATGAACTGTGAGACAAAGAGGCAAGAGTCAAAGTATACATCCTGTTAGATACAGCAGGATTGAGGCCTAATGACCCAAGAACTCACTGAGATAGGTAAAGGGAGGCAATCAGAAGTATTTTTCTCTAGCTAGCATCTAGAGGATACTAGAGTTAGAGAATGATGTAAGGGATTAATAGTTTCCTTGATGAATTGTACCACTAGTGAGGAACTAAGCAGTTAAGACCTGATATGCAATTCTAGGAGAGGCAACTCCAGGAGAGACAAAGCTGCTACATTGGCTCTTTTTTTCCTAAAGTACTCGGAATTGAGCACAGGGCCTTGCAAGGCAAGCACTCTTCCTCTGAGCTGCACCCACTCCCACCCCTGAGCCTTTTAAAAAATTTTATCTGGAGATAGGGTCTCAATAAGTTGCCCAGGCTGGCTACCAACTTACGATCCTCATACCTTAGCCTCCACCTCCTGACTAACTGGGACTATAAGTGTCCACCACTATGCCAATCCACATCTGGCTCTGTTCTGGGATACTCAGAGGAAGGAAAAACTTGACCTCTTGGCTTTTCTCAGAGTCCTCTATTTTAGGTGGCCTTCAAAAAAGAATGTGACAAAAATCTTGGGGGGTGGGAGGCATCTTGGAAAAATGCCACTGAAGAGAAGCCATCTGAGCACTTCTTTTTGGCTTTAGATGCAAAGTTCTGTTTGGAACCTTGATCTTGAATGTTTTTAAGAATAAAATCTTGTAGCCCAGGATTAGTCTGACAAAATATATGAATGGCAATTTCAGGCATCTTTTAAGAGAAAATAACAATAGCAACATAATTTAGAAAAGAAGTTAGAGGAAGGCTTAGTGGGAAAAATAGTAGTGACGAGAAAAAAGGAAATAACAGGCTTTTCTATAGAATTGAGGCACTGTGATTTGGTTTCCTGATTATCTAGAAAGAAGCTACTTTTCCTAACATTATCTTAGCAATGAATCTAGCATTAGGGGGTATGCACAGAACAAGATTGGCAGTACATTGACAAATGCTGAAGTGGGGTGATGGATAGTTTGGAGTTTGTTTTGTTTTTCTAATTTTATATATATTTGAAAATTTCCATAATATAGAGTGAAATGAATATATACATAAACTTGGCAGTGATTGTTTTGGAACCAGGTGTGTAACTTCAGCCATTATCACCTAACTTTTGAGTTTCCCTGATTAGAAATCAGGGGTACCATATTAAGCTGAGAACAGGAGAGAGAAGTACTATAACAGTAGCCAAAGCTGTTAGGGACATCATACTTGGTTCCATTTGATATTGGCCTACAGAAATCTCACATTCCTTTCTAACTGGTACTTTTTCTTCTTAAATAATTAGCATAAAAGTCCCACTTCCCCTGTTATTTTAGAAAAACTCTTGCCATTTTCCCTTGATTTTGAAGAGCTTATTTATGGTCCCACATTCACAGATCTTTACATCTTCCCCAGAGGAGAGAAAGTGACCTGGATCAATAGGTCTGTAAGGTTTATTTTTTAATTTTTGGTACTGGGGTTTGAACCCAAGAGCACTTAACTGTTGAGCCACACCCCTAACCCTTTTTATTTTGAGACAGGGTCTCACTAAATTGTTAGGGCCTCCCTAAATTGCTGAGGATGGCCTCAAACTTGCAATCCTCCTGCTTCAACATCCCAAATTGCTGGGATTACAGGTATATGCCACCATGCCCTGCAGGTTTATTTATTTATTTACTTATTTTTAAAGTAAATGCCAGTTCTACAGGAATAACTTCCTTTCCTCAGTTATCAGGAAACTGGATACACTCCATTCTAGGCGAGAATTCTCTTCCAACTGAATATCAAACAGTGAAGACTTGCAGCTGCACCTTAGAATACCAGTTCTTCTTTCACGCTTACCTTCTCTACATGAAGGGCTGAGTGGGGACTAAGCCACCGGATGTCTTTCACAAATTGCCAGTAATCAGTTTGGCGGCAACAAACCTGATAAAGGAACACACAAAGTGAGCAAATCACTACCATTCTGGACCATATCTAGTTTTACTATTGACTTTCAAAGACAGAAAAAAAGAGCATAATCTTCCCTTTCCTCAACAAAAGTTCTCAGCAGCAATAAAAGGAATATATACACATCTTCACCCTTTTAAAGATTGTTTAAAACTTCTTTAATCATTCTTCTGAACAGGTGTACATGCATATGATATACACAGCATACAGTGGAAGTAATCTCTTTTCTACTTCTTTCTACCATTCAGTTTCCTAAATAGTAATTCTTAAAGCTGGTGAAGAACTATTAAAAGCCAGAGATAAACACCTTCAGTACTTACTACAAACAAAGTCAACTAAGGAAACACTTGCTTTTCTCATGCTACCCAGTTCAGGAAATGGCTGTATTTAGAGTGAAAGAAATGCTCAGTCCTACATAAAATGGTCTTAGACAGGAAAAGGCCCAAACACGATAACAAAATGCTTACATCATGAAAACCTAATTGATTTTTTAGAATCCTTCACCAGACTATCCAGCAGAAGTTAAAATTGAAATTTAAATAATTTTGAAAATAAAGAACTAGCACAAGTATCAAGAGACAAACCAGTTAATGGAACAGAATAAACAGCCTAGAAAGAGACCTTAAAATATATTAGAACCTAATATATAATCCAAAAGCATCTCAAAAGTCGATAGTAAGAACCATTATGAATTATTATATACCACCAAATTAGAAAACTTAGAACACATAAATTTCTGAGCACACATAACCTAACCAATGAACTATGAAGATGCAAAACCTAAACAGAGGGCTGGGGTTGTGGCTCAGTGGTAGAGAGCTCGCCTCACACATGTGAGACACTGGGTTTGATCCTCAGCATCACATGAAAATAAATAAACAAAATAAAGATATTATGTCCATATATAACTAAAAATATTTTTTAAAAAACCTAAACAGACTAATAACAAGTAATGATGTTAAGTCAGTAATAAAAAGTGCACCAAAAAGAAAAGCCCAGGACCAAATGGCTTCACTGACGAATTTCATCAAAATTTTAAAAAACTAATATTACCAGGTGTAGTGGTGCACAGCTATAATCCCAATGACATGGAAGGCAGGAGAACTGCAATATCAAGGGAAATCTGGACATAGTAAGATCCTTTCTCAAAATTAAAAAAAAAAAAAAATTTAAAGGGCTGGGGATATAGCTCAGTGGTTAGCTCTGGTACTGCCAAAAACAAACAAACATAAATAAATAATAAAATAAACTGAATACCAATTCTTCTCAAACTATTTGTTTATTCATTTATTAGTTTCCTTCCAGAGAATTTGAAGGGAGGGAACTCTTTAAGTCTCATTCTATGAGGTCAGCATTACCCTAATATCAAAACCAGACAAAGATATAACAGTAAAAAGAAAAAAACATACTGATTAGTATCCCCAATGGATGTAAATACAAAAATTCTCAACAAAATACTAACAAATCAATTCCAACAGCATATCAAAAAGACTGTATTTCATTATCACTGACAGAGTGGTGCACACCTGTAATCCCAGCAACTGGGAAAGCTGAAGCAGGAGGATTGCAAGTTTGAGGTTAGTCTCAGCAACTTAGCAAGACCCTGTCTCAAAATAAAAAATATAAAGGGCAGGAGATATTGCTCAGTAGAGTGCCCTTAGGTCCAATCTCTAGTACTGCCAAAACAAAGAGAGAGAGAAAAGATTATATACCATGATCAAGTTGGATTTATCCTGGGAAATGTAAGGATGGTTCAACATATACAAATTAATAAAAATAAATCACATCAGAATGAAGGACAAAAATGATATTATCAACCAATAGGAACAGAGAGTATTACAAATTTTAAATTTCTTTACAGGGCTAGGGATGTAGTTAAGTGGTAGAACACTTGCTTAATATACTGAAAATTCTGGGTTTGATCATCAGCATTCCAAAACAAAAACAAACAAACAAAAAAAACCAACCCTCAAAAAATTTTCTCTTTATAAAATAAAAAACAGTATGAATGTTCATTTTATAAAAGATAAAAATACATAAACAGCTTGAACATTTGTCTGAAGAGTACTGATTACATAAATTAGGTTATATACATATGTGTAATATTATATATACATTAAAGACAAAGCTGTATATTTGATGAAAAAGTGATGGCTTCCCAATTCTTCTTATTCTGGGAAAGAAGCACTTTCTCCAGTTAGGTATAGATGATTCCCTAGAATAACCATGCACTTTTATTACAACCAATAAAGGTGCAGCTTACCAAGAATGTTATTTTATGTTCCCAAATCTATTTTTTGTCAATCGTACTTGTTATAATTTCACATTTAAAATTATGATTATTCACACTGAGAAAATAACTAGTATAACCAGATGTGCTGGTGTACGCCTGTAATCCCAGTAGCTAGTGAGGCTGAGACAGGAGAATTGCAAGTTCGTGGCCAGCTTCAGCAATTTAGTGAGACACTAAGCAACTCAGTGAGACTCTATGTCAAAATAAAAACTAAAAAGTGCTAGGTATGTAGCTCAGTGGTAAACTTGAGCCTGGATTAAATCCCCAGTATAAACAAAACAAAAACAAAAACAAAAAAATCCTGATATATTTATGAATACTAAATAGTATGCTCTGAAAAACCTTTTCAATAAAGGTAAGTCATAAAAGACTTGAAGTCAAATTAGGTAGAGGCAAGACAATTTTTAGAAGTTTAAAAAAACCAGAAAAATAGAGATTTTTATATTCATATTATAAGATCTTTAAGTTACTGATTCAGTACAAAGAAAGTGAAACTGGAAATTCGGTATGATGTATTATAGGTGTGGTTTATATAAGAAAGATGATGTAGAAATTCTCTGGAAAGAAACTAGTAAATAATAGTTAACTATGGGATCAGAAAGGAACAAGATTCTTCACTATATTTTTTATACTTTCTAATGTTTTTAACCACATTAAGTAATGGTATATTCAAAAAATTGAAGATATGAACATAAGTTGTAGAGTGATAAACAATGATACTACCATTTTTTAGAAAGAATATAAATACATGGGAAAAAGTTCAAGACAATCTAACAAAATATTAAAGTTGTTATTACTTGGTGTTAAGATTATGGGTGACATTTACTCTTCTTTCTGGTATTTGCCAAATGTTCAACAAATAAGAATTTATATAATTTACATACTCAGAAAAAAACACAGATCTTTTTCATTATTTTTGTTATTTTTAAAATTGGGCTAATTTGTTATGAACAGTTTCTTCTTGGTGATGGAAAAGCAGGGAATTCTTTGACTTCTCCTAATTCAGCTATCTCAGGGTCTGAGTGTCTCTACATTTCCAGTAGTAGAATAGAGATTATAAAATATGCCTTGCTTCATGGAAGGACTAAAAGGTAGTCCAGATACAGGCTGTCAAGGAAAATAAGATCCTTGATTAAGAATACCATCATGGGCTGGGGTTGTGGCTCAGTGGTAGAGTGCTTTCTTTGCACGTGTGAGGTACTAGGTTCATTCCTCAGCACCACATAAAAACAAATAAAAATAAAGATATTGTGTCCATCTACAACTTAAAAAAATACCATCATGATGCTATAGCTTTTCAAATGCCCTAAATGATTAAAAAACAATAATTCATATTCCATTACACATCCTTATGAAAATACAGGAGACATGACCAACACGAAGCATTGTATCCCTTCCCCCACTCTAAGGATATAACACCCAGAATAGCTTGATGACACAGCAGCCTGAAACCCTTTGAAAGCCTTAATCTTTTGGGGAGGAAGTGAAAAAGGAAAAATAAGTCCTTGACACAGACTTTATTTCTTAGATCTTTTAAGGAAGAACAAAGCAGTAATGAAATTGGCATGAATCTATTGTTTTTTATTTTTCCCCATTAGAGCTTCTACTTGAGAAATGTGTGTGTGTGTGTGTGTGTGTGTGTGTGTGTGAGAGAGAGAGAGAGAGAGAGAGAGAGAGAGAGAGAGAAAGAGAAAACGTATGACAGATTTGCCTGGTTTGCTCTGCTTTTATTTATTAACACTACTGCTGTCTGGCAAGTGATCACATACTTTGATGCTTTTTATTCTGATGACCAGGTGCTTTCACAGATATTATGCTTTCAATAACTGGAACAAAATATGCTTCTAATATTGTGCATTTACAAAGCATCTTTCATTTAAGAATCTCATTGACTTTACTATTTCATCATGATACATTTTCTTTTTCTAGTACAGATGATAAACTATCTAATTATATGGTTAAGTGACTACTCTAGATGAAAATGTAAAATTAGTAATAGAGCCAAGAAAAGAACCTATTTGTTATTGAGACATAAGTACTTTAACCACTAAAGGCAGCACCTCTGACTTGGTATCTATTTTGGTCATTAGACCAGGAAATTTGCAGTTTTTGTAAAACATGTTGGTATGATTCTTGGGTACTGGCTCAGCACACTTAGTAAGTCAACGTTACAAATTAGTATAAAGAATATCATGAGGAAGGACAATCTCATGAGAAAAAATAAGTTTAGTATTGATTGTGCTTAGCCTGTAGGATGGACAGCCATATGGCAAGATATAGGAAATTGCTAGTCTTATGGACCTAGAATTCATCAGAGAAGTCTGAGCTGGGCATCATCAATGCACAAGTAATAGTTACAACAATGAAAATAGATGAGATTGTTTCAGGAAAATGTACAGAGTAAGACGAGACAAGGACATACAGGAGAACACCACAAAAAAAAAATCATAAAGGAAGAAATTTGCCGGGCTCAGTGGCATACACCTGTAATCCCAGTGGCTCAGGAGGTTAAGTCAGGAAGATTACGAGTTCAATTTGAGCTTCAAGCAAAAGCAAGGTACTAAGCAACTCAGTGAAACCTTGTCTCTAAATAAAATATAAAATAGGGCTGGGGATGTGGCTCAGTGGTTGAGTGCCCCTGAGTTCAATCCCCAGTAACCGCCACCCCCCCCAAAAAAAGGAAGAAATTTTAGGGAAAGAAACTGAAGAGTGGTACAAATGAAGAACAATAATCCTATGACATAAGATATTGTCATATAAATCAGGATTTCATGATGGTCAACAATACTACACATAAAATAGTATTCAAAGGAGAAATGTTCATAAGATTAGGTAACATAGATGTCATTTTTCTTAAACTGAACTGTTAAGATCACCAGCAGTGAGGGCAGACAACAGAGTTCAGTGAGTGAATGTAATTGCTTTGAAAATTTCAATGTTCTTGGGGATGGGATTGTGGCTCAGCAGTAAAGCGCTCATCTAGCACATGCGAGGCCCTGGGTTCGGTCCTCAGCACCACATAAAAATAAATAAAATAAAATAAAAATATTGTGTCCAACTACTTCTAAAAAAAAAGTTAAAAAAATTTCTATGTTCTTGATCACACAGAATTACAAGTAATTGGAAATTAAAATAATGAAGGAATATTAATTACTTCTTATATGCCACAAACTACTAGACAGATTTTTCTTCATTTAATTTTCTTCACTTAATTTTTCCATCAAGATTTATTTTATAAAATAAATATCATTATCCTCATCTGAATAGACAAAAAGGGCCAAGGCTCAAAAAAAGTTAAGTAATATCACCAAATAGTGAAGATTGGCTGACAACTATATTTTCTAATGTTTTTCATGTATTACCTAAGTCTCACAGCAACCCTTGGAGGTGGGCACCAGTGAACATAACTTACCCATTATTACATAATTTATGGTGACACTGAGATTAAACTATGAGAAGTGTGGTCAGGTGTAATTCCAGCACCTCAGGAGGCTGAGACATGAGGATTAGAAGTTCAAAGCCAGCCTCAGCAATTCATCAAGACCCTAAGCAACTAAGTGAGGCCCTGTCCCAAAATAAAAAAAATAAAAAGGGTTTAACAAAAAAAAAAAAAAAAAAGCAGTGCAACTTTAAAGTCCATAATTATTGTCATTTTATTTATTATTATGTCATTTTATTTCCCAAGAACTTGGGCATTGAGTCTATATTTTGATCTACATACTATTTGATTCCAAAGACTTCTGTCAGTCCATTATACAATGTTGCCTTCATATTCCTAGAAAACTGTTTTATATTTTATTTTGGTAGAAGGAATTAAACCCAGAGGTGCTTTACCACCAAGCCACATCCCTAGCCCTTTTTATTTTTAGACAGGGACTCAATAAATTGCTGGGGCCCCACTAAATTGTCCTTGGATTTTTGATCCTCCTGCTTGACTCCTGCCCAAGTCACTGGGATTACAGACATGTGCCACTGCACCTAGCTCCCTCCTTCCCTCCTTCCTTCCTCTGTTCCTCCCTCCCTTCCTTTCTCCCTCCCTCCCTACCTCCCTTCCTTCCTTCCTTCCCTCCCTCTCTTCCTTCCTTCCCTCCCTCCCTCCCTCCTTCCTTCTCTCCCTCCCTCTCTCCTTCCCTCCTTCCTTCCTTCCTTCCTTGTACCAGGGATTGAACTGAGGGTCATTTAACAACTAAGTCACATCCCCAGCCCTTCTTGTATGTTTTGAGACAAGGTCTCACTAAGTCCTCAGACCTTGCTAAATTGCTGAGGTTGGTCTCAAACTTGAAATTCTTCTGCCTCAGCCTCCTGAGGCACTGGGATTACAAGTATAGCCATGCAGTCAGCTGGAAAGATGTTTTTAAAATGATGACCATTAGAATTCAGCTCTTTAAATGCTCATGTTTTTTCTATCTTCCAAGTCCTTTAAGACACAGGAACTCACCTTCAGAACTTACTCTGAATAGAAAAATTCTAATCTAAGCTAACTTTCCCATTGAATTATAAAAATACCCAACAGGAACACTGGTTTAAAGATATTTTTCAGAAGCAATATACATATCTTTCTAGAAGGGAAGGTAACATTATATTCTATCAAGTATGAACACTTTCACTACAGCCTATTAGATCTTTTGCAATATGACTACCAACTGAAAACAAATTCTGATAAAAAAGAAAATGAACTTGGGCAGGGGAAAGGATTTCCAGGAAACAATACTCGTCCCTGACATGGGAGGATATGAGTGTTTATAAGTACATAATTGTGCATATATTTGTGAAGTTTGATGTTTTAAAAGACTGTATTAAACCCCAATGACTCACTAGAAAATTTTACCCATAACAAAACCTTATTTGAAACACTGCAAATGGAGTAATTGCCAAAGATAAAGCAAAAACCATTAAGTATTATAGGATTCCATTTATTTTTGAAACTCAATGTTATTAGAATTGAGGATATAAAGAAAAAGAAACTCAACATCAAATAAAGTTTATAACAAAAACACAAATTAAAATCAAAACTACCACTCAGAAACATCAACCAGTTGTCTACAAAGTAATGTTCAAAGGATATTAAAAAAACGATAATATAATTATTTCTCAAATGTGTCCTGGGATGCTCCTAAGAGAAAAATCCCAATGACTCAATCACTATTAACTACCCAGGCTAATCTTCACTTCTCTTCACCTCGTTTTCACTAGTCATTTCTAAAACTGCTGGAGTTTTCATGTGAATTTTGAGGATGAATTCTCACTAGCCCTATAAGTAAAGTATTTAATTCTTTCATCCTATTACTAATTTAAAGCAAAGATAGTAATAAAAAAAATTCTGAATTTAGGAAACAATGAAAAATCCAATTCAAAGAGAATCAGGGAGGTGGGTGTGGGGATGTGAACCATGGTTTTAAAACAAACCTAAGATTTAGGGGGGAAAAAAAAAAGCCTCTTGACTTTGGTTGACTAACAATGGTCCTACAAGGTCGGCACAGTGGGGTATGCCTGTAATTCCAGCAGCTCAGGAGGCTGAAATAGGAGGATCATGAGTTCAAAGCCAGCCTCAAAGCAAAGCAACTCAGTGAGACCCTGTCTCTGAGTAAAATACAAAATAGGGCTGGGGATGTGGCTCAGTAGTCGAGTGCCCCCAAGTTCAATCCCCGGTACCCAAAAAGAAAAAAGAAAAATGGTACTCCAAGACATCCACATCCCAATTCCTAGAACCTGTGAATGTTACCCTTTATGGCAAAAGGGACTTGGCAGTTGTGATTAAATTAAGGATCTTTTGACTGATACAATACTGCACACCTATAATCTCAGGTACTCAAGAGGCTGAGGCAAATTCAAATTCAAAGTCAGTCTGTACAATTTGTCTCAAAATAAAAAATTACAAGGCCAGGAATGTAGGTCAGTGGTACAGTACCCCTGGATTCAATCCCCAGTACTGCCAAAAGAGTAGGAGGGAGGAGGAGGAAGAGGAGGGGAAGAAAGAGAAGAAGAAGAAAAAGAAGAAAAGGAAGAGGAGGAGGAGGAAGAAGAAAAAGGAGAAGGAGGAGGAGGAGAAAAAATTAAGGAACTTGAGATGGTGAGATTATCCAGGTGGGCCCTATGTAATTACAGGAGTTCTTCTAAGAGGTATTGAGGATAGAGGAAGGGGCTAGGAGCCAAAGAATTCAAGGAATGCAACTCTAGAAGCCAAAAAGGCAAAGAAATGGGAGAATCCCTTAGAGCCTCCAGAAGCACAGTCCTGCAGACACCATGCTTTTAGCCTAGTGAAACTTAAGTCAGAAATGTGACCTCAAATAATAAGTTATAATAATATTATTATTATTATTAAAATATATAACATTATATACTCATATATAATAATATATACTACTATGTTATATAACATTGTATATATAATTATATATTATCACATATAATATATTATACACAATAATATATTATTAAAATAATATTAGTGTTTTAATACTTAAATAATAACTGTAAAATAATAAGCCATTAAGTTCATAGTCATTTGTTAAAGCAACAACAGTTAACATAAACTGATCATTGATAATATGCTGTCACACTCAGCAATTTATTCATTCCACTGACATCTATGGTACATCAGGCACTAAGTAAAATGTTTTGGATCAAAAAATAATAATGTATTAAATCTCAATCCTACCATTAAGAGCTCACAGACAGACTGAGGTTGTGGTTCAGTGGTATAGTACTTGCCTGGCATGTGTAAGGCACTAGGTTCAATCCTTGGCATCACATATAAATTCTACTGATTTATATAGAATTTATGTATTGTTTCTGTCTACAACTAAAAAAAAAAAAAAAAAAAGAGCTCACAGACTAGTGCCCTTCATCTTCTCTCTGCCAAACACCTTAATGCAACTATTAACTATTTGTTTCCAACAAGTAATACAGAATTAGAAAAAAATAAGATTTCTACATACCTGGTCATGTATGAGCCCATGATAGAGAATGCTCTGCATGTCCCTACAAAGCCGCTCCAGGCCACCATACTTGGACCAAACATTGGGGCTATTGGCTGACACCAAACCTTCAACAGTAGTCTTCAAATTGCCCAGCAACTGCCAGTGCTCCCTCCTGCAATTATATCAATGTTTAGTTAAATTTGTTATACCTGATTTCTGATCATACCAAACAAAGTCTAAGCCAAGGATCCTTCTGCCCACATTCTAACGTTCTCTCCTTCCATTCATTTTACACTTGAGAATAGACTCAACTCTTACAGGATAAAACTATAAAGAACACTAAAATTAAAAAGAAGAAACAAACTATCAAACACCCTTATTTTACATGACACATTATACTTTGTGAATGATTTTCATCTACTGTCTAATTCAATCTTCATATAAGTAGTCTACAACTCTGTGTATTTAGGAGTATGACATATTAAGATCCATTTCTGAACAGTGATAGTACAAGGGCAAAAAGATGAGTGCATTTACTTAGAACCAGAAATCTTTTACCAAATAAGCAAACAAAAAGCCAAACACTACTTTGTATTCAATATTATTTCTAAGCACTAAGTACAATATAGTAAAGGGCAGAAAGTATTCATGTACATACTCACATAAATATGGATAAGAACACAAATGTCCTCCATGATTTTTAAGTTAAAATTCAGACAAAATTGTTTTAAAGTTTGCACTGAGCCACTTCAGGAAAAGTTCCCAAACCAGTCCATTATCAGCTCATTCTCCTAGATGACTTGATGTACTTTGGTAGAAAAGTTTGAAATTGCTGTCCTAGAAGATCCTCAACTTTTCTCTTAAATCTCCAACATTTTCTCAATATAGTTTCCAACACAATAAAAACTCAAAACCAAATGTAAGTGAATGAAAGAGCTGGATATATGCTCAATCAAACTAGGCAAGGAAAACATGAGAAGTGTCAAACTCTGCCTCTTGGGCCCCCATTCGTTATGTTGCACACTTTATCTTCCTCTTATTTTTTTTTAGAATATACTTCCTTCTTCAGGGCAATGATTTCTTCAGAGAACTTTCACCATAACTGTTTTATATCATATAAATATCTATGGGGGGGGGGTCCTGAATTAAAATCCTTTCTATCAATACTCCAAACTAATCTCTTTTGTTAATTTTTGGAGATATTTTAGGAAAGTAAAATTCATAAATAAAATCAATGATAGATAGGGTATAAGAGTGTTATCTCAAAAGGGAGGTCCAGATGGATCTCACTCCGGTCTTCTGCTCTGAAGGTCTTGTGAACAAGAATTTATTTAAATTGGAGACAACCAGTTTCCTTAACTTTATCTCATTAAACATGGATCACCAGACTTGTTCTATGTCTGTATCAGAGGGACTAACGTGATCACTAAAATGCCAACTGACTGCCAACTTTTAGCTCCAACTATGCTTTATCAGAGCTAACCGCAGGTCTTCTGACACAGTTTTCACATTCCAACAGGCTACAGTCAAGTCTTAGAGGCCTGAAAACCTGTCTGGCTTAACAGGTGACTCTGCATATCTGTGTTCTGATTCATTCTGCATTAGCTGTCAAAGAATAGCAAGATAAATTCCACAAGCAAACATCAAATACCCTATCACCCTAGAACTTTGCTTCTAAAGTTATACAAAGAGCAATGAAATCCTCAAAACTATGAACATTCATATCTACTAATAGCTTCCTTTGGATGATGCTAAGGAACTTTTCTTTCTCCACAGTAACATTCCCTTGAGTTGTCAAAGCTACAAAAGAATGTGACTTTTATTCTATAATATACTCAATAATCTATATTTGGGGTGTGTGTGTGTGTGTGTGTGTGACACACTAACACACACACACACACACACACACATACACATACATATATGCTCACCTAGAAGTAAACCAAACTTTTTTTAAAAATTGATTTACATGATTAGTCTGTGTCTTCACCTTGTTAGTGTCCTCTACCCTAATGATACAAATATCATTTTCAGAGTGTTGAAATACTAAATTCAATTGATGCCCATACATAGCAGTTGGATTAATCCATTAGATGCAAGCAAACAAATCACCATGGAGAAATCAAATATCCTTTCCCTATTCTTTAACCACATTTTCAGCTGGTAAGGCCAGTTTTTCCTAGCTTAAACCTGTTTGATAATAATTATTTGTATGGTATCACCTTTTATTCACAAGTAGCCTTTACCTGGACACAGTATATTAGATTGAGAAGTGTATTAGGTTGAGAGCAGTCCTTGGAAGAATAGCTTTCACAAGTACACAAAATGTTTCTTCCTTATTCACCCTAAAATAAAAGCATGTATTTCTAAGTCTCTCACTCTCTGCCAAAGAGGAACTAGGCCTGAGTGCAAGGGAAAGCATAACTCACCTCCACCTAAATCATTTTCATCAACTCACAGTAAAACCAATTTCAGAATAAAGTCCCACCTAATTTTTTTTCCACCTAATTTTTAAAATAATTTTTTTTAGTTCTAGATGGACACAATATCTTTACTTTTATTTTTATGTGGTGCTGAGGATAGAATCCAGTGCCTCATACATGTGAGGCAAGTGCTCTACCACTGAGCTACAGCCCCAGCCCCCTACCTAATTTCTTTTGAGAGGATTTTGACTACATTCCTCCTTTAAAGAGGAATAGAAATTGCTTAAGTGACTCAAGGACATCTAGAGGAAAAATAATTTTCCTAAATGCCAACTCAGTCTTAAGTTTGCCAAATTATAATAAGGAGCACCAAGATTAAAACAAAAAAAAAGTTACAAACAAATCTTATTTTTAAGAAACTTGTATTATCATATATATGTAACTAAAATATAACTAATAACTAAAAATAAGTGATATATAATAAATAAGGGAAAGTACTTTGCAAATATAAAGGGAGATTCAACGGAATAAATATATACAGACACATCATCAATCTCCAAGTACTCTTATTAGTGGTAAAGAGAAACAACTTCAGCTCATCAGCACATGCCTTCCATCCAGTGACTTTTATCTAGATTGGGTCATGATATCATTACCTGATACTTCAACACAGTTGAAGATCAATCTGTACCAAGTAAGGAGAGAGAAGTATGATATCCATATAATGAAATACCATGAAAGAATTGAAATTCTTGATCAAAAAGATTCCAAAGCTAATGATAGTATATTAAACTATAAAAAGGCAAAATGTAATGTTACATTTATGCCACAACATAAAGACACTAAAAAAATGTTTACAGCAGTAAATTTTGGTGATATTAAGGGAACACAGAGAAGAGGGGAAAAGTTTAGGTGTTCTTTGAAACCAGTAATTAATAATGGATCAATGATCTGAACAAAGTTAGCAAACAAGAAACTGGAAAGCACCATAAAGGATTTTTTTTTAATACCCAAGTATCAGGGGCTTCCTAGGCTGAAAGACTGTGGTCAGGTAAGCCCCTGGGAATTTTAATTCTAGAAAACACTTCCTGGAAAGAAGTAATGGGTTCCTCCTCAAGGGAGAGGAAAAAAAAATAAGAGAGATAATTACTAGTAACACTGAGGTAGCAAGAGACTCCCACACTTAATTTGTGTTTAGTACATTTTTCTATCTGGCTACATATTTTCTGTTTTTAACTATACAGTATTAACTTGTAGACTATAGAGTTAAGTATTTATGCTGCTTTTAATATAAATAATATAGAAAAAACAGTACTTGACTCTATTATAAATAGTCTCTCGGTTCTGGGGTACTTAGGAGAACCTAATTATTGGCCAGTTCCATCCCTTTAATGGCCAAATCTTAATATCTGGGAGGAAATAGGCAGTATCTATAGCATACTTGGCGACTTCATACCTATTAAACCAATGTCTCACCAACCATACTAAATTTAAATGATACTGAAATTAGTGAATTTCAACAATGAGTTAGATTTAACCAAAGGCAGGAGAATCCCTTATGTCAGAAAACTAACCATGGATGATGTACAGACTTCCTGGTATGAAGTTCAAAGATTTTAAATCACCAGGCCCCAATCTTAACACCAATTTTCCTGCTCGGTATTCTTTAATTTAAATACAATATAGACTACCTCTCTCCCTATTACAAACATGACAATCTCACTTCTATTTCTGTGACTTCATCAGATCTTTTCATTTTGGAATGCTTCTTGTCACCCCATTCAGGGATTAAGGTTTACCTCTAGCTCAGTCTCTTTTCCAGAGGTTCTAAATGATCTGGTCCACTATAATTCCTTTATTAGCGCTCCCATAATATACGTCATTGATATACCATTCCTCCTACTAATATTTAAAAACTATTATTTAAATTGTCACATGTGATTAGTGGCAATCATGTTGGACAAAGTAGGTCTATAATCACCCAGACAATATGATGAAACTTGTGGCATAGAAGATCAAAAAAGAAGAGGAGGAGGAGGAGGGAGGGGGATAAAGAAGAAAGAAAAAAGAAAAAATCCACCTAACAGAAGTGATAAAGCTATAAAGAAGCAGAAACAGCAGGGTGTGGTGGGGCATGCCTGTAATCCCAACAATTTGGGAGGCTGAGGCAGAAGGATTGCAAGTTCAAGACCAGCCTCATCAATTTAGCAAGGTCCTTAGCAACTTAGTGAGACCCTGTCTCAAAATTTTAAAAAAGAGTGGGTCTGGGGACGTGGTTCAACGGTTAAGCACCCCTGGGTTCAATGGTTCAATCCTTGGTACAAAAAAAAAAAAGCAGAAACAGCTGTGAGGAGAAAGAATATTGAGAAAATCTTCAGGCTTAGGGTTACTGTAGTCAGCTGATTTGCCTCCCCCTCTTGGGTTCTGACAATAGCAGTTTTCCTAAAAGTTACAAGGGTACATTTCTATGGTGTATGTGTTTCATATTGTTTTGAGTACTAGTAATTGAATTAGCAGTGTGAACTGCTAAAAAATCATATGATTAACCTGCTTTACTATTAGTTCTATATGAATTGTCAATCCTTAGCATGATCAAAGGGAAAAATATGAAGTAAAAATAAATGTGAAAAAAATGAAAATGAATAGGGAGGAGAAATAAAAGGTCCTTTCAATAGCAAGAGTACCACTGGCACTGCCCAACTGTAAAAGCCATGTTCAAATTGTTAATCTTTTCATTTCCTGAACAAATATTCACTGAGCATCAAATATATGTCAAGAACTGTGTTAGGAAGCTAGGTTATTTGAGCAAGAGGGTCCCCATCTCTCAGGGAACTCAAAAAGTAATGGGGGAAACAGGCACTTAACTATGCTATGAAGGCACTATGCTGTGAAGTGAGAATGGAAAAGAACAGGTTAGGGTTACCTTCTAAAGAAGTTGTTAAAGGATGACTAAGCTTTCCTGGCAAAGATGGAGGTATTGCAGGGAGTGTGGAGAAGCAAGAAAAAGAAGAGCAAGAGAGATGTGAAAATGGCCAAAAATCTGGGGCTGAGGTTGTGGCTCAGTGGTAGAGCGCTCACCTAGCATGTGTGAGGCTCTGGGTTTGATCCTCAGCACCACATAATGAAAATAAAGGTATTGTGTCCATCTACAACTAAAAAAGAAAATGGCCAAATGTCATGGTTCTGTAACTAGGAGATTCATAAGGGATAACAAACAGATTGAATACTGGAATTCTGAGTAAAATACCATAGTAACTTTGTTTCTCAAAAATTAAATTAGTAGCAGTGTGAAGAGGCTAAATTCAGACAGGAAGATTGGTTAGTATACAAAAATAATCCCCGATGAGAGATAACACTATTCTGCATGGTTTGCATCTGCCCAGAATTCATGACATTTTATTTTGGTGACAGAACTCTCGATTTTCCACAGGGGAACCATACCTCTACCATACCTCTGTTAAAAATTAGGCAGCCACGCATATTGGCACACACACATACCTCTACCAATTAACTTTGATTCATGAGGTTCCAAGAAGGTCTCACTTGACCCTAGGATCCAGCATTGGGTATATAATTTAGGTCCAAGTGAGTAGCATATTCCATACCTTGATCACAAGAACGGGAACTCAAATCAGAACAAAAAGAGTCAGTCCCAGGATTTTTGTTTTTGCAGAAGCTATTGGGACTACGTACTTTTTTTCTTATTGGGATTGCCAAACTTGGAGTTGGCAAGAGTTATCCTGTAAAAGTTTGCCTGATAATGAAACCAACACATCAGGAAGCAGAGCTCACAGACTGGGACAAATGCTTGACTTTCAGAACCTAGACTGACCATGCCTAAAGCAAGACAATACCCTGAATTTTTTTGAATTTTTTTTCCCTTTACTTCGAAGGAAAATCAGGAACAGAATTCATAAAATCTAGTGACTGGATATAGGAAATGGAGAAGAGGGAAACATCAAATTTCATTTTGAGGCTCTGGCCTCTAATTGATTGGAAAATGCTATTAAGACAGAGAACAGGAAGAGAACTTTTTGGTCAGCTGAATAAATATAGTTTAGAGACACTAAAAAGTATCTTACCACTTAAATTTTGATTCTATCTGGATCACTGTACCAGGTATACTGAGGAGTGTATGTAGCTAAATTCCAAGCTTAGAAGTAGACTTTATAGCCTAAGGCAGTCTAGGGTGACAGAACGATGCTAGAAGGCCCATTCCTTTAACTGTTCAGTAGTTTCAGCAGACAATCTCTATACAACTGGCATTTAAGAAACCCTAGGGAAAGTTAACAAAATGCATCATGGCACTTTGCTAGTGGATAGCTAGCTGGCTGGAAAACAATAGGGGAACCTATGTCATAACTACATTCCCAGGTTGAAGTTAAAAATTAGGCAGCCACACATATTGGCACACACTTGTAAATCCTGCTATTCAGGAGGCTGAGGTAAGAAGATTGCAAGTTTGAGGCCAGCCTGGGCATTTGAGACCCTGTCTCAAAATAAAAAATAAAGGGCTGGGGCTGTAGCTAAACCAGTGACAGAACACCCATGGTTCAATCCCCAGTAATGCTAGAAAAGAAAAAAAAAAAGCCCAACACCTCAGTCTCCAATGTTTTCAACTCAGATAGAGGAGCTATGAAAGGAGGAAGAACATTTCTACTCTTGCAAATAGTAACCTGAGGAGCACAAACCCACCATGTCTCAAGAAACCTGGAGATTGGATGGAAGCAGAAAATTATTTGCACTTAGTACATACCAGACACTCTGAAGAGCTTTGTGCACATTATGTAGAATTATCATAATCTCTCTAGCTAGAAAGTATTATTCTTCCCACTGATTCGGGATAAGTAACTTGACCAAGCGGAGGAGCTAGGATTCAAATGTAGGTCTGTCTGGCTTTAAAGTTTATGTGCATTTCACTATATCAACTGCTTTCAGAAAATGTACTGAAGTTCTATCCTTTATGTTTAAAAATGATTCCAACTCATCAGGAAGACTGTTTATGAATTGGGTACAGTAGTGGCCATAGAAAGGTTATGTTCCCAGTGACAATATTCCAATTTTCAGGCATAAGGCATATATTTATCAATTATCTATCTGGAGCTAATTGAGAACATAAGTACCAGGAAGCCTCATGAAACACATTCTGAGTTCACTGACTACTAACAGAGAGAAAGCAAGTCTATAACAACAATATCAATGACTGTTGGGAAAAAAACATTGATTTAATAGTTTTGACAAAAGTTAGCTGGTTAAAAGATAAGCATACAAAAATAGACAAGAGCTGGGGCTGTAGCTCAGTGGTAAAGTGCTTGCCTCCCACGTGTGAGGCACTGGGTTGATCCTCAGAACACATAAAAATAAATAAAGATACTGTGTGTTCATCTACAACTAAATAAATATTTTAAAAAAACAGACAAGCAAAGATATCTGAAAAGGAGATGTGGTGTTGGCCTGAAGGACAGGAACAGAAAGGTACCTATCTATATATTTCATTGTCACTATTAGCATACTGATAGGCAGCATAGTAAAGATATTAAAAATGCAAATTCTGGAGCCAGACTACCTGGGTTTAAACCCCAGGCCCAAGAGAGATTCACTGTATGACTACTTATCCTGTCCATGTCTCAGCTTCCTCATCTGTGAAATGATAGTAACTAAAGTACCTACCTCATACAGTTGTTAAGAGGATAAAAAAATTAATATATGTAAAGCTTTTAAAACAGTGCCTAGCATATAGTAAATAATTGTTTGATAAATTAACAACTAATGCACCTCCAGCTAAAAGGGGAAAGAAACTGAATTTAAATTTTGACTCAGTCTGCCCCACATGAACTAGTAAAGGAAAATCAAAATAACTCTAAAACTTGTTTAGGTTTCACAGACATCTGGAGGAAGAATAAATAGCCAAACATAAATAAGTAGAAACTGAAAAATAGAAAAGGGAAGTAAAGTGTTCAGTTTTACTTAGTGCACATCATTCATAGATCTCCGGCAAAACCCCCAAAGTTCTGTCAGTCCAGACTTTGTTCAGCCAGCCACAGGGTACCTGTGCACAAAAAGTGGAGTCACCCTTAAAACAGCAAAATCTTCACTCAGGCACATTTCAGTTCTCCCCTGAGGATGTTTTCTCAGAGGTAAATCTGCTTCTAAACTTTGGACTTCAGCTACTCCTAGACCATTACTTGTCTGAAATTGCTTCTAAATGTCAAGCAAGACTCCCTTAAGCCACATTCCTGCTGTAGTCCTGTCACCATTTCAGCCTCTTTAAGAGGTTAAGACCAGTTTTGTTGTTGTTATTGTTACTGCAGTGATGGTGATGGAACCTGGGACTTTCCTCGTACTAGGTAAGTACCCCTGTGAACTACACCCCACCATAAGTAAGACCAGTTATAATGAAGCAAACCCAAATAGAGAAACACCTCTACAGAGTCCAGTTGATCATTTGGGCAAAGTAATTTTTAAAATATTAAATCCCAGGACTTGCGGTATAGTTTAGTGGTAGCATGTATGAGATCCAGGCTTCAATTCCCAACACCTCAGGAAAAACCCAAAATACTGAAATTCCCTAATTTCCAGAAGACACGGACTCTCTGACAATAAATAGTTCCATATAAATGTGCACTTGCTTAGTTTGCATCGTGCGGAAGAAGTGAAAGGTTTGAAGAAAAGGAAATGACAGAAAGGCCCTTTGGCTCTGACAAGTGATCAAGCACTGACAAAAGGCATGCACACAATTTTTAGTCTCATCAGCAAGTCACTATCCCCACGCCACTGCCATTACACACACTCACTTTTCATCCACGGGCCTTCCTCGCCTTCTTCCCCAAACTCATCTTACCTCACCCTCTTATATTGGTCCAGCCTGCTGTCACCGCAAGTTTCAGCCCAGGTACCAGTCTGGTCTCCTGCTCCTATCTATAGACTCGGGCCTATAAAATTTCACTACAGCACCTCAGACCTTATCTCCCCGACTCTCAATACACCTCCTCTCTAGCAGTCTTGAATCTGGGGGTCAACCTTTTCAGCTCCCCAGCCCTCAACGAATCTGACCCACCTTCCCCGTCCTCTCCACGCCCTTCCAGTCCCTCCTCTCAGAAATTTTTCGACGTGTACCCCGGGGCAGGCACCCGCAGGTTTGTGCGCCTGACACCTCTCACGGTGCTGTCGAGACCTCCCAAACCTCCCGGTGCTCAAACCCACCTACAGTCCCCGACTCCCCAGCTCCCTCCTAGCCCACCTGCTCTCCTCGGGCAGGAGCTTCTCACAGCCGCCAAGATCCATTCCCGTGCCCTACGGCCGCATCCGGGGCTGCGGAGCCGCCACCTAGCTGAGGAGAGGCGGCCCGGCCGCTGTGCTCGTCAGGGCGCCCGGAGCCCCGAAAGGGCAGAGGAAACACCCAAGACTGGTGGGCTGAGAGTGATGCACAACCCTGGGGCGGCGGCAGCCTCAGTGACTGCTGTCTCAGCTGCGGTTAATATCCTTGCCACCCCCACTTCCGGCTCCAAGAACTACAATTCCCAATAAGCCCTTCGACGATCCAGTCGCTTCCAGCATGCACCGCTCTACCCAATCCGAGGCTGGGCTAGCGACGAACTGCAGACCTCAGTGCCGGGTGTGCGGGGTTTGCGATCTGGTAGGAACTGGGACCTAGATCACCGATAGAGGCCTGGTTTCAGGAAGTCGTCAAGATGCGGACGCTTACGCATTTATGTCCTCTTACCGTGGGAACTGGACTCAGAGGTGAAAACTAGTGAATAACGCCGGTCTAATCCAAGTTCGATTAACTCTCCCTCAGCCCCCCCCCCCCCCCCCCCCCGGTTTAACACCGGTAGTGTTAAGGACAAAAGTCGCTTTGGGATCACAAAATTAAAGAAGAGGGAAAGGTTTCGGGGAATGGTTCCCTGGAAGACTGTTGTCAGCGCAGTTTTTGAGGATGAGCAAGAGTTAACCAGGAGAAACGGGAAAGCGAAGATGGAGAGGACAGAACTGGCAGACAAAAGGAAATATGCTGGTTTGGGAACTGCTGGTTCTGAGTAGTAATCAAAGTTGGGAAAGGGTGGGAAACAATGATGTGGCATTCGGGAGCAGGTAGCCCAGATCATGAAAAGCCATTTTAAGGAACTTGTATTTTAATACTGAAATAATTAGTATATCAAGGATATACAAATCACGTGATTTGATCAAATCTTAGAAAACTAACTTTAAAAATGTGGAGACAGGACGGGGTATGTACTACGAAAGAGATAAGAGTAGAAGACAAGTCGGCGAAGACTTGGAATCCTTACAAGAACCAAGCCGGTAATGCCAAAGAGTAAAGTGAACCAGTTCCAAGAAACAACAGGATATGGCGGGAATTCTAAACTGGAAAGCTCAGACCTCAAGGAGAAGGGAAGTCTCACCTTTGCTGTAATTGAATATTGTCAAATTGGCATATGAGCCTAGGGTTGCCGCATATTCTTATTTGTCAAAAGAAGTTGGAACCTAAGCTGCGGTGTAGCTCAGTGACAGTGTGCTTACACAGCATGTATAAGGCTCTGCAAAAATACAAAAAAAGCAACTGAAATCTTAGGTACAATATCCAAGTCTTTAAATGTTGTCAATTTTTTGGGGGGGGGTAGCAACAAATTTTTTTAAAATTTCAACATTGCACAGATGATACAAAATTTGTCTGTAGGGCCAGGGCTGTGGCTGAGTGGTAGAGCACTTGCTTAGCACATGTGAAGCACCACATAAAAATAAATAAAATAAAGGCATTGTGTCCATCTACAACTGAAAAAAAAACATAAAAAAATTTTCTGGGGCTGGGATTGTGGCTCAGTAGTAGACTGCTTGCCTGACGTGTGTGAGGCACTGGGTTCAATTCTCAGCACCACATATAAATGAATAAAATAAAGGTCTATCAACAACTAAAAAAATATTTTTAAAAAATTGTCTGTAGGCTGCAGGTGGCCCTCAGACCTTGGGTTGTTAGTTTGTAAGCCCACACCTAAAGCAGTGGCTGTGAAAACAAGGAGGTGCAGATTACAGTAATAAGATGATATAATCAGTGTTGATCTATGAGCACTGGATATGACAAGGGAAGGATAGGAAGGGATCAAGGATAATTTCATGAAAAACTAATGACTCCTAACATGACTTTTAGAAATTTTCAGACTTGGGAAAATTTGTGTGTGTGTGTGTGTGTGTGTATTAAAAGTGAAATGAGAGAAGCTTTTAATGATAATTATGATTTCATTTATATAAAAATTCTCTTTGTTCAAACTTTGTCATATTTTCCTACTAAAGAGTTTATGCTTTTTAAGAAAGGAACAACATTAGTCAATGGGATTTTACTACTTTCTGTTTCTACAAATGTATGAAATTCACTTTTTGACATACAGTATAATCCCAAAATAATACAATGTGATCTCAACACATGCTTACAATCAGCTCTATCAGGAAATCCTAAAACTACAGTTATAGTACAAGTTCCAAAAAACAGGATTTTCTTTTTATATCCAAGTCTGGGTTTACATGTATTTTCTTTAAAGCAGTTAGTAAACACCACAAGAATCTACACTAGCTGTGTATCCATACCCTGTGCTTCTCCTTCATCCATCATCATAATCCTAAATCCCTTGTGTGTTATTCCATTGCTTCCCTTATTATCTAGTCTCTTTGCATCTATCTATATTCCTAAAAAGTGTTATTTAGATTTTTTTATGTTGCAACATTATAAAAAGGATTGAGAAATATTCTATGGGGGTCTCACTTTTTATCAGTATTTTTTAATACTGATAAAATTCATTCATGTTAAATGTCACTATAGTTCATTGATTTTGACTGATGCATATTAGTCCATTATATGAACAGTTAGTTCATACATTAGTCCATTTTATCACAGTTTATTCATTCTCTCTCCCATTAATAGACATTTGAATTTTTAAGTTTTGCTCTTGCAAACTCCTTCAATGAACAATCATATAGGTCTTCCCTTGTATATAAGGAAGAATTTCTCTTAAGTGCATATGAAGAGTGGAATTGTTGTTCTAGTTCTTGTTTGAATCATGGGTTAATAGGTGCATAGTTTTTAAAATAACTAGTTATTAAATTATGACTAATTATAGTCAGTATTTAAAATAACTAATCAATTAACTAAATAAAAACACTATGCTTGGAAACAGATGAGTATATCATGAACCAAGGATTATGATCAACCCAATTTTGTGCATCTGAGATGCAAATACAAAAAAATTGCCAAATATACAAAAATATCTAGCATCATGGTTCAATAATGTCACACAAAGACAATGGTCTTACTTAGCAATTACTTAATGATTTTTTTAAGCTTTCCTCCAAGCAGATTTATTTAACCTAACGAAATTTTATATACAAAGTGATCTGGACATGCTGCTTCAAAACATGATCCTTATTAATATCCTGATACATTGGTTAAAAAGCAACTCACTCTAAAATAAATAGAAAAGTATTCAATGCATATTCAATGAATGGCTTAATCACTGCAACTTAACTAGTTTTTTTTAAAGAGAGAGGAGAGAGAGAGAGAAGTTTTTTTTAATATTTATTTTTTAGTTTTCGGTGGACACAACATCTTTATTTTTATATGGTGCTGAGGCGAGCGCATTACTGCTTGAGCCACATCCCCAGCCCAAACTTAATTAGTTTTGTAAGATAATTAACATAGTAGGATTGAGTCCCTATGACAGGCTGCTGGAGAACTGATGAGAGAGATCAAGAGGCCCTTTTGTACACTGTCACGGTGATGCCATCACGTTTTTGGATCATAATGTTCCCATTATCTGATTCTTGGCACACCACAGGAATATCAGTGGGGTCAGAGGTTATCTTAGTTGCTTGTTGGGCTAGAACAGATATAACTCCAGCATGTTCATCTGACAGGGTCCCACGACAGCCCAGATTAAGTCCTTGTGAATCTGTGCACAGGACTCCAACAATGGACGGATTCTTCATTGTATCCTCCAAGTGCTGCTTCAAAGTCGCCTCCATCCTGCTAGAAGGCCACCCCGGGGCAGGACACCACAGCGCAGCCAGTCCTCAGCTACTTAATGATTTTTAATTAAAAAATTTTTAGTTTCTTGCAGGACTAGAGATAGAGCATAGATCCTCTTACATGCTAAGCAAACACTCTACTATTGAACTATACCTCCATCCCTGAATTTGTATTTTTTAAATCACAAACTTGAAGAAGTTTATCTGATCCTGATCAATCTGTTTGTTTCCAAGTTTATCAGAATGCTATTTTTATACAAACAGTAGGTCTTACAGAACCACTGGCAGAAAACCAATTTCAGCTGGGCCTGGTGGCACACATCTATAATCCCAGCAGCTGGGGAGGCTGAGACAGGAGGATTGCAAGTTCAAAGCCAGCTTCAGCAATGGCAAGGTGCTAAACAACTCAGTGAGACCCTGTCTCTAAATAAAATACAAAATAGGGCTGGAAATGTGGCTCAGTGGTTGAGTGCCCCTGAGTTCAATCCCTGGTTCCCCACCCCCCACAAAAAAAGAAAGCCAACTTCACTCAAGGATTGGTTAATCAAATAATGGATTTTTTAAATTGTTTTTTGTTGTTGTTGTCAATGGTCCTTTATTTTATTTATTTATATGTAGTGCTGAGAATCAAATCGAGGGCCTCATACATGCTAAGCAAGCCCTTTACCACTGATCCACAACCCTCACCCAAATAATGGATTTTTACCTATTTGCCAAAATTTGTTCTTAAAGATTAGTATTCTTGAATATATATAAACAATATATTAAACAACTAGCAATATAGTCATGAGTATGTTCTCTTTTAATATATTCACTAAAATTATTTTAGCAACATTTTTTGTAGTATTCAAATTTTAAATCAATGTCTTCCACTTGCCAAGTCAAAAAAAACTTGAGAATCAAATACACACACACACACACATATGTATATAAAAATAAAAAATAGGAAATAAGAAGGGGGTGAGGGAAACCTACACAATAGAATGTCAACTAACAAATATAAAGGAATTGATAGAAAAATCACTATTTTGCAACCATCATAGTTATAATTATTATGATTCAATCAAGAGTCAACTATCATGGGATGTATTTCAGTAGAAAAGTGCTTTCGTAGCACACATAAGGCTCTGGATTTAATCTCCAGTAACACACACACGCACACACACACACACACAAATTTGTTCTGAACAGTATATTTACATAATCTCAAAATATCTCCCCACAATGACTTCATTACAAATGGGGGAAATACCTTTACAATAGAGAAACCTACCAGGCATCATCTTAACCAAAGGATCTAAATTAAGATCACCAATAAGACAAAATGACATCGTGTGTGTTCTTATGTTAGACACTGAAAAGTGCATGTGACTTGCATAGTATTCCTGACAAAAATGAATAACCTCAAAGTAATAAGAAGACAAACTCAAATGGAGTGATAATCCATGCAACAACTAACTTGATAACTCAAGTCTCAAAAATATTGGGGCTGAGGTTGTGGCTCGGTGGTAGAGTGCTCGCCTAGCACATGCAAGACCCTGGGTTCAATCCTCAGCACCACATAAAAATAAATAAAGAAAATAAATAATTGATAGGAAAGCAAGGAACCAGGAGGCAGGCGAGCGAGAAATGGAAGATGGAGACCAGGCGGAGAGTTTGTCACAGCTGAAAAATAAAGGCATATCTCTCCATAGACAAGAGAAGTAAAACAGGCTTAGGGTTTGGGACTTTTATGGGACAGGCTCCGGGATTAAAGCTAAGCAGGTCCTAAAGCAGGTTAAGGGTTGGACTGATAATGAGGGAGTGGTGAGCCTTTCTCAGAAACACGGTAGGGCGGGAAAGCAAAATTTTTCTTAAAATGGTGGCTGTCACTTAAGATGGCTGTGCAGATGCTAAGCAAGGACCTTACAGTGTCCACTACAAATAAAAAATAAATATTAAAAAAAAATGTGGGGGGGCCAGGGTTGTAGCTCAGTGGTAGAGCGCTTGCCTAGCATGCCTGAGGCACTAGGTTCGTTCCCTGGCACCACATAAAAATAAAAACAAATAAAATAAAGGTGTATATACATACACACACACACCCACCCACCCATATATAGGGCTGGGGTTGTGGCTCAGAGGTAGAGTGCTCGCCTAGTACATGCAAGGCCCTGGGTTTGATCCTCAGTACCACATAAAAATAAATAAATAAAGCAAAGGTATTGTGTCCAATTACAACTAAAAAAAAAATAAATAAATATTTTAAAAAAATTTTTTAATGTAAATATCAGCTGGGTGGAATGATGCAGGCCTATAATCCCAGCTACTCTAGAGGCTGAGGCAGGAGGATGGTAAGTCCCAGGCCAGCCTAGGACTCTTAGGAAGACGCTGTCTCAAAATAATTTTTGTTTTAAAAGAGGACTGGGGATATAGTTCACTTGCTTGTCATGGGTAAGGCCCCGTTCAATCCCCAGCATGGTTAAAATAAATAAATATCAAAAAGGACTAATAAAAGATGTTAAAACTTTTTCAGATTAAAGGAGAGGCAGGTCAAAGAAATGTACTATGTGAACCTGGATTAGATTCTAGACTGGAATAAAAATTGTATAAAGGCTTTTTCAGTATTGACAAAACTTGGTTATGGACTATATATCGTATAATAGTATTACATTAATGTTAAATTTCCTGAACTTGATAATTTGAGCATGTTTATATTAAAGAATATCCTTAGAGATATATTTTAAAGAATTATGATTTCTGTAACCTCCTCCCAAGTAAACTGTAACAATAATCATGTCTATCTACCTACCTATATGTAGACAAAGCAAATATGGCAAAGCTTTCATAATTTGTAAATCTAAGTGAAGAGTAAATGAGTATTCATTGTATTATTTTTGCAACTTTTCTGTAGATTCACATGTTTAAAAAATAAGCAAGAAACTCAGTATGGTTTTAATTTTTAAAAAATTTTTTAGTTGTAGTTGGACACAGTACCTTTATTTATTTATTTTTATTTGGTGCTGAGGATTGAACTCAGGACCTCGAATGTGCTAGGCAAGTGCTCTACCACTGAGCCACAACCCCAGCCCCTGGTTTTATTTTCTTATGATTGTATCCTGATCAATATAATCAAAATGTTAGTGTTTCACATGGAAATTTCTTAGCTTATGGTGATTAAAGTTTGAAAATATTTTAAAATTAATTTGTTTTCCCTGTAGTTTGTAATTTTTATTAGTCTTCTTAGCCAATTTTGCCAAAACCCAATTCACTTAATTTACCAAATGTACTGATTTACCAAAATTCTTTTTCTTTTAGTCATATACACTGCATGATTTCAATAACTTTTGAGGGCTGAGGGTGTAACTCAGTGGTAGAGCAATTGCCTAGTCTGAGTAAGGCCTTGGGTTTCATCCTCAGTGCTGCAAAAAATAATAAAATAAAATGAAAGAGAAAAAAGAATTTTGCCAAGTTTTAATTACCTGGTTTTTATTTTGTCTTTACATAAAATTTACACCCCATCTAAGCATTTAGTATTGATTTGTTTATGCACTTATACAGGAAAGTTTATTGCCAGCCTTGGACAGTGCATACAAATTTGGAATTTTTAATTTTAAAATGAAAATGAATAAAAACTTATTATGTACTGAGCAAAACCTTAACAGCTGAGGAATGTTCAATTTGTCCTTGTTCCAACTTCTTACAGCTTTAGCTAGATTGTGGACCCAGAGGAGAGATCCTCTAGGAGAGAGAACACAGTTCAGAGACCAGATTGGGCAGGGAACCTGAGGAGCAAAGAGAAGAAGCATAAGGAAAAACAGGAATGCCTAAAGGCCCCATGACCCTAGAATTTTGGTTCCACTGAGCCTTCCTAGACTACTAATCAATCCAGTATGAATTGAAGATATCTTGTGTGTGTGTGTGTGTGTGTGTGTGTGTGTGTGTTGCTGAGGACTGAAGCTGGGGCCTTGTGCATGTGATGCAAGCACTCTATCCACTGAGCTATATTCCCAGCCCCAAGGATACCTTTTAAACAAATAAATTTTATCGAAATAGGGGGAAACTGTGTGATTTATGAAAATTTGTTTAGTTTTTTTTTTTTTCAGCGGGGGGTGGGGTGGGTACAGGGATTGAATTCAGGGGCACTTGACCACTGAGCTACATCCCTAGCCCTATTTTGTATTTTATTACAGACAGGGTCTCACCGAATTGCTTAGCCTCATTAAATTGCTGAGACTGGCTTTGAACTTGTGATCCTCCTGCCAAAAATTTGTTTAGTTTTAGAAAATTCTACAGTTGGCCATTTAGTGAATGGACCTAGAACCCCTGGTGGTCAAGACCCCTATCCTGCCCAGAGAAGGCAAGACCTAATAGGACAGAGCTTCCTCTCCTCTCAGTCCAGGAAGAATTCCCCTTCAAGTTCTCCTGTCTACCCAAAGCAGCTTCCCAAAGTTACAGAAAAACTGATAGTCAGGGATATGGGGATCAGTACTAGTCCTAGAGTGGGCAGGCTCCTCAATAACTCCTGAGATTTTTTAAAGGCAGCAGCTTTGCCTGAAACCCTGGCTGTCATGGTTCACTGTATTCCCAGCAATTTGCAGTATCTTGCACATACTAGGAACTCAAACTGTTTGCTGAATGAATGAATAAACAAATGAATACTGAGATTAAAAAGCAAAAGCCTAGAACAGCAAAAGGTTAGAACAAAAGAAATAAGCAAAATAGGAGAGGAACAAAAAGCTATAACAAGGTAGAAAAACATAACAATCAAAAAACCTATCATAGCAGAAAGCATTGAAAAAGGCAAGAGAATGGGAAGAATTGAGCATATAAGAGAAGAAAAACTGTATTTATATATAAGTAGCTTACTGGTTAGTATACTAACTAGTGTTTTGTTATTTCACATATAAAATACAAATTTTACCATTCCCTTATACCAGTATAATACACATTACATTAACAAATGAATTCTAGAAAATCCTCTTATAAAAAGCAAAAGAATTAATTCCTGTATGTGGTGCTGAGGTTTGAACCTGGGGCCTTGTGCATGTGAGGCAAGCACTCTATGGACTGAGCTAGAAATTATAAGAAAGACATTAGAAGAAAAAGAAGTTACATACTGAAAAGACAAAACTCCTGGACAAAACAAATTAAATGTAACAATATATAAAAATGATAATACACCATGACCAAGAATATTTATCTCAGAAATGTAACATTTGAAAATCCATGTAATTCACTATACTAGTAAATTTAAAAAGAAAAACCATTTCATTTTTGTAATAGATTCAACAAAGTATTAAATTCAATATTCATTTATGAAAACTCTTAGCAAACCAACAACACAGGGAACTTTTTTTTTTTTTTTTTGGTACTGGAGATTAAACTCGGGGGCACTTGAACCCTGAGCTACACCCCCAGCCCTATTTTATATTTTATTTACAAACAGGGTTACACTGAGTTTAGCACCTCACTTTTGCGGAGGCTGGCTTTGAACTCTCAATCCTCCTGCCTCAGCCTCCTGAGCTGCTGGGATAAGAGATATGGGCCACTATGCCCAGCTAGAAGGGAACTTCTTTAACCTAACAAAGGATATCTTAAAAAAAAAAAATTCGATCATATTTAAGGGTGAATGAATGCTTTCCCTCTGAGGTTGGAAACCAGGCAAAAACATTCATTTTAACTTGACCATGATTAAACATGGTTAATATCAGGTCTCTAGTTAGTGCAATAAGGTAAGAAAAATAAATTTTAAAATATACAAATTAGAAACAATTATGCTAGGTGAAATAATCCAGTTTTTAGAAAGTACATTCTATATGATTCCATTCTTCTAAAATTCTAAAAAGTGCAAATTAACCTATAGTGACAGAAAAGAGATCGGTGGTGGCCCAGGCAGTAGGTAAGGGGAAGGATTACAAAGTGACACAAGTAACGTTTTGGGAATGATGGATATATTTATTATTCTGATTATCGTGGTGTTTTCACAGGTATATGCACTGCATACTATATATATTGAAAACTTAGGTATGTCTTTTTTTTGTCTATCAACATCTCAATAAAACTGATAAAAAGAAAATTTAAAAGGCATATCAAACTAGCTTTAAAAGGTTAAGGGGCTGAAAATGAAGCTCAGTGGTAGAGTACTTGCCTAGCAAGTATGAAGTCCTGGAAAAAGAAAAAGAAATCTAAGGGAGGAAGTATGTAAGTTGTGCTTATAAAAAGAGAGTCAGAAAAATGTTAATAGGAAAGTATGGTATGTTGTTAAGGTTGCCAGATATAGCGAATAAAAATGACTCACAGTTAAACTTGAATCTCAGAAAAAATGAATAATTATTTAGTATAAATATATCCTAAATATTCATAAAACAGTCTAGTGAAAAAAAAAATGTGGTTTATCTAAAACCCGGGACACACACTAAACGGTTGTTCATTGTTTATGTCTGAAATCCAGATTTAATGGGTCCTGTATTTTTCCCTGCTATCCTAGATGTTGTCTTATCTATACTATGAAATCAAGCCTCTAAAAAGGGTGACTGCTGGAATTGTTTGTTTTGATTTAGCTAAAGTTATTGAACAGCTATATGCTTGTGTCCAGCATAGTGCTTTATTCATAGTAGGTGCTCAGAAAATACTTTTTGCTCTGCAAGCTGTGAGAAGATAGGGACTACATCCATCTTGCATCCATTCTATTCTTGGAGCGTATTACAATACCTGGTGCTCAATAAGTATATGATTAAATGAATAGCTGACTCTCATGCCTCAGAAAATTGCAGGGTTGACCCTTTAACCCCAGCCCTTCTAGCTGGCTGATAGACTTCTTGTACAAGGCCCAGTTCTGATTTCTTGGCTTGTCTCCTTCTTCATTTTGCTGTGTTGTTTTAGAGGTTGCTATTTTGTTTTGTTTTGTGTGTAACCAGACCTACTATTACACACAATGCATCACTCTTGTTCTCTTGCTTTTCCCTTTGGAATCTGGGGAGGTTGCTCTGAGACTCTGAGACCCTCAGCCCCAGGGGAAACAGCCAAAAACTGCTTAATGAAAATATTGAGGCATGTCTTTTTTTGAGTTAAGATTTGGGTTAGGGCTCAAGTTTTGAACAGAAGACTAAAATAAAAGGAAATCTATATTATATTAGTGGTAGGGAGGATTTTATGTATTTGGGGTTTCGTTATCTGTCTTATAAATACCTAAATACAAAATGCTTCCAACTGCTAAGTACATTAATTTTCTTAGATACAATTACGAATTTAACCTTAGGTAGTTTACTCCTACAAATGAACAGAGCTCGTAGAAGTTATTTATATTGAGAGAGGGCTAATGTGGTAAAACATGTCTTGTGAGAAGGGGATTTTAGAACTGTAAGAAATCTAGAAATAACAGTATAATTTATATAATTAGTACTACTACTTTCTTGTTTTGAAGATGAGTATAAGGTCCAGAAATGCTCCCAAGATCACATGATTAATGACTGAAATGAGTGGAAAAGTTATCACTCAAAAAAACCTAGGTGTTCCACTGACTTTTACTTCTACAAACCACTTTCCCTAGTTATTAGCAGGGAAAGGTGGAGGTTATAACACAGAGTAGTAAATCAAGACCCTTATGCAAAAAACAAACAAACAAAAAACCTTGTGCCAAGAGAATCCATGCTATTTTCCTTGACAAGCTGAATTTTATTATTATTATTAATTATTATTATTTTATTTTATTGCAGAACTAGGTTTCGAACCTGGGGGCCTCACATATGTTAAGCAGGTGCTCTACCACTGAGATACATCTACATCCTTTCTTGGGTCTTTCTTAGTTAAAACCTTCCTTCACCATTAAAATTTTTTGTACTCCTCCACAGGTGTATCCTAGGCTGATTCACTCTTCCTGTATAGTTATATTTTTGGCAGGGGTAAGAAAGCCAACTTGACCTCTGAGGATAAAGAGTTACTTATAAATTTCCAAAAGCTTAATAAAAACCATACATTTCTTCAAGACTATCCAGGCTTTTACACACACACACATCATGTTTCTTTGCTTACAGTTAAGATATATACCTCCTGGAATGGCTCTTGGTTTTATTCATGCTACAGTTACAAAGAACATTCACATGTAGTTTTATGATTAAGGTAACCCTAATTATAAAAAACAATATCACCTGCAACCTTTTGCTTTGAATTCAGACATGTAAAGGGAAGATAGGACACAGATATTTTGTTGTTGTTGTTGTTAATAAACATTGGGAAATAAGTTATTAACAAAAACAATGTGCAAAATAAGAAATATTTAAAGACATGGAATCCCCAAGCAAAAAATAGCCAATTGTGTCATTGCTATTGAAGTTGAAAACCACATGACATTGTGACATTACTAAATTAAGCATAGGCTACTATGGTTTTGAGATACTTTAGGTCATCACAAAGTTCTGCCTTGTTCTACGCTAACGAAATTTTAGGAATTGGAAAGATTACCGAGAGATTTCTTGGTGGACAGAATAGCTACCTTTTTTTCCCCCCCTTAGATGCAAATTATAGGACAAAATAACCCAAGTGCTTCCATATGAGCACTTTGAGGGAGAAGAAGAAATGAGGTAGGAAGAAAGGGGGATAACACATTTTGTAAACAGGGGGAAAGTTATTAAGCAGGAATTCATCAAATATTAATAAGTTTTCCTATAGGAATAATTAGAAAAAAAAAAAAAAACCCAAACAAACCCGAATCCTACCAATTCCCAGCGCAAATGAGAGAAAAACGCAGTTAAATAAGCAGAGATACTTACCCTCCCAAGGGAAGAAGAGGTGTTATTAAGGTAATACCGTGCCAAATACTTTGAGAGTACTGATTGAGAGGTGGTGGAGATAAGGTAACTTTAGCATTCACTTTTATTGTTAAGGTGACGCAAGAAGAGTCACTGCAGTTTTTGTGTTCGGACGTGGCAACTCCGCATGCTGCAGGTGAAGTAGCGTGCCAGGGCGAGGAAAACTGGGACGCAGTACTGCAATCTACGCTCGCAGGGGTCTGTCTGTTCCGCCTCCCCAGGCTGCAATCAAGGTTCGCGTGTACCGAAGCACAGGGGGTCTTTCCGCAGGAGGGACCGATGGACACGGAATATCATGGTATCATTTAAAACATGTGATTTTTGAGGTGCTCAGGGTCTAGCATCCCCTAACAGCCCCCTACTGGGGCCGAAAGACGAACTGTTAAAGCCCCGGTCTGGCCAGCGCACAAGGTAAAAGCTCCTGTGCTTCGCCCCGACCGGCAAGGGCCGCTAAGAGATAGCGCTGGCGTGAGCCGCTCTTGCCAACAGCTAGTCTCGATAGCCCCTTCCCCCGCCCGCTGCCGCGGGTAGGAGGGCGAGGACGCCGCCAGCGCGCGTGCGCGCTCCCTCGGTGCAGCTAGACTGCGTGCGTGAGTGGGAGGTGGCAGGCCTCTGACTCTGGCCTTCCCGGCTGACTGTTCCAGCGCGACGTCTCCAGCCATGAACCGGTTTGGTACCCGGTTGGTGGGAGCCACCGCGACCCCGTCGCCGCCGCCGAAAGCCCGCAGCAATGAAAACCTCGACAAAATAGATATGTCTTTGGGTGAGGGGCCGAGTTGGACCGAGTAGGAGAGGGGGGAGGTGTGGGTGGAACCAAGTGGCGCGGTCTGTGGGGGAAGGGGGCCGTTGGCCGCGTTTGCCGATCGAGTTTTCTTGCGGGTGGGCGGAACCGAGCTGGGGGTCCAGAGGGGCACCTGGAGCTAAACGCCGGGTGCCGGAGTCCAGCCTTAGGGATTCCGGCGTCCCCTCAGTGGAGGCTCTCTCTGACGAGGCCCTGTGGGGACGGGGACGCTGCGGGCCGGAGATTTGGAGGGTCCAGGGGTGCGTGTACCCTCGTGTCCCCCAGAGGGACGCCACCACTGGCCGCTTACCCCGCTCTTTGTCAGGGAAACTCCGCGGGTTTCCCTCGAGCGTGTTCGCCGGGGGCGTTATCGGGAGTGGGAACTGGGGGAGCTGTGGTTTCCTAAGACCCAGCTGGGTCTGTGATGGGTTTAGAAGAGTGGTTCCCGGCCAGGGCTTGTTGGGCATAGCCGCTCAGGCCTACTGGCTGCTGACGGGCGCCCCTGGGCCCAGGAGCTCTGTCAGAATTATCGTTAGGCAAGGAGCGCATCAGATGTGTGTTATTAGGTGTGTCTAGAAAAGCACATTCTCCCTATCCTGGCCCCAAAGTTATTAGCTAATTAGAAAAAGGAAGTAATAAAAACCGAGGGATTTACGTGGATCGCTAAAAGCCAGGTAGAGCACGGGGTGGGGGAAAGGGGCGGGAGGGTCCCGCACATATAAGAAGGGTGGCCTGGTTTGGTACTATTACATAAAAAGCAAGGTTGGTGATTCCGTTAAAAATTTACATCTAACACTACCGAGGCACCAACTTAGATGGTCCAAAAGTGATTACATTTTTGTCGGGATTCAAGTTATGGTATTAGATGTAATCAGATCTGCCTGCTCTCTTTCCTGCAGTATTTCAGAGATTTGAAAAGTAAATGCCTGACTAGTGGATTTAGAGGTGTAAGCTTTCCAAGGACGGTATTTAGGATAGTGTTCGGCCTAAAAATATTCTTTTAGTTGCCAATTCTTTCCATTTGTTTGTTTCTTTTTTGTTTTGGTTTATCTGGAAAGTTCTTGGTCAGAAGTTAAGAACTCTTGTTTTCTAGGATTGCCACAGGTCAGAACCCAGTGTGGGAATTAACTAAGTTAACAGAACTAGTATGCTTGCCTTCAAGTTTTGTCTTACTGTTTTGTCAGTAGAAAGCTCAAAAGAAATGAATCTTTTGACCTAAAGCTAAGAAAGTGTATAACAATATTTATTGAGTGTTTAATAATATCTGCTAGGCACTGGACTAGGCATTTTATATGTTGCCTTGGTTTATCTACATAATAAATCCATGAGGATTATACTCCTAGTGATAAACAGCATGGAATCCAGAGACACACTGTCTCAGGTGGGGATCCTGCTTTTTCTGCCACTTACCAGCCATGCGATTATAGGCAAATAACTTGTCAGTGTCTCTTCAGTTAAAAGGTGATAGTAACAGTTTATCTACCTTATAGGTTTGTTGTAAGTATTAAATGAGTCAATATGCATGTACAAACTGCTTAGAACAGTTCCTGGTACATAATAGGCACTGTATTTTATTTTTACACTACGTATAAGCCATTGTTGTTATTCACATTTTACATAAATCTGAAGCATGGAGAAATTAAGTAACTTGCTCAAAGTTATATAGTCAAGCCCATAAGTGGTAGAACCAGGATTTCAGTTTTCTTCTAGACCTTCAAGCTCCAGAGTGTAGGGAAACGTTAAATATGTCTTCTCATAACTAACATTTCTTAAGCTTGCAATTTTTGGTTTTTTGTATGTATTTTGTTTGGTGATTATGATATTCAAGTGAATGGAGGGATAATTATCTTCACTGTGGAGAGTTAAAATAGAGCTCAGTCTCTTCTTTTTTTTTTTTTTTTTTTTTTTGAGACTGGGTCTTGCTGTGTTGCCCAAACTTGCCTTGAACTTGCAATACTCCTGCCTCAGTCCCCCCAGTTGCTGGGATACCAGGTGTACACCATGGTGCCTAGCCAAATTCGTATTTTGAATATATTCTCAAGGCTCTGAGATTGTATAGACTTTGTCAAGAGTAAGTAGCAACTTGTTAAAGGAAAGTAGTGTTTCAAAAGTAGTGTCTTCTAAGTATTTTCTTTCTGATTCTTGAGAATTTAACATGTTCATATATTTGATATGAAACCTTATCTTGTTAAAAAAAAATGGATTTTAGTATCTTTTTTTCCCTCCTTTACTTGCTGGAGATTGAACCCAGGGCCTCAGGAATGACAGATATTTTACTGCTGAGCCACAACCCCAAACTTATTGTCTTTAACTTTTAACTTTTTTTTCTTTTTGGTGGTGCTGGGGATCAAACCTGGGCCCTTGCAGCCTTTCACATGCTGAGCCTGTGCACCCTTGAACAACACACTCAGCCCTGGTGTCTTTAACTTTGACAAATCTTCCTTCCTTCCTTCCTTCCTTCCTTCCTTCCTTCCAGGGATTGGGCCTAGGGGAATTTAACCACTGAGCCACATTCCCAGCCCTTTTGTTGTATTTTATATATATATATATATATTTATATATATATGATCTCGCTTAGTTACTTAAGGCCTTGATGAGTTGCTAAGGCTGGCTTTGAACTTTCAATCCTCCTGCCTCAGCCTCCTGAGCTTTTAGGACTACAGGCAGGCACCACCACACCTGGCTGACTTTTTTTTTTTTTTTCCAGTTGTAGATGAACACAATACCTGTATTTTATTTATTTATTTTTATGTGGTGTTGAGGATGGAACCCAGTGCCTCCTCATACATGCTAGGCAAACGCTTTACCACTGAGCTATAGCCCCAGCCCCTCACAAATGCCTTTGTGCTTCGCGATTGATCTCAAGAAGACAACAACATACTTTGGGGGAGATTTGAAGTATTTTATATGAATAGTATTTGAATGTGAGTAGGAGTCTTATAGATTACAGGTGGGTGAAGTAGAGCCATTAGCATTGATCCTTAAAATCTATAATATTTCCTTTTAACTTAGAAAACACTGATTCTAGTCACATAGATTATTTGTACTTTAAACAATTTGGAAAAGAGAATTGAAGTTAATCATTGTTAAGTTTTATTTTGAAGTTGTTGATTATGTACAACATAATCTTTGGTTTATTTGCTTTATCAATCATTAAAATTAATATTGGCGTTAGGACTGTAGAGAAAGTGTTTGGATATTTCTTAAATAAGGATTGTTGACTTTTAGTAATCTTTAACAGATATAAATAGGAATCTGGAGTACATTTAGTGTTCCAATCTTCATATTGTTCTCTTGTGGTGTTAGTAAAATGTGATGTTTATGAATTATCCTGGAGTTGTTTGAAAGTGTTTTTTGTAAATAATAAGGCTTGCAGAAATTACAGAAGCCAATATAGAAAAAAAAATAAAAGTAACCCTGAATGACTTTGCTAGAGGATGTAACCATTAGCAATTTTTAAAATATTACACCTTTATCATGGTACTTGTGTTCAATTTTGTATTTGTTATTTGAACATCTGATGCATCAATTAAAGATACTTGAGAACAGGGACTGCATTATACTTTTGTTGCTTCTATTACAGCACAGCCTTACATATACAGTCATTGTGCAAAGTACATACTCAATAAATATTTGTTGAGATTAATTTAGAAATTTTGGTCGGCAATTTACTTATTTTTTGACTACTTATGGTTTTCTTTAAAAATTATTTTGTAGTTGTCGATAGACAGTATGCCTTTATTTTATTTGTTTATTTTTATATGGTACTGAGGATCGAACACAGTGCCTCGCACATGCAAGGCAAGCGCTCTGCCACTGAACTACAGCCCCAGCCCTCACCTATGGTTTTAATAAAAGGTGGTCATCTTTTAAAAATGGAGAGTTCTGTGATTATGGAAAGTAAGCAAAATATGAATAATTTTTGTAAATGACTTTTTACTTATTTATATTCATTAGGGAAAGAAGTGCTATGGACAGTAGAACTCTTCATTTGTTAGTAGATCTGTTTGGGCTATTTATTTGAACTTTTCCTACAAAAACTTCCTGCAGAACACCAAGCAAGATGGCTGATTTGGGCTTTATCTTATTATTAGTAATGTCTTTTTTTTTTTGGTAGATAGACACAATACCTTTATTTAATTTATTTATTTAAAAATTTTAATACTTTTATTTTTATTTATTTTTATGCTGAGGATTGAACCCAGTGCCTCACACATGCTAGGCAGGCACTCTACCACTGAGCCACAACCCCAGCCCATTATTAACCTCTTAATGGCAATGCTTTCAAAGTAGAAGTTAGGGACATAGGAAATCTATTAACTAAAAAATGAGACTGAGTAATTTAGTCAGTAATTAAAATGAAAATAATTTTGGCATTTCCTCTGTTATAGATGATATTATCAAGTTGAATCGAAAGGAAGGAAAGAAGCAGAATTTTCCAAGACTGAATAGACGACTCCAGCAAACTAGTACTCGGCAATTCAAGATGAGAGTACGGTGGGGGATCCAGCAAAACTCTGGTAAGTTTTGAAAGTAAGTTTTAATGAAATGCTGTTATTTGTGGATTCTTAGTATACTATCTTTATTTTTTTAATTAGAATATTATACATGGTAGTTGGGTTCATTTTGACAAAGTCATACATATAGGATTTGAATTATCCCATTGCGGTTCCAGTTCCCCTCCCACTTCTTTCCCCCATTCTCTTTTCTCTACTGATCTTCTTTTTGCTCATTCATTCATTTATTTTTTTAAGAAACATTTTGTTTTAGTTGTAGTTGGACACAATACCTTTAATTTTTTATTTTTATGTGGTGCTGAGGATTGAACCCAGTGCTCTTCCCATGATAGGTGAGTTCTCTACTGCTGAGCCACAACCCCAGCCCCATCATTCATTTATTTTGATTGGTGCTTTGTATATATACATAAAGGTAGAATTTCTTGTGATATATTTATACACGCTCATGGTATGATTTTGGTAAATTCATTCTGTATTTCCTCTCCTTTTCTGTTCCACTGACTTGCCCTATAGCATATTGTCTTTAGAAAATACATAAAACCTGGTTTTCTTTTTGGTACCAGGATTGAACCCAGGGTTGTTTAACCACTGAGTCACACCTCCAGCTGATTTTTATTTTTTATTTAGAGACAGTGTCTCACTAGCTAAATTGCTGAGGCTGGCTTTAAACTTGGAATCCTCCTGCCTCAGCCTCCCAAATCACTTGCATTACAGGCGTGTGCCATCATGCCTGGTTAAAACCTGTTTTTTTAAAAATTTAAGTTTCCTAAAATAGGTGATGATACTGTTTTATTATAAGAGCTGGAGTTGTGGCTTAGGGATAGAGCATTTGCCTAACAAGTGTGAGGCACTGGGTTCAATCCTAGCACCACATGAAAACAAATAAGGGCATTCAGTCCATACGCAACTAAAAAAATATATATTAAAAAAAAAAAAAAAAAAGAAGCCTCAAAATAGAAATAGTCAAAGTCATACCTAGGGTTTAGAATTAGGAAAGATTTTATGTATCATGAGATCCTAGCTTCTTCCCAGTGACATGTTCAAATAGAATAACTAACTCCAGTTTAAATGTTTATTGACAGTGTACCACTTCACAAGACCTATTTTTGGAGATGATTCTACTTACTAGAAAGTTCTCTTAATTTGAATTAAAACATGCTTATCTATTACTTCTACAGTATTATAGGAAGCAAACACCCTTTTCTAAATGAGAATCCTTTTAGTATATGGGGTCAGCTATATATTCTGCATAGAAAATTACATCCAAACTTTTTTCCCCCCTTTTGCAGTGCTGGGGACTGAACCTAGGGTTTTATGCCTGCTAGGCAGATGCTCTACCACTAAGCTACATCCCCAGTCCCTACCTCCAGATTCTTTTTCTTATCATCTAAAACCTTTAGGATTTGCTAACTTCTCCAGAGGTAACACTCCAAATCAAATGCTTTAGATGTAATCTGAACTCTACATATATAGTTACTTTTAGCAGTCTGGAAGCTTATTTATTATTTTGTTCTAAAATGAATTTAAGGCAGAAACTGAACACATATATATTTGAGATACACACACACACACACACACATATATATATGATTCATTACTTAGCAGTAATATCAGCATTTTAGAATAAACTTTTATTCAAATAAAAAGTAAATTTTTTTCATAAATAAAAATATCTTTGGGCTGGGGTTGTGGCTCAGTGGTAGAGCACTTGTCTCACATGTGTGAGGCACTGGGTTTGATTCTCAACATCACATACAATTAAATGAATTTATAAAAAGATTACATCAACAATTAAAAAAAATTTAAAAAAAATCTTTGAGAAACTAAGTTTTCAATTGACTTTTTTCTATATGTTGAAAAACAAAATGTAATCCCCAGTTGGTTGCATGTAATTTGTTCTATGTTTAACAGCTAATATGTCAGCATGTCCTTAAAATATGTCTAATGGAGATTTGATCCTACCAAAAAAAAATTACTCTCAATTTTATTAAATAGCTGATCTAAGTTAGTAAATTTTATGATAGGATATTTAGTTGTAGCAAATAAATATGTAATTTCATTGATTTATATTTAAAGATTTTTTATAAATGTTGTTCAGTATACCATTTTATATGTGATATTATATGCATACTGTGTATTTTAAAGTAACTATTTAGAGTTCATTGAAACCATGTAAAGGTGTGGTCTTTTGCTTTAAGGAATTTCTAGTAGAAGTAAGATAGAAAAGATAAGAGTGTGAGAAATATCATAAGAGAATTTTGGTTAGTTTTATTGCACTTCAAGTAGGGATTTTGTGCAGTGAGGATCAGGGGTGATTTAATAGATAAGGTGAAATATGCTCTAGCCCATGAAAGATCAGACAAACTTTCTTTTATGGGACTTATGATCTGAGCCTCAAGATAAGTGATATCTAGCAACAGCTTGGATATCACAAAATTGAGCTTGTACTTGGTTTTGTTTTCTGCTTACATGTGACAGGTTAAAATAGAACAGCTGCCACTGTTAAGTATACCATGAATGTGCAGAGAGACATGGGAATGTCTTAAATTCTTATTGGCTGGGAGCAGTTTATTTCCATATTGTAACATCAGTGAGGATATTAGTTTGAGGTAAGAGAGCAGAGAAGAGTTGGCAATACTCATTATGATTTTTGATTGTTGTAAGTAAGTAAATGAAATCTTTCTAACTCCATGATTGAAATATGATTTAGGTACTCCATAAATACTTAAAATAACCTAATTGTCCTTCAGTGGTAGAATACTATAAGCAGTGGTTCTCAAAATGTTGTCTGGGCACCTCAAGGGAATCCCCAAAACTCAAGGGTCCACAAGGTCAAAAGACTGTTGTTCTACCAGGACCTTAATTGTGTTTTTATTCTCATGAACTTACAGTAGACTTTTCCTGAATATTTATATGACATGATAATTAAAATAGATTGGAGCAGAAACAGTGACTTAGTTCAGGCTGCTAAAACTAGGCAGCTTATAACTTCAGAAGTTTTATTTCTCAGTTTTATAGATTGGACCCAAATTAGGATGCCAGCAATATTGGGTTTTGGTGAGGGCCTTCTTTGGGGTTGCAGATTATGGATATCTTGTGATAGCCTCACATGGCAGAAAGGGATAGAGAACTCTCTGGGTCCCTTTTATAAGGCTACTGATCCCATTCATTATAGCTCCACCCTTGTGGCTTTAATTACCTTCCAAAGGCTTTTGAAACTATTGAGGCAAATGATGTATGTGTGAAAGAAATTCATAGAAGGGATTAGTCTAGGGATTTAAAAGAGGAAATTTTCTCTCTCTAGTTTTAGTGGTTTTCAAGGAGAAACAGAAGACAGTGAAAAAGGATGATACATATGGGAACGATGTACTATAAACAAGTAGAAATAGAATGTACCAAGCGATAATATTCTACCACTTACTTTTATTGTTTTAATCAGTTTTATTCCTGTTAATGAGACTTTCTCATCAGTCTCATCCAGTCTTGAAACTGTACAACATTAATGGATTCCTTCTCCCTTTAATCTTTCTCTTTGCCCTACTAATTCATTCATTTTGAATATTTTCAAATTTCTCGTTCCTTTCACAATTTTTTATCATGTCATGTTTGAGGGGCACAGTAGTATCTGAAATGGTCCTACCACCTTCTGTTTCCTTCTTTCAATCATTCCAAAGTACTCCTTGTAGGTTATTATAGTTTGAGTGTGAATATAGTGACCCCCTCATTTTTTGTTGCAGTAGTCTTTATCCCTCTTCAAAGCCCTGTATGATTTGAACTCAACATATCCATTCACTTTTTATCCTTTTCCCTAGACTGTCTCTTAATATGCTGTGGTTGCCCATATCTTTGTACTTCAACACACTGTCCTGAAATCTTCATATCATTTTGTAGTAACAAATCTAGAGACTACTTTTTCTGTGATAGTTGTTTTTTCACCTTGGAAGTGTATTATTGATTATATTCTGCCTTTTATTTTCCTTTAATTTTTATAGCCCAGTTTGGACATACATTCAGTTTTTGGAGCCATACCCACCTGCACTTAGATCATGGCTCTCTTCTTTTCCTAACTTGACTTCTCAGTAATCATTGTTCTTTGCCTCACTTTGCTCAGCTGCAAAATTAAGATGTTAGTATCAACCTCATGTTCTTAAGCAATATAAAGCCTTTTTTTAGCACACTGCCTCGCTAGTTGTTTCATTGTTTAAAACAAATAAAAATAGCAAGTTATAGATTTGAGTTCATGTATAGGTTCCTCAACATGGTTTAATTATATACAAAACAGCAGTTATTTAAGATTTTTAAAGAATTTGTCTTTATTGCTTTTTTCTGATTATAAAATTAATTACAGTATCATTAGGACTAAGGCTGAGCCACCTGAAAAAGGAATAAATCTTCATGTATATATATTTTATATATATACACACACACATAGATATATACATACACACACACTCACACACACACACACACACATATATATATATATATTTTCGTTGTTGATTGACCTTTATTTTATTTATTTGTATGCAGTGCTGAGAACCACACCCAGTGCCTCACACATGCTAGGCAAGTGCTCTACCACTGAGCTACAACCCCAGCCCCTGGGAAAGGAATAAATCTTTTTTTTTTTTTTGTTATTATTGGTTGTTCAAAACATTACAAAGCTCATGACATATCATCTTTCATACATTTGATTCAAGTGAGTTATGAATTCCCATTTTTACCCCAAATACAAATTGCAGAATCACATCAGTTACACATTCACAATTTTTACATAATGCCATATTAGTGACTGTTGTATTTTGCTGCCTTTCCTATCCCCTACTATCCCCCCCCTCATCTTCCCTCTCTACCTCATCTGCTGTTGTTTAATTCTCTCCCTTGTTTTCCCCCCCTTTCCCCTCACAACCTCTTATATGTAATTTTGTGTAACATTGAGGGTCTCCTACCATTTCCATATGCTTTCCCTTCTCTCTCCCTTTCTCTCCCCCCACTTGTCTCTGTTTAATGTTAATCTTTTCCTCATGCTCTTTTCCCTGTTCTGTTCTTAGTTGTTCTCTTTATATCAAAGAAGACATTTGGCATTTGTTTTTTAAGGATTGGCTAGCTTCGCTTAGCATAATCTGTTCTAATGCCATCCATTTCCCTGCAAATTCTATGATTTTGTCATTTTTTAGTGCTGCGTAATACTCCATTGTGTATAGATGCCACATTTTTTTTATCCATTCATCTATTGAAGGGCATCTAGGTTGGTTCCACAGTCTAGCTATTGTGAATTGTGCCGCTATGATCATTGATGTGGCAGTATCCCTATAGTACACTCTTTTAAGATCCTCAGGGAATAGTATGAGAAGGGCGATAGCTGGGTCAAATGGTGGATCAGGAATAAATCTTGAAGACTCCCATTTTCTCCTTCTGAGTTCCTGACCTTGTTGGAGAGGGTGAGAACATGGTCCTCTGGATAGAAAGAAGTTCATTGAGTTTCTATGTTATGGAAGGCTGCCTGTGGAAATGGCCATCTTAAATTTACTAGAGGAATAGGCAGGGCCAAGAGCGAGGCAGATGCCTAAGGCACAAAATTTAAGACATCACTCAAATTTTGTCTTTCTGGCCTCACCATAGTATTAGCCTAATGCATTCTGGCAAGGTTGGTATCACTTGGTGTCCTGTGCCATAGGAATACACCTTGAGAAGCACACTGAAAGAAGAAAAGCCTCTTTATCCTCAGATCTTTTCAGTGCACTCTATGTACAAAGCTTAACATTATGCTAGGTGATAAGAAAATAATTTTCCATTATCAGAGGCAGGCCAGTAATGGGTGCATTGGAAGCTAAAAGGCAATATATTGGTAAGTGGTTCATTCATCTTAACATAGGCTTTTATAACTGTCTTATTGAACTCTGGTCTCGAAATTACTAATATAGGGACATCACAGAAAGTTTCAAGAGTTGACATATGCAATCATCCCCCTCTTAGAGAATCCTAGCACACATTAATCCTGAGAACTCCTACAGTAGAGAAAATATTTTAACTTTATTTTTAGCTGTGAAACTTTCTTGTTGCAAGACCTATTAGGATGTTACAAATGTAGAGTATCAGATAACATTCAAAAGGTATTCTCCCAAAAATAATATGAGAGTGTCCTCTATCACAATTTTTACTTTGCATGATCCTCTGAAATTTCTGGATGTTGTATTAAGAAATTAAAAAAAAAAACTGAGGTATTGAAAGAGAGAAGATCATATCATTGTAGGTGACATAATTATCACCCCCAAATCCCAAGAAAATTAAAGGAAAAAAGAATTTCAGGTTGGAGGGTGTAGTTCAGTGGTATAGTATTTGTTTAGTATTTGTGACGTTCTGGGTTCAATCCCCAGCACCAATGGGAGTGAGGAACAGGGAGAAGAAATCTCAAGAAAATAATTTGAAAAGGACTTTAAAAATTAATAATTGATTTCAGTGGAACAGCTAATTACAAAATAGTGATTAAACCTAGGGGCACTTAACCACTAATCCACCTCAGTGGGGGAGGGGAGGCTGGGGTTATGGCTCAGCGGTAGAGTGCTCGCCTCGCACATGCAAGGTCCTGGGTTCAATCCTCAGCACCACATAAAAATAAATAAATAAATAAAATGAAGTTAATTGAGTAAAATTACAAAAAAAAAATTTTTTTAAAAACCTCAGTAGCTTTCTATAGTGCCATGAATGATAATATGAAAATTATTATTAGAAAAGAATCTTTTTTGTAACTGACAACAAGATGTATAAAATAGAAACAAGTTTAACAAGAAACATGCAAGATTTATGGAAAAAAATGGAGCTATGCTGAACCAATTAGTGACAAAATAAAGACTTCTATAGATTGGAGGATATACCATGTTCCTGAATGAAACAGTTCTGTAAAGATGTCAATTATTGAAAAATTAATATAATTTCCTTGTCAAAACATTGAAAGAAATTAGAACTTACCCACAGAAAACTGACTCATGAACATGACAGTTCATGAATGGAAGAATACAGATGGCCATAAAAATGCCTGGAAAAATGTTTATTCTCACTAGTAATCAAACTATCAAAAAAGGCACATTTTTTCCAGAGACTAAGTGATAAAGATTAAGAATGATAATGTTTATACTTTCTATCAGCAATAGAAAAAAAGTAGCACCCTTCTTTAAGTTCTTCAGAATATTAATGAATGCACTCAATCTGCAAAAGATGTTTGCAACTTAAGTAAAAATCTTTAAGAGTTTGCTTTTACTCTTTTCACCTGGTATTTCACCTTCTTGAAATTTGTGTCTTAAGGAAATAGTCATGGATGAGTGTAAAAATGTTTTGGATCCGATGTATCTTAAAAAGTAATGCAATAAAACAATATAAAAACATGGGATAATATTCATAGCATAGTATTAGTGTTAGGCTATAAGACAGTACTTAGAATATAAAATTATAGTTGCTACATGATTGATTTGGTTCACCTTTTAGGTATTTACCATTAGAAAATGGTAGTATCGCGTAGTGCAGTAGTAATGGTAGTATTGGCCATGCATAGTCAATTTTGAGTTGCTTAAATATAGTTGCAAATTAATGTTATATATTTGTAGAATTTCTACAGTGAGCATGTATCTTTAGTAATTAGGAAAAAAGTGTTTAAATCAGTAAGGTTCATGTTGGAAAAGCACAGTAATGTTACCTGCCACAGAAATGAAAATAATGTCCATTGACACTCATTGGAGACTTGTTAAAAAGCAATTTGAATAGAATAGGGCTGAAAGTAGTCAGATTGCAATGCAGTAATAAATAGGAGATGAGAGAATGATTCTATTTTAAATGAACACTACCAGAAACAAATGTGAATCACGTAATAATAGATATCATTTAGCTCATTATATTCAAAGTATTATCATTTAAATATATAATGAATACAAAATCATTAGTGAAATCTTTTACATTATTTGTACCATCTCAATTCAGTCTAATAGTAATTCAGGCATTCAGTAGACACATATAGGGCTGCAGAGTTGGCTTACTGATAACAGCACTTGCATAAAATGCACCATGTCCTGGGTCAGATCACCAGCACCCCTGCCACAAACACACAGAGCTTAGTGGTTTTGTGTTTAGTGTCTACCAGAATGCACAGATACTGTGTAGATTGTCCTGTTAAGAAAGTAGTGACAGAAGAGAAGGCTAAAGGGAACGTGTGAGAATCATCTATTCCTTTGTAGTTCAATACAACCACAGAACCCTTCCCAGTGGACTTTTATTCCCTGTTTAAAAATGAAATATTTTGTGTAATTCAAAAGAATATGTAAATAATAAGTAATAAAATACTCGTATCTACTCTTTCGAGCAGTTGAGTATTCTGTGATTCTCACAGTTGGATTCCTAAATTGATATTGTTTCTTCTCCTTTTCCTTCTCCTTTGGAGATTGAATCCAGGGGCATTCTCCACTGAGCTACAACCCCATCCCTTTTTATTTTTTTATTTTGAGACAGAGTTTCACTAAATTGCCCAGGCTGGCCGCGAACTTGTGATCCTTCTGCCTTAACCTCCCAAGTAGCTCCCACCACATCCAGCAATTGTGTCTTTTTTTCCTTTTATAGGTTTTGGTAAAGCTAGTTTGAGCCGTAGAGGAAGAGTAACACCTGGAAAGAGACGTCCTTATGGAGTTATGACCGGTCTTGCGGCTAGGAAAGCAACTGGAATTCGAAAAGGGATTAGTCCTATGAATCGTCCACCTCTAAGTGACAAGGTAGAATGATGACTTCATCCTGAGTTAAAAACCCTTTTCCTTTATTTGTACTTACATTTTTATGAATAAGCTTGAGAAAACTTTTTTGGTACCTAGAATTGAACCCAGGGGCACTTAACCACTAATCCACAGCTTCTTTTTAAAAATTTTTTTTTAAGTATATTTTAGATGTTGATGTATGTTTATTTTTTATTTATTTATATGTGTTTCTGAGGATCGAACTCACTGCCTCACACATGCCAGGCAAGTGCTCTGCCACTGAGCCATAGCCACAGCCCCTATTTTTTAAATTTTGAGACAGGGTCTCACTAAATTGCTTAGGGCTTTGCTGAATTTTTGAGGGTGGCCTTGAAACTGCAATCCTCCTGCCTCAGCCTCCCAAATTGCTGGGATTATAATCATGCACCAACATGCTCAGCTGATTTTTATTTTTTATGCAGTTTTTTAGGGATTATATAAAAATCTTGATAACCAAATAAAAATAATTTCTAGTCATGAGGAACACTTAAAATTTCCTCATTCTCAAATAGTCATCTCTCCAGACCTATGGAGAATTGATTCTAGGACACTCCTCAAATACCAAAATCTGTAGATGCTTAAGTCTCTTATTTCAAATGGTGTACTGCTTGCAGGTAACTTATGTACATCCTCCTATATACTTTAAATAATCTCTAAATTGCTTGCAATACCTAATACAATATAAAAGTTATGTAAATAGTTGTTTTAGTGTATCATTTAGGAAAATGGGACAAGAAAAATAAGTCTATTTATATTTAGTGAACTCAAGATATAAAGTTATCACAGTTTTGTGATTATAATGTACCAGATACTTTGAAGGAAAATTACATGCAACAATAGCATCATGAAAGATGGTCCTTGGTGGTGGTGGTGGTATTATCATTATTATTATTATTGCTTCTGGGGATTGAATTCAGGGGCACTCAACCACTGAGTAACATCCCTAGCCCTAATTTGTTGTTTTATTGACAGATAGGGTCTCACTAAGTTGCTTAGCACCTTGCTGTTGCTGAGGCTGGCTTTGAACTTGCAGTCCTCCTGCCTCAGCCTCCCAAGCAGCTGGGATTACAGGTGTGCAACACTGCACCCAGTCCTTGGTATTATTATTTTTCTTATTCTTTTAATATTCATTTTTTAGTTGTAGTTGGACGCAATACCTTTATTTATTTTTATGTTTTATTTTTATGTGTGTTGAGGATCAAACCCAGCACCTTGCATGTGCTGGCAAGTATTCGCTCTACTGCTGAGCCACAACACCAGCACCCTTGTTATTATTAAAATAAAATAAAAAGCTTGGAGTAGGCATCAGTCTGATCTGTGGCTTTTCTCCTATGTTCTTGATAGTCTTTATCCTTGATTTTACATTTACTTCTTTTAAATGTTTATGAAAATTAATACTTTGTTGTTTACTTTGTGTAGTCAGTGGATGTTTATGAAGCATTTCTCATATGCTTAAAATAACAGGGGAATCCAGTAAAGTGTAAAATATGGTCCACAAGGTCAAGAACTTTAGTCTTTCATGCAAGATATGGAAACCTAAATTAAGCTTTAATGGTGGATTTAGTTTAATACGCGATGGAAAGAAAAGTGGACATTTCATCCTTGTTTTTTATGATATTGAATTTTCCTCTTTAACCATTTTGACTCCAACTTCTTTGCTATTATACCCTCTGTTCTTTCTTTTTCACGTATTTATTTTGGAACTTGGTCCTCTTATCCCTTGCTTTAGTGTGTTAATAGAATATCTTGAGATAATTAACTTATAAATAAAGAAGGTATATTTTGACGTATAGTTTGAAGGTTACAGTCCAAGACTAGGAGGGGCAGGACTCATAGCTTTAGGCCTTTGGCAGGTGCATGTAGCAGAGCAAATTGCCTTCCTCATGACCAAAAAGGCAAAGAGGAAGGGGCGGAAATCCCATAGTCTGCCTCCAATGATCAAAGGACTTCTCTATAAGCCCTACCTCTTGAAACTTCCATAGCCTCTCAGTAGCAATACCCTGGGGACACCTATAACACATGGACCTTGAGACTTATCTAAACCATAGCTTAAGAATCAGAATCATGCTTATATAAAATATTCCATAGTTTTCATCTCTGTTTTTGATTCTTTTTTTTTTTGAGCTCCAGAATCACATTTCCCCATCACCTACACATCCCCTGAGAACCACAAGAAATTAAGTGTAATGTGGCTGTTGTCATTTTTAATTTCTCCATCACCCTTATTCACAGATCCAAGCAGTTGTCAGTCTCTGTCCATTCTGCATCAGAAATGTTTACTGTAGTAAGGTTTATTAACAAAAAACAATCCAATTAATATAGTTTCTTGCCTTCTGAAAGAATATAGAACGATATTTTCCAGTGTTAAAAAGGAAGGCAAATCTTCTGAGACAAAATGAAGTACAAAGGAAACCCGTTGCCGTTCTCAAGAGACCTAACCAGTTAAACAGAAAGTAAGTACTCAGGAATAAGTAAATAATGCACTGTACTGCATTAATAAATACTTCTTTTAGTACGTGTTCAGAAGAATACATTTATAGTGATTCTTGTTATTTTCAAGACAGATATTTGAGATATCTGATCTGAAATCGTACATGGAAGCATTTAGTAATAGTTTCCTTATTTCTTGGACACTGTATTTTGGATGACTTGAATTAATATAAATTTATTTAAAAGCATCACTCTCCTTTACCTCCCTTGACAAATAGAATAAAATCATAAAACTGATCATTTTGGTAAAAATTCTATCACCTCAATTAGTATTATTTAAAACTGGAAATTCTGGAAGTTGAATTGATTATTCAGTCTTGTGTCTCTTACTACAACACTGAATCATAATGTAGATTTTTGTGGAAAAAGCAAACTAGAAAGAAAAAAATTCTGTGATTGTTTCTTCGGCTGAAATTACTTTCATAATAAAAGGAATAACACAAACCTAAAAGTTATACCTGTTGTGGCATTCTGTTCTATGTAAGGATAAAGTAGGCAGAAAGGAAGCTGACAAGCCATGAAATTATCTTATTTCAGTGTCCAATACCATTTATTTATCTTATAGAAGATAATTCGTATCAAATCTAGAATGAAGTCTTTGTATAAATGGAGTGGCTAGAATTGCAGTTGCTCTTTTCATTTTTGAGAATCATTTGGTAGTACCTTTTGTGAAAGGGGTCCTTCTCAAATAAGAACATGTTGTTTATAAGAGACTTACATGTTAATTAGACTAACTAGAGGAATTTTGCATTTTAACCTCTGTACTGCTGGAAATAGGATTAGGTAGCCTATTAAGCACCTGTTTATGTAGTAGATAAATAAGAATTTTTTTCTCATATTTCACCAACTTTCTATTGAAAATAGAAGGGAATTGGTAAAAGTCAAATCAAATGTAATTTATGAACATGAAACAATAGGAAAGTGAAAGAGTGTCTCTCTGTGGTTCATACTAATATATAAAGGTTTCTGGGTTAGTAGGAAGAGAAAGCTGAAGGAGGAAAGGTTATTTTCAAGTCTTATGTTTGGTTTTCAGTTTGACATGAATGTGCCTAGGTGTGATTGTTTTTTACTAATCCTAAAGCAAATCTGTAAATTTACGTTTTCACCAAATTTATATTACAGGAATTAGCATTAAAATGTAACCTTGTAAATTTCTTCAGAAGACAGGTGGAATATTAGAGAATTGAATATTTGGAAAACCAATTAGTTCAAAATTAGCCAGTTTGTTTATGATATGCTGCAGAAGGAGATATTTATAAATCAACTTCATAGATTCATTGAAATAAGTGAACAGTTTGAAGTCTTTGTTACATTCAAGTTTTCAGCCTATGAATGTAACTATTTTGCTTATTTTTACTCAAATATTTGAAAGCAACGTATCTGAGATAACACATGACATATTTGTTTTTGTTGCAGAAATAACATCCCAGCTAATTTTACCAGGAGTGGAAATAAATTAAGCCATCAGAAAGATACTCGTCAGGCAACTTTTCTTTTTAGAAGAGGCCTAAAGGTATTAAGAAGCCTTAATGGTGTTTTCTTTTTACCCAAAGAGAATCCTTTACTCTTAATCATAGTCACAGCTCTTGGTTGAGGCAGGGTTTACATTTGGAATGTGGGAAACAACTTTAGGTTAGTTCTTTGTTACATTTCTTTTTTTGCTCTCAGTAGCAACTTCTTACAAGAATTTAATTTATTATTTAATAATAAATTTGTATTTTTCACTTGTTCTAATACAATAACCCCAACAGAGAGATTTTGCCAGAATTGCACAGACCCCTCTCCTGTACTCTTACACACGCCACACTGAGTTATAAAGTGTTTCAGTGCATGATAGATGCTTGAATTCAAATTCTTTGGGATCCACTGCTTTCTCTTTATCCCTCTAGGTTCAGGCCCAGTTGAACACAGAACAACTGCTAGACGATGTAGTAGCAAAGAGAACTCGTCAGTAAGTTTCAATTTGTGTTTTCAAGATGTCCGTTTAAAATTCACAGAACATTAGCTACTCCATTTACCGTGTGCCCCAGTCTGAAAGAAATTAAATGAGACCCAAAATGAAATTAAGCCCCAAGTAAATCCTATTTTTACTCTTTTCCCTCAAACACTTTTGAGTTTGCACATGTCATTGTTGTAATAGTTTGAGAACCAGGTAAATTAGCATATTTATTTTTCATTGCCTGTTATTTTATTTTAACGAAACAGCTTTTTGCCTGTCCCGCCCCCACCCGTAACTGCTTTTATATGAATAGAAGATCTAGTAGCACTTTTATAAAATTTGTAAAACTTTGAAAACAATAGAACATTTTTCCTTCACCTCTTTTTTCTCTATATCCAAAAAATGTGTTTCTGTTACAATTACACTCCCCAATTGTGAGTTGTAACACTCTAATTATCAAGTTTTGAGATTCAACTGTTAAATATTATGGCCACTTTTTGGAAATTAAAACATAAAATGTGGTCATGGTTGAAATATGACACTAAGTTTAGTAGGGCATGATTTTTGAGCAATCAGAATATAAGAAAAAATGCTATTTGCGCCTAATGCTGGCAGCATTCTTTAGTAGAGAAGGTATGACACTGGAAACCATAAGAAAAGAATTAATAGTCTTTGGTTGCGACTGCAGTGAATCATATCTACATAATAATGACATAGTTCTATTTGTTTTGACCTTTGAGATTCAATTTGTAGACAAAGCATGGAATGGTTAATTTGAAAATAGAATATAATGTAGATGTCACATTTTCACAAATGTTAATATAAAAGTAGAGCTGATAAATAGTGGGAGATAAGGTGGAAAGAAAGATTACAAGGGAGTATTATCCTCCCATATAGTAGAGGGGTTTTTAAAAGACACTACTATAAGAAATAGAGATTTAAAATAACGTAGCCTACTGGTAGGAAACTACATGAACACTTCTTTTAGTGAACTGGAAATTACCAGTAAGCAGTAAAAATAGGAAAGATTAGACATGCTGCTTCTGGTGAGTGGGAATGGGGGGGAAGCTACTGGGTTGAGAGGCTGGTGGGTTTCATTAGAGGCCCTTCTGTTTTTATTTTTTAAATATATTTATTACACTGATACTTAGCTAAAAATTCAAGTGCCCAGTTCCTACAGCCAAAGTGCTGATTTGTTATATATAAGCGTCTGTATTTCTTAAACTTAAAGAAAATAAATAAGGGGCTGGGTTATAGCTTAGTGGTATAATGCTTACTTAGCATGTATGAGGCCTTGGGTTTATTCCCCAGCATCAAAATAAGTAGATAATTTATTTTTATGTGGAAAATAATATAGGATTTATAAACTTCCATTTTAATGAAATTTTTATTTTTTTTGAAACTAGATGGCGTACTTCCACTACAAATGGAGGAATTTTAACTGTATCCATTGACAATCCTGGAGCAGTGCAATGCCCAGTGTAAGCCTTTTCTTTCTTTTTACAAGAATTGTAACACTCTTAGCATATGAGATAACAGAAACGTATTGAACTTGTACTCAGAGTACGATGCCCAGTTTGGGATAAGGTGAAATGTAATGATAAGATAATACTCATGGACTGGGGATACAACTCAGTTGATAAAGTGCTAGCCTCATATGTATAAGGCCCTTAGTTCAATCCCCAGCACCACAAAAAAAAAAAAAAGTAATACACATGACACAAATTGGAAATAGTATAGTAAAAAGTTTAAAGTTGAAAAAAACCTCTTGGTTCTGTAGCCTCAAATAACTCCTTGTTAACAGTTTCTATTTTTATTATTAGGATTATATTATTATTATTATTATTATTATTATTTTACTGTACTGAGAATTGAAACCAGAGGACCTCTACCACTGAGCTACACCTCTAACCCTTTTTAGTTTTTGAGACAGGGTCTCAATGAGTGCCAAGACTGGCCTCAAATTTGCTGTATTCCCACCTCAGCATCCCAAGTAGCTGAAATTATATATAGGCGTGTGCAGCTACCCTCAGTTTCTTTTATATTTTTATTTTTAAAAATTCTATGCAGGGCTGAGGTTGTGGCTCAGTGGTAGAGCACTGGCCTAGCATGTGTGAGGCACTGGGTTCGATTCTCAGCACCACATATAAATTAATAAATAAAGGACCATCAACAACTAAGAAATATATATAAAAAAAAATTCTATGCATATAAAGTAAATGTATATTTTTAATGTATACATGATAACAAATGAGATGATACTACACATACTACTCTCTTCTTCCTCTATTTTGGACGTCTACTTTTCAGACCACATGGACCTACCTTTACTCTTTAAAGCCTTCATGGCACATTCTCTTATCTAGATGAACTTAATTTAGTTTATCTTTTATTTATTGTACTGTAAACTTTCTAGATTTATGGAGTTTCTGATCTTTTGCCATCTTGATGATTAAAATCAAAAGAATGTTGGATGGTTCTCTAAGAGCTTACAAGTTATTTTAGTAGAAGACCAAAACTTGGATATCACCATTCATTTGAAATTGTTAAAAACCTTCTCATTCTACCTAAAAGGATATTCTATGAAAAATAATAAATTTTAATCTCTATAGTTATGAACCAGATACTTTTTTTTAAAGAATTTTTTTTTTTTTTTTTAGTTTTAGGTGGATACAGTAGCTTTATTATATTTTTATGTGGTGCTAAGGATCGAACTCATTGCCTCACGTGTGCTAGGCGAGCGCTCTACCACTTGAGCCACAACCATAGCCCCCAAATACTTTGTTTTGACAATACAGTAAGATAACTTAAATACATTTGAACATGTTCACAAATCAAGATATTTTAAGTACCAAATGATTTATCTGCTTTTAATTGTTAATTTATATTTTTTTCTAATAGAACTCAGAAACCACGATTAACTCGGACTGCTGTACCTTCTTTCTTAACAAAACGGGAGCAATCTGATGTTAAGAAAGTTCCTAAAGGTGTCCCTCTACAATTTGACATAAATAGTGTTGGAAAACAGGTAAAAAGGTTTTCTGTATTTCTTCAGACCTTTCATTAACAGTATCTTAATAACAAAAATGTAGAATAGCAAATTAAAACGGATGTTTTAAGTCCTCCACCCCAACCCTAGGAAACCACTAATCTGCTTTCTATCTCTGTAGATTGCCCGTTTTGACATTTCATGAATTAAATTATACAATATCTATTATAATTCCATTCATTTTTGTGACTGGCACTTTCATTTACATTACTGCTTTTAAGGTTCATCCATTTTAGTATTTCATTTCTTTTTTATTGTTTGAAATTCATCACATTTATATACCACATCTTATTTATTCATTCATTAGTTGTTTCTATTCTTTGACTATTTTGAATAATGATTCTTTGAACATTTGTGTAAAAGTTTTTATGTGAACATGTGTTCATTTGTCCTTGATAAATGTGGTAGATTGTGTGGTAACTCCATATTTAGCCTTTTGAGGAACTGCTTTTTCCAAAGATGTAGCTGTGCTATTTTGCATTTCCACTAGCATATATGAGGTTTCTAAATTTCTCTACATCCTTGACATATTGTCTTTTGATTGTAGCCATCCTAATGAGTGTGAATTTATATCTGTTCTGACAGTTTTTGTATTAAACTTGCATCTTGTTATCTTACTTTTCTAATGAATCTGTAGATTCCCTAGGATTTTCCACAAAAACAGTCTGTCAGTTTCCAAATTCTTTTGTAATCTTGAAACCATTTATTTTTCTTGCTTTATTATAATGGCTAGGACCTCCAGTACAGTGTTGAAGTAGTAGGACATTGTGTGTTTGCCTGGTTCAGAGCCTGAGGAGAGAACATTAAATGTTTCACCATCGTACTCACTGGTATGTTTCACCATTGAGTATGATGTTGTCAAATTTTTCAAAGATTACCTTTATCAGATTGAGGGAATTTCTATCTGTTCCTAATTTCTTGAGAACTATTATCATGAATGAATGTTGGAGTTCATATGTTATTTTGATATCCATTAAAAATAAGAATCTGGGCTGGGCATGGTGGTTCATACCTGGAATTCCAGCAACTTGAAAGGCTGAGGAGGGAGGACTGAGAATTCAAAGCCAGCTTCAGCAATTTAGTAATAATCTGTCTCAAAAGAAAAAAATTGGGCTGGGAATATAGCTCAGTTCGTAGAGTGCTTGCCTTGCATGCACAAGACCCTGGGTTCAATCCTCAGCACCAACAAAAAAAGAAAAGAAAAAGATAAAAATTATTTAAAAGGGGTTGGGGATATGGCTCATAAAACTGGGTCAAACTTACTTTATTTTTATTCTGTTACTTTGGGAACATTTTGTGAATTGTTAAACAGAAAACAGATTTTTATTTGAATTTCTATTGTGAACTTAGAAATTCAAGATAATTTGTTTTTAAATATGTACAAGTTGAAAAACTTTTTTTTTTTTACTTTTTAAAATACATTTATTTTGGTCTGGGGTTGTGGTTCAGAGGTAGAGTGCTCGCACTGGGTTTGATCCTCAGCACATAAAAATAAAAGATATTGTGTCTACCTATAACTAAAAAATAAATAATAAAAACAATACATTTATTAATTTATTCGTGCAGTGATGATAGAACTTGGGGCCTTGAGCACGCTAGGCAATCACTCTTATCACTGGGCCACATAACTCTTACTTTTATCAGAGACATCACTAAAATTGGTGGCAGTGTTTCCAGAGCCTAAAAATAATTCAGATAGAAGTATCCTAAGTATACGACTCATAGGCTTTATAATATACATATATGTGTGGTTTATGTAGTGTGTAATGTGGACATTTTGATTGTTTGGAGATAGGGGATCTGAGTCAGATTGCCAGTTTAAACTCTGAAGCTGTTAGTAGACAGCTTAACTACCTTCCTAACCAACCCTCCCTACTTTCACCTATTTTATGTTGTTAGGTTCAAATGAGATCATATATATAAACATTCAGAATGTTAACTATTATTAATATTACTGTTAATCAGTCATAAGGTCACATTATTATTCCAAAGAAAATATAGCTTTCTGTCAAGTAATTTTCTTTTTTTCTTTTCTATAGACAGGGATGACTTTGAATGAACGGTTTGGAATCCTAAAGGAACAAAGAGCCACTTTGACATTCAACAAAGGAGGAAGCCGCTTTGTAACTGTAGGATAGATCACATGTCAAAGGAACTTTTGATTGATGACTCTGGTTGAAAAGTTGGATTGCTTGAAGAGTTCATCACAGAAATTCAAGAAACTTTACTTCAAAATATTCACAAGGCTAAATAACTCTTTATTTTTGAAGTTTTTTTAAAACATGTATAAAATAATGCCCTGAAATAATAACAGGGAATATACCTATCTCTTCTTAAAGATTTCACGGTTGGCCCATATGGAACAGTTCTGTTTACTTCTTTGGTTCCTCATGCAGCAGAAGGAAGACAGAAAGATAGAAATTGATTATTTTTATGATAGTGGTATTTAGGATCTCATCACCTTTGCTCATTTTTTTAGATTTCACTGTGGTGAATCTTGGTCTTCAGAAATCTGAGTAGGTCCCTTTGTTACTGTCACTGATCCTTTATTAGTGCGGATGTAAAAAGTGCAGTTGCCTTTTCTCCAATAGATATATTTTTTAAAAATCTTATGAGAATTTCGGTTTTGGCTTTTAAGATGTATGGAAATATTTGGAACTTGGTTCATTTTTCAGGTAGTGTTAGATTAAACCCCCAGAGTTGTAAATCTTTAGTGATGAACTTTTAACAAGAAATGTGGCTCTTGGCATTATTCTCAGTTTAAAATATTGGCATTTCAAGGCTGTAAATGCATATTTACGAAGTTATCTGATAGGGCGTTGGAGAAGATCTGATGTAAAAACCTGACAGTTTTCTGTTTTATTAAATGAAGAAAGCATTTAATGAAAGGAAAGTAGTAAGTTGAAGGACCAGAAACTTAAGTGAAAAACTTCAAAATCCAGGTTATAGGTATACTTTTTGGAATTAGTGAAGTCTTTCTAATGTCCACTAATTCTTGACAGGTAATACTATAAAAGCCTTATAATTTTAAAAATGAATTGAGTCCCGTAGATATTTTGATAGTAAAATTAATAGCCATAAAGTACTACAATTCTTATTCAAAAGTTAAAATTTATAAATTTTAAAGCTTGCTAAATTAAACAGTTTATAGCTCCCGAAACAAAAATATACTGTAAATGTAACAAAGAAAAAAATGCAGAATTGTAATAGAATTACATTATAACCTTGTATACCTTTCACTTTGATTTCCTGTAAAATACAAAGTTCAAATATATGAGGAAAGTTTTTTCCCTACTTTGGAGGGGTGGAGGGAGTAATTCTATGGTGCCAAGATAGTGCTATGAGTCCCCAGCTAGTTGTATACTATAAATTATAGTAAAATGCCAAAATCCAGCAAAATGCTCCAGCTACAAGTTTAGAAGTTTGGTCGTTTTGAAACTTGACCTTTTGGTTTCCTTTGATGTTCAAACCTCTAAGGAAGTATTAAGTTTCTCTGGCATATATTATTAGTGTTGACTTTTCCTATAAAACAAAACATTTAGGTTATCACTTCTGCCTACCTTGCATTGTATACTACACATCATTGTCTCATGCTCCTTGGTTTACTTACTGGTTTATGCTAGTCATGGAAAGTTATCAGTAACAGTTTCATGCTTATACCAAAGAATTATATCTGATCCTTACTATCTGGTATTCTGCCAGTACTTCTACTTGATAAGGGATTATTGGAAACCGGTCACAGAATTTGAAAATAAACATAATTCTCCTTAGCTATTCGGTACTTTTCATAGAGGCCAAGGACTCATTGCAAAACATTTTTCAAGTTTAAATACTTACATTGGACCCAAGAACAATACATTTCAGACAAGTTTAGAATTGCTGGTATCTTATTTTAAAGCAAAGGAAAAACAACTGGGCATGAGTTTTCTGTTTTTAGAACAGTTTGTGGAAAAACAGTATAAAAGTATTCTCATTTTTCTGTTATTTTAAATATTATTATATAGAGGTATTATTAATGCCATTTTTTGGAAAACCCGAAGAATTGCCCCAAATGTTGAAAGTAAGTGCATCAAATAACAAAGTGTCTTTGGTATATTAAACTTGTTCTTCATGCATCTGTAATTTAATTTTCTTTCAAATTTTTCCTAAATTAAAACTCTTCTGAGTGCTAACATGTTGGATATAAACAAAAACATACAATGTTGAAAGAAAATATCCTTCCTTGGAATGTCATTGTAGTTATCCTTGTTCAGTTCTTAAAGTTTGTTTTTGTTTTTGTTTTTATTTTAACAGGATGCAATTTAAAATTTCCTTTGCATCAAGGTGTATGCAAAACATTGATGCAGTGCATCACAAAATGAAGTTTGTATTTAATGAGGAGGTGCTTTACACTGTACTTTTTGGTGTTTTTTGGAAAAGTTACATTTAGATCTATTCTGAAGCTGTTCATTTTTAACAAATAAAATGTAACAGGTTTCACATGATTTATTCTTAGCTATGAAGATTGAGTTGTGGTTTTTAGATTGTGTTATATTATAAACAACTTTGTAGTAATTATTTACATATATAGTTTTTAGGATTTGAAGTGTTAACTACCAGCTCAATTGTGAAGAACTTTTATTTACATTTATAACTTTTAGGAACTGGAAAGTTACCTACCAGCTAAATTGGCAAATCAGTCTAGTCTCTTCTATTGGCTTCCTTTTAACTCCTTTTGACCATTTCATTCATAGCCTCCTATAGGAGGTATCCAGGAGTAATTCAAAGAAGGAAATCAGATTACTTACAATGAACCTTTATCGATCACCCAGTTTTAATTCTTCTTTTTACATCTTAATAAAGTGAGACCCAATATATTCCATTGAATGCAGCAATTGTGTTGAGCCTCAGATCTTATAATTCTCAGTTTATAATAAACTTCTTCTGTGAATTGAATAGCCACCGAAAGTAGAGTGTTATAAGGCTTGTCAGATATCTAAGAATTGGTTATAGCCACATTTTAGCATTTGTAACATGATAAGTAAACCTCCTATACCAGTATTGACCAGTACTTCATTACTTTGGTGTTTGAGTTAGGGAGACTTATTAGATTTTTCTTTCTAATCAGACATTATGTATTTTTTTAAACATGCATAAACTTCACCACAATTTTAATTGGAAGCAAATCATAAAACACTTCTATGTTTTTGTTAGATAAGCTTATTGTAAGTTACAGACAATAGCTTTGTAATTCACTTAGTATATGCAATTTCAGGCTAATTTTTGCTTATTTTCTTCTTTTTTTCTACAAAGTGGTAATAAGGAAACTAGCTCACTTGGCACTATAGAGAATGAATTCCATACATTCCAAATGCAGGCAACGATATCTTTTCTTTCCTGATGAAAAATTTTAACTTTTACCAGAATTCTATGACTTTTTTTTTTTTTTTTGGTCACTATTAACAAAAAACAAAAAACAACCAAGCATATGATTTAAACTTACCTTTAAAGAGTTCTTTTGGACCTAGGAGTGCTTTACCACTGAGTTATATCCCCAGCTCTTTTTAAATTTTATTTTGAGACAGAATCTTCCTAAGTTGCTGAGGGACTGACTAAATTGCTGAGGCTGGCCTCAAACTTGCCATCCTCCTGCCTCAGCCTCCCAAGTGATGGGTATTAAAGTGGTGCACCACTATGCCCCGTTAATCTTTTTGCAAATGATACTTCAATATGAACTCCAAGCATTTGACAAGAATTTTACTATTGTAAACCATTTGTGGGGATTTAAAGATTATTTGCTTGGAAATTACATATTTCTAATATTTCCTCTCACCCATGTCAGTTTACTACCTGAAAAGCTTGGTAAAACAAGCAAGGTATGTAATTTTTTTTGGGGGGGGGGTACTGGGGATTGACTCGGGTGCTTAACCACTGAGTCACATCTTCAGTCCTCTTTTAATTTTTTTTATTTTGACACAGGGTCTTGCTAAGCTACTCTTAGGACCTCACTAAATTGCTGAAGCTTGCTTAGAATTTGTAATCCTGCCTCAACGTCCTCATTCACTGGGATTACAGGTGTATGCCATTGCACCCAGCTATATTATCTGAATTTTCTTGTATATAGTTTTAAAAAATCAATTATTAGTGCTTCTTATTTGTTACATTAAAAAAGAATGAGACCAAGATTTTAATCCCAGTGTTTCTATGTCTTAAACCATAATATATTTCTAATGAATAGTAGACAGGAAAAGACTTTTATTTCTGCATGATGTAGTAAGGTGCAGAGCTGAAAAGAGCAAATGAGATTTGGGTAAAACCTTTGCTCCTGTTACTGAATGAGTTAACTTTTAGCCTGTAAAACAGGCTGAAATGAATGAAGCAGGAAAGTTCACTGTTAAGACTGAATAACACACACTGCCTATTTTTTCAGCTTCTCCCCTAGAGCAATAGTTGAATAAGCTGTAGATCCCTGTAGCCCTTTTGTTCACAGCCTTTTTGTAACCATCTTAATCACTTTTCATCACCAGATTCTGGTGAGCTCCCTACAAAGATTCCCATTACTTTTTTTTTCTTTCTTTCTTTCTTTTTTTTTTTAAGAGCTTGACGGTTATTATATGTAGTAGTTGGATTCATTCTGACTAACTCATACATGCAGGGAAATCTATTTCAGTTCATGATTCCCTTCCTCTCTTTTCTTTTCTTTCCCCTTTCCCCTCTAAAGAATCCATTTCTGATATTCTCATAGAATGCTATCACCTTTTTGGAGAAAATTAAGGGAATAGAGAGAATTCCCTTATATTTTAAATTTTCCTGAGGTACCAGTTGAAACCTCAAGTCCTTAAACATCTCAAAAATTACTCCTTGATCTATTTTTCCTGGCATTCTTTTTTTTGTTTTGTTTTGTTTTAAACCTAGAACTGTTTTCACAAATAGTATATGTAGCATCTTCATTTTTCCCCATATCCACAGTCCTTTTTTTCCCCTTGTGGTACTGGGGATGGAACCCAGGGGTGATCTACCATCTTGCTACAGTACCCACCTTTTTTATTTACTTATGTTTTGGCAACGTTTCACTAAGTTTTGAAGCTAACCTCCAACTTGGGATCTCCCTGCCTTGCTTCCAGAGTCACTTGAGATTATAGGTGTGCGCCATTGTGCCAAGCCCACAGATCTTTCTTTTAGTCTTCAAATATCTATAGACTTAGGTAATCTTAGACTTGGGAGGCTGAGGCAAGGAGGATCTCAAGCTCAAGACTAGCCTCAGTAACTTAGGGGCTAAGCAATTTGGCGAGACCCTGTCTAAAGGGATGGGGATGTGGCTTAGTGGTAAGGTGCCCCTGGGTTCAAGCCTCAGTATCAAGAAAAAGACAAAGTTTTTCTCTCCTCCCAAACTTTTCTCCTGTGTGAGTACATAACCTATTTTCTGTCTCTGCTGTTTTCCATTTATCCTTTCTATTTAATTCCTATTAACATCAGCTCTGAGGTATGAGATACAGCGTAGAGTTTAATATATTAAGGACCTTAAATCTAGTCTAATAAAACTCAATCTATAAATTTGGTCAGTTAAGGATTAGCATAGTATGTTGCAAATATAAAGGGATATGTGTGTATGAGGCCATATTAGTAAGAACTTGTCAGAATGTGTAAATGTGGAAGGTAATGATGGTACATTTTGGAAAGAAACATCTGGCAACTGATCTATAACATTGTAGCGTTAATATGGAATCTATGAGTAAACAGTCATTATGGTTGAAGTCTCAATTATAAAATGAAGTTCTGCTCTAAAAATAACAATTTTAGGAAAACTAGTATAATGGAAACCAAAACATTCATTAATTTTACATATTAAGTATGTTATATTGCCATTGAATTGACCCACACTCATAACAGACATCAGTAATTTATTATGAAATTTGCTGAAGACCACTAGCATGTAGTATTAAGAGTTCATAGAAACATTCTTTGAGCAAAGTTGTTACTAATCAACTTTGGCACTGAGTTGCCAAAATTCCTAAATGCAAATGGGAATTTAGGAATTCAGGGAAGTGTTAATCAAGGGTTTTTTTTTTTTTTTTTTTTTTTTTAAGAGTTGGGCCTTGAATAATGGATGAGATATCTCCAACCTTGTTTTCTTTTGCTCTCTGACATGAACTTTCCCATCTGTGACCTCAATGTTCTCTATATATACCATCACAAATCATAGCCAGATGTGTTTATGCTGATCTTTCAATATGGAATATTGCTCTCAGCTTCTAGCCTATTCTACTTAATAATTCTTCAGGACTGATTGAAAATTTTATTCATAACGCGGATTCCTTTTCTCTGAACTCCGATAGATGATCCCTTCCTACCCCACTTCATCCTCCCTCTATTGTTCTTATGCACTATATGTTCTTATGCACTATATGTCTATATGTTCTTATGCACTTATATGTCTGTATTTCACAATAAGATTAGATTATAATCACTCAGGAAAATGACTGAATCTGACAGGCTCTTGTATTTTTCAGTGAAAACACTGAAAAACATGCTAGACCGTGATTGCAATATTAGCGAGGTCTAATTGGTCTAAAATGAAGGGATATGTTCCACTTTTACATTACTTGAATGGTTTCAAATTTTGAGCGTTTGGTTCTACCTTTAATTCCCACGTTTAGATTATAGTCAGAGCATTTCTCTTCTCAGTTATGTTTCCAAACAGACATGCATTTTAGACTTTAGTATTATTCATCTTGCTCTTACAACCATAAAATCTTGTTTAAAGGACAATTGCGATTGTGTGTCCTCATAAGAGTTCTTTTATAAAAGGGAGGATATTTATATAACCCTTTCAACAAGAGTGATGGAATTTAGAGCCAAATTAGCACATAATTTTTTCCCTCAATCACTAATAGTAAACCCGCAAATCTCTAATTGGATCATCTGGTAGTACAATGACAAGTTGAGAAACGTTTTAGATTATATACGGAGTTCACTCACACTCCCCAAGTTTCTGGCAGCAACAGTGCTAAGAAAGAATCTTTAATCCTAATCCTCTACTCCTGAGGGAGGCAGGCAAGGAAGTTTTGGTGAGGAGCGTTAAAGATTTTTGTAGAGATGTATTAGATATATACTGTGAGCCATGTAGGGGGCTACTGAAGGTTTGCGGGTTCTGTTTTGATTGCCCTTGAAAAACCTCCATATGGGCGGGGGCAGGAGCCCGGCCCAGCGAAGGGGCATCAAAGCTCTGCCTATCAAGGGAATTGTCCCGGGTCTGGGAGCCCCTGTCCCCGCCCACCCATCAGTTCTGTTTGCGCATGCGCAGAGGCGGCGGCCGGAGAGTTGTCGGCTGGGAAATGGCGGCCGCGGGCTTGGTCGCTGTTGCAGCGGCTGCTGAGTACTCTGGCCCAGTGGCATCGGGTGGTAACCTTTCCGGCGTTAACTGCGGCCCTAGCCTCGGGGCGGGCTCCGGTCCTGGCCCAGGCTCGTGGAGCCGCTCCCTCGATCGAGCCCTGGAGGAAGCGGCAGTAACCGGGGTGCTGAGCCTGAGCGGCCGGAAACTGAGGGAGTTTCCCCGGGGAGCGGCCAACCACGACCTGACGGACACCACCCGGGCGGGTGAGCGGGGCTGCGGCATCTCTGACTACTTGAGATCCGGGCGCCGGGGGAGCCCTCCCACTCAGGCGGGGTTCGGGGTAGTTAAAGCAGCTGGTCCCACAGGCTTGGGGTAGGGACCCAGGTAACGGGGGAAAGACGTCTGCCCTAGTCCACCCAGCCCTCCGGGCCTGCGGGCCGGACGTCTCGGCGCGAGGCGGCGCGTGGCAGCATCTCTCAGGGAAGGGGATGACTTTTTAGTCTCTCCTAGAAAATAAATCAGCTGCCACTGCTGAGGTAGAACTTTGCCCGCCGGTTTCTGCAGGCCCTTTCGGATTTGGGGTGCCAAATTGACTTCGCTGAGACTTGGGAGTGCAGCACCCTCTTAGATTATAGTAGCAGGAGTGTCGTCTCTGGTCGCTGTATTGTCAGCTAAGGAACGATCTCTGCCCTGGTGTTTTTTGAAAGTGTTGTTTGGGGTGGGTGTATGTGCGCGTGTTCAATGTGAACTCAAAAGCCGCAACTTCTTTCTCCGCCTGGGTCTGGTTGACTCGCCAAAATTACTTGTAAAAATAACTAGAGCCCACCCTTCAGAATCCTATTACTTTCCAACCCCACTCTTAATGTCTTCCAGAAAAAAAGGGGGAAAATGAAGGGAAGAAAATTACTTAGAAAAGATAGATTGCCTATATTTGTTATTACCTTTTACTTGAAGTATTACTTTGCTTTCTATATATTTTTGAACACAGAAAAGAAAATAGGAAATTAGGTCTTTTTGGTTTTCTTAGTGGTAGGAAACAATGTCTGACTGAATGTTGACTGAAGTACTTAACATACTGTAATATGTTTCTCTTGTGTTTAAAATATAGCTTCCTCAAGGAGTAGATTAAAAGTTGAGTCTATTCATGCTTTACACAAAGGAAAACAATCGCTTACACATGATGTAGTAAAATATCTTATTTTTATGTAGTGCTTTTGCAGTGAGGGAATGTGCAGTATTTTGTCTCTTATTCATTCCTTTTTATTTATTTTGTAATCTTGCAGTTAACACCTTTCCTATCTTTGTGCACTCATTAAAGACTGTTAAGTGTTACATGTGATTCACTCATGTTGGAAAAACAAACAGAACTGTTAAACTACTTCAAGAAATTAATTCTTCCAAAGAAACTTTTCCCGTAGTGTAAAGTGGAAGAAATTAAATGCCTGCTTATCTACTCTCTTTTTGGAACAGTTGTACTGAATTTGTGTTTTTTAAGTGAATGATATTAAAATTAAACTTTCTTGCTAAGGTCAATGTGAGCAGTCACTTGTCTTTTGTATGTGTTCTGCCAGACAGAATCTAAATTGTCATTCAGACCACAAATTTTTTGGTTCTGTTGAGGACCTGACTATGTGACACAGTGATTTCATGTTGTTGTGAGTCATTTTAGTATTACATTAAACCTGAATCTAAAGAACAAGTTGATTATAGGAGGATATCTAGATCATTATCTTACCTACTTTTAAATCATTTTAGGAGCAATATGTTGAGCTTTTAAGAAATATTTTATTAACAAAAGACTGAAGGGTGTTTGTGAAGATTAATATGTAATCCCAAGGAAGTTTTATGTTACTATGGTATGATTTTTTTTTTTTTTAAGTGTTCTGGGCATTGAACCCAGGGCCTTACACATGCTAGGCAAGCACTCTACCACTACATATTCCCAACCCTTTTTAGTTTATTTTGAGACAGAGTCTTGCTGGTCTGAAAGTTGTCAATCCTGTATTAGTCTCCTATGGAGCTGGGATTACAGGCATGTGCTATAATTGCTGCATTGTGCTCTGAATTTTTATACATGTTATTATCCACACTTTTATACCATAGTTTCTATATAAACCAGTATTTTTGGTTGATACTTTATCTGGTCAAAAGTGTTGAAAAGAAGATTACAAAGTATATTATAGACTTACTTCTAACATCTTTGGCAGACCTTGGTAATTTGAACAAAAAGCTTCTAACAGATAATTTAAAGCTGATAACATCATTTTTTTGGGTTGTTCACTATTTACCCTTCACTGTTAGGTATTTTAGAACACATTGCTTTCAACAGCCCATGAATTAAGTATTATTATTCCTACTTTACATGTGAGAAATTAACTCAAAGTCATATAGCTAGTATTAATGGTAGAATTTCAACCTAGAAACATCTAGTTTCTCTATTATGTGAAGCAGCCTTTCCATGTGCAAATAGGTATACTTTTCCTGTTTTTACAGATAATGAAACCAAAGTTTAGAAATGTTAAATAATTTGCTTAAAGACCTGTAGCTAAAGGGCAGCAGGGGAGAGAATATTAGTCAGGATTGGAGCCTTGTTTGAGGTAACTCCAAAATCCAGTCTTGCTTTTTTGCATGTACTTGATGAATTCAGATTTATACTAACTAAAATATTTTGCTTAGACACTGCAGGAAATTTAAAGCTAAGTAAAATTACATCAAAATTGCTTCATAGACTGTTCTTTTGTAGTGTATAGAGTATTCATGGTAGAGCTGCTGTCTTTCAAGAGTTCATATCCTAGGAAACAGAACATATTACTTAATCTGTTTGTAATTGGACCTGAATATAACTTATTAGGAACATTTTCTTAAAGTTTCTCCTCCTGTTTGTTTGTGTTTTTTTTTTTAAAATAGATCTTTAGGAAAAGAGAAATGTATATGGGAATAGGTGACTGCATCCAGTGAACAAGGATCAAGGATCAATCTTAGAGGAAATTGCATAAAACTTCTTGGAGCAGAAAAGATATAACTTGGGTTTGGGTAGGTTGAAATGAGAAGGAAAGCCATTCCAGATCCAGTGGACAGCATGCAAAAAGTTTTAGGGTATAGGAGTCATCAGTTAGTTTTGCCAATCCACTATTCATTCCCCTTTCATCTGATAGCAATAACTCAGTTTTCCTAGGGAACCACCCCTCTCAGTTACATGAATCGCATCCTGGCACAGGATATTCACATGACTCAGTTCTAACTGTTGGCCAATCAGTATAGTCCATTGCTCTAGCTACAGTGATTGTTCAGAGATGAGCACATTTTTCTATCAGTACACATGAATGTTAATTCTGATTTTTTTTTCTGAACTATTGAGAAAGAGGCATGCTTTGAGCCCTAGAAAATAGAATACAAGCTTGCCAGTAAAAGGAAGGCAAAGCCAAAAGATGAAAAGAAACACCATGTTCTAAGAGACAGTGTTTGAACAGTGGGATCAATAGCCATGCCTGAAGTTAGTGCTATACTTGGATTTTCAAATTATGTGAGCTAATAAATTCCATTTTCTGCTTAATTTCAGTAGAATGTTTTGATACAAAATAAACCAACAGCGAGACTGCTCGATGTTGTGGTGAGGCCATTTTGGTCAGAAGAAATTATTGGATCAGAGAATAAAAGAGCACCCTTTCACATATCTAGGAAGCTAGATCGATGATAGATTTAGACACAGGTCAACATTTATTCATTTATTTGTTCATATTTGGTGATTAAGGGACTTTGACAGTTGTAGGTATACAGAAAGGACCAAGAACTTAAGTAATCTTGAAAAGAAATAGGTAGGTGTAAAGATTATTTGAATTAACTACTAGCAGAACTTCTATGTATTAGGTATTGTGCTAAGTAATTGGGGGGGGGGGCAAAAATAAGAAGAGGCCTCATGGGTATTTAACAATCTAATAAGTTGGTTGGCTCCAGAAATAATTGAAATCTACAAGGGAATGAAAATAGTTCATTATGGACAATGAAAAAATGTACAAATGCTGATTGAGTTTACTTAAAAAATATCTGAACCATTAAATCTGGTAATGCTGTTGCTAATTGAAGCTAAAACTGAGCTTTGTGTTGGTCAGCTTTCTTGTTCTGTGACAAAATATTTGAGATAATATTCTTAAAAGATAAAAAGGTTGGGCTGGGCATGTAGCTCAGTCATAGAGTATTTGCCTAGCATATATGAGGCTCTGGGTTCAATCCATAGCACCACACATAAACAAACAAGCAAACAAATAAAAATAAATAAATAAAGAGGAAAGGTTTAATTTGGCTCTGAATTTCAGAGGTTTTTGACTATGGTCCCTTGATCTGTTGCTTTGAGCCTATGGTGGCATAGTGCATCCTGACAGGAGCATGTGGCAGAGGAGTTTATCCCATGGTTTATCACAAATGTTTATCACATGGTGGCCAGAAAGCAGAGAAACAAGAAGGGGCTGAAGTCCCAATTTCTCTTTAAGGGCACCTTCAATAACTTTCTTCTACCAATTCCCACCTCCTAAAGGTTCCACCATCTCTTGGTAACACCCGGAGTGGGGACCAATCCTTCCATGCAGGAGACATTTCAAATCCAAACTATAACAAGCTCTTAATATATTTCAGATATTGTGTTAAGATGTAAGTATTTCTCATGAAGTTATAGCAACCATATGAGTTGTAAGTACTGTTTTTCATCCCTAAAAAAGTTGAGACTCAGGAGATTAAGTAATTTAATCAAGATCTCATAGCTAATAAGTGATAGAAAGAGGATTCTAATACAGATACTTGTGGTTTTGAACACAAGTCACACTGTCAAAGAAGTTTGAATCATAGAATTTCTTTGATTTGTGTGATACCTTTAAAGGGTTGATAACACCTCTAGTTAATCATGTGCAGCAAATAGAAATGTAAATCTGAAGTTTTGGAGTATAGTAGGGCTACATCAATAAATTCAAGAATCACAGAATTTTTAAGATTCTTGAAGGAAAAGTGAAAAGAATAGAAAAGCCAATTGCCAGCATTTATAAGGCTAATTTTTTAACCTGATGAAAAAAACAGAAATGAGATTCCATAACCAGACTTGTTCTAGACTTATAGAATCATAAAGCCTAAAAACCATCTAAGTTATTTTATGTAAAAGAAGCATTCTCAAATGATGTGCTTAGGTTTTGTAGTGAGGTGGTATACTGTTTCACAGAAGGCAAGCAGGAGTCATAATTGAAGCTGTAAGAAACCTCTTTTGAGTGGAAGATAGAAA